AAACTAGTACAGAAGCACCACCCGCGACTGGAAGTAGCGGGGCGGGTGAAGCAGCAGAAACTTCTAAAACTAGTACAGAAGCACCACCCGCAACTGGTGGAAGTAGCGGAGCGGGTGAAGCAGCAGAAACTTCTCAAAGTAGTACAGAAGCACCACCAGCAACTGGAAGTAGCGGAGCGGGTGAAGCACCAGCAGAAACTTCTCAAAGTAGTACAGAAGCACCACCAGCAGCAACTGGAAGTAGCGTAGCAGGTGAAGCACCATCAGAAACGCAAAGTAGTGCAGCAGCAACTACACCAATTTCAGCTCCAGACAAAGTGGCGCTACTGCCAAAAGGCAATTCTCGGGGCACAACTACGAACGCGCCGGTTGTTACTAGTACATCACCTGCCCCTCCACCTGCTGCTGCTGCGAGCAATCGTCCTTCGAACGGAGACAAAGAAGTAGACCTCCCAAAGGATTCCAATTCCGTTGGCCGCGAAGATGAGAATGATCCATCAACGACGCTCGGGCCCCCTTTGCGGCTAGGTGCGCCTGCTTTAGTACAACGCGACGAGGGGGGACTGACAGAAGATGGACTACAGGAACTACACGAAACTGCCAACACCACGCTATCTACTGCAACGTCCGCACAGATCTCCAGTTCCGCCACGAACGACGGTGGTGGAACGTCCGCAGGGGATGTTGAGCAAGCGCGGCCGCGTGGACTGCGGAACCAAGGAAACGGTAACCGAGGCTACCAAGATTCGTGGCGGAACAAGCACAACGATCTTGAGGCCAACATGCACTGCATGCGCACGGGGTTTCTCGCGGTGTCGATTGCTTTGGCGGGCGTGTTGGCGATGCTGGCTATTGCGTGCTTTATTTTCTCCACGGCAGACGACGAAGACGATCATGGTTCGGAACAAAAGGATTACGCTTCGGCAGGCGGAACGCAACGCAGAGTGACTTTTGAAAACCGGTTCGCGTACGACGACGGGAAGAGTAGAGCGGGCGGAGGTGGTGCTACTTCTTTTAGTAGTGCCGGCGACCTCTATTCGCTTTCCGACGTGCCTCTGCCGACCCCCGGGCAATTTGGCTCGTCGGACTCCCGGGCCTACCTGCTGGTTCCGTCCACGGGGAAGTTTGGCGCGTCAGCCGCGCAGGACGCGTCGTACCTGCACAGCTCGGCCGCTGGGTCGTACATGAACTCGGTGGAGGCTGGGGCGAAAGGTGCTAGCATCTTGAAGGGCACGAACTCGGAGTTCAGCCTACAGCCATCACCTTTGAGCAGTAGTGCTGGTCAACAGCCGGTCGTGCGGTCGGGAGAGGCTTTAGATAGTAGGGAGTTCTTTGGCGGCGCCGGATTATGAGCCGCAGATGAAGGACTCCATGTTGTCAAGAAGGATTACATCTTTGGAAACAAGTTCCCTGGAGTGTTTCCTGGAGTTCCATACTAATTGGAAGATTTTCTACTTTCAGTTTCTTGAGAATTATGATAATCATTTTATCAACATGTTTCGGAAGTAAGAATTCGGTGCTGGAAAAAACTTGTTACTCGGTTACTTTTCTTTCACTCAGCGACGCTTACTTCTAAAAATTTACAAACAGGCAGCTTTTCAAGTTTTAGACTTTCACCTTGCGCTCAAGTTTCAAGCTCGATAGAAACAAAAGCTTTCACTTTCAACCCTTCAGACCTCTTGTAAGACGGAAACAGTTAAAAACAGACCTTCCAACTTTTCAAAACAACAATTTTATCAATTGACAACTAATTTTTATCGGTAGGCTTTTTAACTTCTAAGCAGCACTTCCTTTCGGTTTTTTTCTCAGCAGGCCTAAAGCGGCTCTGGCACACTGTATTTTTCTTCAAATAGCGCTAGAACTACACGAGAGAAGAAAATAATCTCCACCCGGATTCCGTGTATCCAAAGTCAACAAACAAACAAGAATTCGGTGCTGGCAATGAAGACCTTCTGCCTCAGCAAAGCCTGTTGTTTGTTGAAATATTTCTTTGTTCTGTTCGACATTTGATGACGTGGTATGGTGTGGCAAAGTCTCAAGCAGATAAGTTCATTGTCGGTTTTTCGCTTGTTCAACTTGGGTTACTACCTGGAATTTACGGTCCGGCTGCAGAAAAATGTCAATGAGGTCGTCTCTATGAGAAGTTTTTTTCGTTGTTTGTTCTTCGGTGGCTGTTGAGTGGGATATTTGTTTGCCTCGCACTTTCACTATGATCTCTGTCGTCTCTATCTCCTCTATCGGTAATGTGAAAAATCGGTTGCGCGAGGAGGATGAAATCTCGACCATCTTCTGTCTCTGCTAGAACACCCATCGGAACTCGCCTGAAGCGTGTTTTTTTTACTCAGAAGATGTGAAGCAATAGGACCTGGTTCTTCTCTTGTAATTTTTCGTGAAGTTGTCTGCGCCGCTCCCTTTTTTATCGAAAGCGCCATGAGTTTTTCTCCTTTTGTTTTGATGCGATAGCACATGTTCAACATCACACCCGAGTATCGGTTTTTCATGAGTTTTTTTCTGTTTCACCAGCACCATGCCAATACGGGAGCTGTACATGCTAGAGCTAGGTTGATATAAAAGTACAAAAGTTCTTTCCGGATTCAGTGTGACGAAAGTCGCTTACGATTACGTTCACCTGCTTAATGGAAAAGCTTCATCTGTGAAGTAGAATGCATTCGTGATCGTGGCAGCTGCAGACAGGGAGTACAGTTAAAATATTGAAAATAGCACACGCACAACAGAAGGCTACGAAACCGAAACCAGTAGCATGCCCACGTCAACTGCGCCCACAGTTTCTTACACCGGCCATGCCGGGCCGGTTGCTGCGGAGTTGCGGAAGTCTGTCGCAACGATGGATGAGGATCACTTGCACCAGTCCGAGCTGATGGAGCTGCTGCAGCTCGAGGCCCTCGCGGGGTTTCTGGACTTGTTTCCCTCCTCGGACTTCGCCGGGTTTTGCCCGGTCGAGAAAGTAGCGGAAGCCGCGTTGAGTCAGTGCGGAAGAAGCAAGACCACAAACCAGAAACTTTCCATCGCGGTTGCGGACGTGTTTGCCATGCTGGAGGAGTGGGAAAATGATAATACGACGGAGCAGCTGCGGCCACAAGCGGAAAAGATGCTACTTTTAAACCTTTTGAAGCTGAAGGTCGAGCGCACACTCGGGGCTGTTGTTAGCGGACGAAATAAGGTCGGACGATCAACTACAGGAGATGAGCTGCAAGTGTCATCTACTGCTTCTACTTCTTCCAGAACGAAGCCCGCTGGTCGTGCACCAGTTGGAATATCATGTAGGGAAAATAAAATATCAAAACCCGCCCTCCAAACGACCAGCTCCACGGATCGGCTTCTGGCTTCCAACGCAGCGCGGCTGGCCCGGCTGGAGCTGCGCGTAAGGGAGCAGCATTTGTTGAGCAGCACGGGCAGCCAGGAGAAGACGCCGAGTGGACGACGAATTGCCCAACAAGAAATATTAAAGAGCACCAATTCATCTTCAACCTCGACAACTTCCGGCAACTACGTTTTTCCGCTAGTACAAGCAGAGGTGATCCGGCATGCCACGTTGATTGAACAGGAAAAACTCTCCTCGACAACCACAATCGCCAAAAATCCGTCTTGCGATCAAGATCCGAAACCTGAGGAGGACCTTGACAGCTCGTCGAAACCTCGTCATCTAGTTGGCCGGTCCGTGAGTAGCTGTTGTACTTCTAGCGGCATATCGTCCACCGGCAATAAAGCTGCATTTGCAAAGGCTGAGCCGATCGTTCCGCCGCTGCACGGCTTAGCGAGTGCGACCGGATCGTTTGCGTCTGCTGCGCCCTGCGGGCTTCACGACGGACAGGTGTCCACCCCGCCACTCCCGCCCAGTGCGGAGCGGAGCCAATCGCTCGAAGTAAACAACAACGAAAATGATAATTGTCTTTGTGTCAAAAATACCTCCGCCGAAGATCATCATGCATCGGTCCGTCCGCGCACGGTGCGGAAGCAGGGGCGGGTGCGGTGCGTGGCGGTACCCTCTTCGCAGTTCGGGATCGCCATGCAGGAATTGCCCACCAAAGCGACAGACGCGTTCCAGAAAGCCCGAGAGCACTTGGCGAAGGTAGAAGTTTTTGTCTCATGACAACCTTTTTTTTAGATTCGCTCGCGTGGTCACACTTCGAAGTACTAAGTGCCGAACGGTCAGAACACAGACGGTGCTACATACCTGCTATAGTGACAAGAAAGACAAGGACTGAACCCTTAGGTGCAAAACTTCGCGTACGCACCCCGTGCCCGGAGTGTGATCCGGGATCCGCAGTACACAAAACGGGCGGACTCCCCCACGTTGGACAGCATCAAGCAGCGAAACCGCGAGCTGATCCGGGCAACTTCCCCGTTTTCGACCAGCATGACGGTGATGCGAAGCAAGTCCGTCACAGCCTTGCAGCCGATACGCAAAGGAAGAATGATCATGTTGAAAAAGATCTGATGTCCGCACTGTTGTGGCTGGCCTTACGTTAGAAGTGGATACAACTTTGAACAAGGCCGCAAAATTTACGCATGAGCAACACTGTGATGTTTAGGTTTTTGCATCAGACGAAGATCGACGGTTTGAAAAAACCCGCCAGGGTGGAGATGAAAGGACCTACATCAGCTTTCTTCACTTCAATAAGACAAAGTCGACGTTGGGAGAGGACCCTTTGCGCGTCATCCTTCTGTGGTTCAGGGACGGGTTTCTGGGTATATTTATGAGATTTTTTTGAATACTTTTTGCGGGCGGAAGAAACTGAATAGAGGTGAAGATCTCTCGGGTGTCAAGTCACGGCTTGTAACCACTCGCGCATGAGAAGTTCATTCGGATGAAGAAAAAAATCTCCACTAGCAACACGTTCGTCTCCAGTGTTGCCCCCGGCTCCGCGACCTCCTGTGCGGCACCGACAAATCCCTGGCACCAACTCCTCGTTCCCAGCGCCAACGATCCGGCTAGTACGGCAAAGCCCTTCACCCCGATTCTCGGCAAGCGCGCCGCGCTGGCGGAGCGGGCCTGGTTGCTGCGCCAGCAAACGAGCGGCACGCAGTCGGTGTTTTTTCCCTCGTCCCGCCCGCCACCGCCGGTTGTGGCCCGGATCTCCGCCACGGTACTCCAGCAAAATCCCCGTGGCAACCAGCAATCACCGGCAGGATTCGCGTTCCAACAGTGTCGCAGCGTAGGGGTGCCGCAACAGGGTGTCAATACGTTTTCCAAGCCTGTGATGGCAGGAACCTACCAGCAACAGAATGTTCCGGACTTGACTAAAGATACGGCAGCTTCGTCGGGCGATGAGACGAAGCAGGGGGACGACTTGGAGGAGGTGCAAAGGATGTTGCTGCGACAGCAAAGTGGTCCCGTGGGAATTTTGATGACTCCGCAGTATCAATAGGGGCGCGGTAGGTCGTGACGAGAGAGTGTAGTTGGAACAATGAAGTAGAACAGGGGAATATGATAGCTTGTTGCAGATGAAACAACTCACAGTAGAAACACGAGCGCGAACAATGCGCGTCCCCGTGGTCCTCCTCCTCGTTGCTGTCGTCTAAATGTGATGCTATCAACTACAGCGAGAAGTTCGCTAATAGGGGTGATGTCATGTACTTAAAAGGTATGGTTGTGTTCTGTTTCTAGAAGCAGATGGTGCAACATTTCTGAAGTGTCTAACGATCCTGCTAAAGCTTTTTGTACATACTTTTACGTATTGAATGGCAATACATACCCTTGTTTTGACCACAAGTTCGAGAACATTCCACAGTTCGTTGCCTGGGAAAGCTGAGCATCAACATTTTCAACTGTATACACTTTTTGTGCCCCCATAATGCGTGTACGTGTAGAGTTGTCCATCATGAACAGAAAAACGTGTACTACATAATTAAAACAAAAAGTAGCTCTCCTGTCTTTCCACGTGAGTTGAGGCGGCGAAATCCCCTCGCTGGGCGAAGTGTTGGAGAATGATCTCCAGTAGTTCTTCTTCCACCCGTTCAACTTGCAATTGAGCTGGAACTTCGTGGTGCCTAATCCGGATAAACCAGTTTCCCACTGCGTTCTTCTTGCTTTTTCTTTTGAAGTCAGGACAAGTGTGAATCCAAAAAGTACGGAGTTTGATTGAGACAAGGGTCTGAGACGAGTGAGTACACGCTACGGCCAATGAGGCGACTTCAGCACGATGGGTTCTTGAGTGCTGGAGACATTCTGTGTGACTTTCTCATTTGGCGTATGTTCAGGGCATGGAGGATGAAGTGAACCATTTTCCGCTTGCAAGGGGATGGCTGGATTGATTGCACACTGGTGAACTATCACTGGGGTTATGTTGTCAATCTTGTTTATGTTTTGTATTCGGTTTCGGTGACAGTAACAGCATAACTATAATGGATAAGCTCAAACATGACGCACGCCATCAACAGGATCGCGACGGCGTGGCGGCTCTGCGCCTGGGCGCGTGCGTTGTGTATTGCAATGCCACGGCGAACCATTTGGGGCCGTGCAGCTGCAGTTCCGAGCATCTGGGGAGTTTCCTGATCGACGGGCTGGCCTTCCCGGAGTCCTGCGAAGTCGGGCCGCCCCCGCCCCATTGTGCGCAAAAGCATAACGGGGCGCAGGTCGGCCGGCCCCGTCTGCTATTGATCACCGGCGCGGCGGAAGGTTTGCGCGCCGCCGCCAAAGGCTGTGGGCCGCGGGGCGCGGGGGGATGCCCCTCTTGTGGCGCGCCCCCCCCCCCCGCCGGCCCCGTTGGGCGGCGCCCCCTTGCCTGTTTTGCCCGTTGGCGGGTTGATAGGCTGCCCGCGCCACTGTCAGCGTGCCGCAAGGCTGCGCGCGCCCGCCACTGAGCTCGGGCCGCGCGCCCCCTTCCTGCCTTTTGCCTGCGAAGGCCAGCAGAAGGAGCGCGCCCTTCCTTTGCCAGGGCGCACGCACGCCAACTGGCTGCCCGTGTCCGTCGTTTTGAGTTGGTTTCAAATCGATTGTGAAGATTCTTTATCAGCAGGCCCTACTTTTGGGTGGAAGGTGGAGTGTTCCGTTCGTAGTGATCCCCGTTCGAAACAGCAAACATTGCGCTGTTGGATGATGAGACAGGTGCGATCGCGCATGACTACGCGCATTGTGATCATGGTGATCCTGACTAATAATCCATATTGCACATGAAACCAGCAGCCGCACCGGAGAAGCGCTACTGGAATCGATGGATGACTATCTGCTCTTTTTGAAGAGCGCCGCAATTATTTTACTCGACGAAGATCAATGCGAAGATCAAGATCTAGAGACTCATACTAAGGCATCATGTTCCCCCACAGAAGATTGATGATAAGTAAATACGTGAATTCTTGCTTTAATGTGTAAAGTAATTAGCAATGTGGCGTCCGTTCAGTATCAGTTCCGAATTACGACGTCCGCGGCCCAGTAAGTCAAAAGGTTTGTCGAGTCATCAGGCGAGTCACTTAATTTCGAGTTTATCTTTTGTACACACAACTAAGGACGCAAGATTTTTACGCGAGAAAAATTACGAAGCCTTTTTTCCCTTCGCAAGTTCACGCTTGTTTTCGTACTCTGCTAGACCACCGTTTCGAACAAGTGAAGAAAATAAGGACAAAATCCTGACGGCGCACAACCGCAACAGCCCTCATGCCTTTGTTCCTGCTCGTTCTTTTGTTGGAGTAGCGGTCGAACGAAACTCGTCTCAGCGACGCCAGCGCGGAGGTTTAAGTGAAGGGAGAAGGAACTTTTTATCTCATTGCCCTTACGCGCGTCCGGGTCCGCGGCGCAATTTCACCTACGAATTGCAAATATGTTTGGGTCTGAAAGATTGCCACATTTGTCATGCTTGTCTGACATGACTCGGAACTCTGTCATGCGTAGGTGCAAAAAGATCGATTTGTCTGTGATGCAAAAGCGCAGTATGCCATGCGGAATACGCTACACATAGCAGCTCAAAAACTTGTCATGCTTGGCCACGTATGACAGTGCGCCCAGTATTCCCTGGTTTGCATCACAAGTTTCCAGACCCAGACATTTTTGCATTTGATATCACCACCATGCCGACGATTTTTGACAAGATTCTGGATAAGGAGATTCTTTCTTTGGTTGCTTTGCAACTTCACCCTTCGCGTCAGCGAGGTGTGGGCAGAGCGACGTATATTGGTACTTGGGCTTACCGTCGCCTTGTGTTGATGCCTGCGGCGCTGTTTTTGTTTTTGTAAGCCTCCATGTCTTGCTTTCTGTGATCTATCGGTCGCAGGTAGTTGCAATGCAAATAGAACTGAGTCAGTCCTACGCATAACTTGTGTTTCGGGCAAGCGCACACGTATTGTACTTATTTTCATGCAAGGGCTAGGGCAGGACATTACCATTAGCGCGTTTTTTGATGGAGCTCGTCCTGCTTCTTACTTTCCGAGGTTTTGTGCGTCATTCGCTTTTATTTGAGATCACGTCTACTTGTCGGAAGATCGCAAAAAAAGACAAAAGTTTTCGTCGATCAAGAGACTCGTTGCCCTGGTGTGCTCCACGTGCCGAGAACAACTGGGAGCCCAGATCTAGCTTCGATCAATATTTTCGCGATTGGAAATGCTCATAATTTCATTTTCGTTATATTGGAAAACGAAAAGCCTCTAGTGAAGTAGAAGTTGTACAGATATGCCCAAGCCAGTGCTTCACAATCGCTCGAGTCATCTTCTGCAGGCGGCCTCACTAGGCAAAGGTGTCGAGAGTAGTAGCATCAAGAAATATTTGAGCTGTGTTTCATCTCTTCCTTCTATTGATAAAGCAGCGATTGCCCTGCCTGCAGTTGTTGTGGAAAAACGCTTTGGCGCATTTCTTTATTTGCCTCGCGCAGCCAGCAGCTTGGCCACCATACATACCTGCGTACATGGGTTGCCAGCACCGGTGCAACTCCTGGAGCGGCAAGAAACCACAGCGCGAGGGACTGTATTTAGGTTTCCTCGTTGTATTTTTGTAAATACAGCGAAACAGCACACGATCACGACGCGCAGCCGCTTTTTCACCACCATGCCGACGATTTTTGACAAGATTCTGGATAAGGAGATTCCTTCCGAGAAGGTGTACGAGGACGACCAAGTTTACGCCTTCAAGGACATCAGCCCGGTATGGAATATACGTTGATTTTTTGTCATCTCATCAGTCGTGGCCACTCAGCATACGGATGAGCATGTGCATGATCTTTTTCCTGTATTACTCCGTGACGCAGGAGCAGGTAGTTGTGGGTATATTAGTTGAACGAACCCTGTGTTAGTGTTTGGCTGTGCAACATGGATCACAAACGAATCCAACACAAATTCCAATTATTATCCTCGATTTGGAGCTGCATCAACCATTATCTACTTCTGCGAAGTAGAATCCCCTCACCACCACAGCAAGCGCCGGTGCATGTGCTCGTGATCCCAAAAGTGCGGGATATTCCGCGCATCTCGGAAGCCCGCGAAGACCACAAAGCCGTACTTGGTCATCTATTCTACGTGGCAGGAAAGATCGGGCGAGAGCTCTGTGGGGAGAAGGGGTTCCGGATCGCGGTCAACGACGGAGACAACGGCGGACAAACGGTGTATCATTTGCACCTGCACGTGCTGGGCAACCGGCCCATGACCTGGCCGCCAGGGTGAGAAGGAAAACGGAGTTGCGCAGGATGAAGATTTCTTTCAACATTAATGAGAACGAAAGAATATTAGATTTGATTTTCATTCCCACGAGGAAGATCGCAATGTCACTGAAGACCAAAATGGGAGCACCAGATGCTGGAATTTTGCGCGAAAAAAATGTCATGTCAGTATTCTCTGGGTTGTCTCCGGCGTGCTCCTTCATCATTCTTGACAGCTCATAGTGCAGCCGCAGTGCGTTCATCCTGCTTAGTTTCCGAAGCCGCACGAGTTTCGAAACTTATCGGACGGCGGCTTTAATGTCCAAATAATAATAAATCTGTGTTTGCTTATTTTTGCAAGATTCAGCTCTACCGAGGGGAAGACTGTTTGTTTTTGTTTTCTGCGGAGCTTTCTGAAGCAGCAGGAGAGAGCATGAGTGTGTCGCGAGCTTATGAAAAAATTGGGGTGTGAAAATATTATTTAACATCGTGTTGAACTTCAGCATAGAGAACATCTTCTAGAAAGACAAAATGGCACCCATTCTCTCTCCTCAGACGCCTCATGGTTTTTGCTCTGTTGCATTGCTTTTGCGCGGTGTTTTGCTCTTGCTTCCGAGGACAGTCCTTGCAGAAGCCGTGATCGCGGTGCCCGAGAAAGAGGAGCTACACAGAGCAAACCAGGCAGCTCCTCCTGCAGTGCGACCCGGAGGAATTTCGGTGGGCGATGCGCGGGAATTTTTCCAGACGGATTTGAAATCCCTCGTCTCTTTTCGCGTTTTACCGAAGCCAGGACGATCTTCTCCTTCTCAAGTTGTACGCACTTCAGAGCGGGGGCCTGAGGAGCCACAAGAAGACGATGATGTCGTGAAACGTGGCTTGAGGAAGAAGGTGGAAATCCTCGATTTCTACCCGATTCGCAGCGACAAGCAGTTCAACGACACTTTGGATTTTGCGGCAAAACTGATTTACTTCGAAAACCGCTATGGCGGCGTGACCGGGGTCTTGCGAACCGATGTGGAAGATGAGGACCTGCGGCTGGTGAAAAACGACCAGGGAGGCGACCGCATGTCTCGCAGTCTGACTCTAACCTTGAACCTACGCTGAGTAAAAACCGGTACCCATAAAAGTACCCCATAATTTTGATTGAACTAGATCTAGTGGTGCCATCCATGTGCTGCAGGAGGGGTCTGCTGTGGCATTTTTGCATGAGCGGCGTTCTACTCTGGTGGTGTTTGAGACGACGATGAACTTCTTGTCGTGTCTCCTAAGTAAGCAGGTGTCAAGATTCGACAATAGTACCTGAGTATACATATCATAAGACTGGGCTAAATGCTTGGCACCAGAAACTTGTGGATTTGCATTTGTCTTCAGGCAATACTCCCACTTGAACGTTGGGTCCGGTACGTAGTTTTTACTCAGGATAGAACCCGCACGCCTGGTTTTCGCACAGCTACGCGTTCGGCTACACGGTGCATTTGCAGCGCTGGGTCAGACGGTGGGTGGCAACGGCAGTGAAGGCCTATAAGGTAGACAACTTGAAAAGTGCCGGCGCCGAGGACAGCAGCACGGAGACCAGAAGCTCTTCACGAAGGAGCACAACGAGCTCGACTCAGTCGAAGACGCAAGAACGAGAAGCAATGAAAGCGTTTCTGCATGATCACAAAGACGCGATGTCTTTCGCGATGGCCGAAGTGGGGATACTGTCCGGAACCGGGCTAGCTTTGTGGCACACAGTGTGGAACGAAATGCTGCTGCCCAAGCTGGAGGAAGGAATTCTCGCGGAATCTGAAAAGTCCGTTTCAATATCGAACGACGGCGCAGAGGTTCTTGAGGCCACGACTGGAAGTGAAAGCGAAGAAGCAACGACAGTGGTAGCAGATGTTCAACAAGTAGTCCGTGCAGATGATGCAGTACAACTGCAAGAAGCAGAAACCCCCTCAAATAAGAACTCAAACAATTTCCAGCTTTTCGGGTTCGACCTCGACCCCACCGTGTATGCGCAGAACGCAGCAAATTTGGTGCAACGGGGCGCTTTTCAGCTTGGAGAGGGATTGCGGACGCAACTGCAGAAGCCTACCGGTACAAAAGCGCAACAGGGAAAAGACCAGGACCATTCTGTCTCTAGCAGTGCGGGAAGAGGTGAAAGTCAGTCTGGTGTTCATCCAGCACCATCTACCAGTAGCGCGAGGACCTCCACGCAGTTTTTGATATTGCCCTACGTGTACAAGTTTGTGCAGGGCCTCTCAGTCTGGTTGAACCGGCAGCGGGTGCGGAATTCTATTCGGCACGCAAAAATGAGTGTGAAGAGCAGGATGTTGCTGAACAAAAGCGGTGCTGGACAAAACTATCGGGAAGATGATGGTGCTACTTTTCCTCCTTCCAACCTCGGAGGAACCTCCAGCATGGTCAGAACGACTGCACCGACGGCAATATCTTCCGCACCAGACCCGATAAATTTCTTCGACATGAAGAACATAGACGCGCCCTTTGATGGGGACGGAGGTACGTCGGCGACTGACGGATCTCCACTTGAAGGTGCCGGACCGGGTCGGGCGGGCGCTGTGGCTACCTCCATTGACGTTGAGCCGGAAGTCGAAGCACAGGATAAAGAGCCAAGGGTACAGAACAAGGAACGCGTATCAGCGAGCCCTGCTGCCCGTCCACAACTATCAGCAAATACTACTTTCCACTTGCTGATCGACGACGCGTACCATTCGGACGAATCGATACTGCACACGTTTGAAGTTTTCCACCCCTTCTTGCAGCGCCCGTGGACGTTCTTCATCGAAGACAACTGTGGGGCGGTCTACCCGCTGGCCGATCGCCTTTTCGACAAAGCGCGGCCCTACGACGGCCAGGATACCGTGGAGCTGTTTTATCCTCGGAAAGACACTTATTCGTGAATGCTGTAGAAGTCCTGAGCAGCTCAACTTCCGACTTGACTGGGAACAAGTTCTTGGCTTGCGGCGTTTGCATTTTACGAAGTGTGTTTCCTGGGATAGATATGACACGAGAAGCGCAATGAAAACAGCTGCCCGGAACGACGATGCATGGAAAGTGCGTTGTTCATGAAGCTTTGCAGAACGGAAAAATACAAAAGTCATTTTCACTTGATGGGAGCTCCTCGGGACGATTTCAAAAATTTCATACGCGCCTTCACAAGACGGACAGACCAAACGACTGCCTCATTGTTGTAGAGACGACTTGAAAGTCAAGATATATTTCTGTACTTCAATACTACTAAAGCTAAACCGCATATTGCTGAGTTACACGTTTCCACACCATGAGGTGTGCTGGACAGCCGACAAGCTACTGCGCGATACCATCCTAGCGCCAGAACGACGAGAAGGAGCAGATACATTTTCACAGGTTGAAAGAGAAGTAATAAGCAGGTTTGGTACTGCTCTCGCGTTGCAATGCAGATCCTGCTCTTTGTGGGGTCTTATTTTGAAAACCTGGTTGTATAAAGCACTTATGGATCATGTTCCATCAGCAAGAAAACTACACAGTGCTATCTGGTTGTTGTTGGCTTCGCGCGCGCTCGCGCTCGCCACATCATCTCACTCTAGATGGTGGCTCGGTCATCTTGTTGGTACAACTAAGTACTTATACCCTGCTCCGTACTAAGTACAACTGCGGATGCGGTACGAAAAAGTGTACTTGTCGTGGTGCGAGGTGACATGATTTAATAAAACGAAGAGCCAGCAGATTCTCCTACTTCGCTTGGCAACTTCATGCCCTGCTTGTCGATACTTCTATTCGGTTCTCAGCGCTACCGCTAGATGAAGAGATGACCCTCCCGTGGTTCGCATCGCTTGCTTGCCATCACGTGTTCGTGTTGTGGATCGTTTTGGTGTCCGAACACAAGCTTTTGCATGTCGCTTGCGGCGACGCACGAAAAACTGCTGACAGAAGTAGGGCGGGACGTCGAGGTGGACTTCCAGGTGCCGTACAGGATGGAAAGAACTACAGGCATCAAAAATCATCGAAAGCTAGTAGCGCCCGGCGGAGCCAGGACGACCAGCTCTATGTGCACTACCCGCAATTTGACTTCGCAGGAGACAAGTTTTACTCCGCGAGTGGAGTTGTACTCGAGCAGGAAGATGAACATGGAAGAACCGCCACGGCGCGGTCAAAATCAGGCGAGACGTTGGACCTGCTGTCATCACAAGCTGGTCAACTACAGGTTTCGACAGCTAGAAGCCCTTGTAGTTCAACATCTACCACCTGCTCCGACTGGCGTACTGGCCTCTTCGAGGCCTTTCGACCCACCGTGTCCTGGGCCGACTTTGTCGACATTCGAAGCACTACTACTTCATCCTCATCCAGTGGACGAGGTGACACTGGAAATAAACGGACAAAGCAGCCGACGTCCTCTGCAGCGAAACAGGACGAGAGTGCAGCGGAGAGACCGGCCAGAAGAACACGAGCGACATCGACGGCTGCAGAGCTACTTGGTCAAGACCGCGTTGATCTGGTAACCAAATGCGTGCGCGCGCGCGCGCAGAGCGCGCGCCGGCCCACGAAGCCGGCGCGCGCGCTCTGCGCGCTTGCGATATTGCTTAGCAAACGCAGCGCGAAGGCAGTTGCCGTTACCATATAGGGCAACCGCCGGGAGGCGTGAAGGTCAGGGAAATGGCCAGAAATGAAGCGGGAGAAGGGAAAAAAAGCGGACCAGATGGGAAAATGGCCACGAGGTCAAAAATCTCGCAAAAACGTCAGAAATCAAGCGGGAGAAGGTGAAAAAAGAGCATTTTTGCGGTTTGGCTCACTTAGTATCTGAAAAAGAGACGGACTATTTTTTGCTCCGCCCGCTGGCCAGCTGCGTTGGAGAAGCAGGCCCGCGACCTGTCCGGAAGCCTTAGGCCGCTTCGTAACTGGAAAAAGTTGGAAAAAAATGGCAAAAATTTGCTTCATAACGTGGGTGGAAGCAATCGGCGGATTTTGTCCAGATCACCCGGGCCACTTAGAAAATGGGAAAAGATGAGAAATTGCGCAAAAGCGCAATCCCTCCGCAGGCTTCAAAATTGCCAGGCAGATGCGGGCGGTAAAAATGTGCAGGTCGCTGGGGCCACTTAGAAACCAGAAAAAAGCGCGAAAATTAAAAGAAATCGAGAACCCTCGGCAGGCTTAGAAACTGGCCACCAAGGGCGGCCCGGCGGGCGCGCGCTTGCGCCGTACCATCGCGATTGGGAAAAAAAAACCGCACTAGAAGCGGGCGGGGGTATGTCACAAAATCCCCATTTGCCCTGGGTTGTGAGCAGAAATTCGGCATCTTCCCCGGGTCTGAAATGGCCGATTTTGGTGGCCCGGAAGGGTTCGCGGGTTTTCGGCCTTCCACATACCTCCCGGGCCAGGGGGCCAGTTTGTCACGCAGGGGGCTAGAAAGGATGCCACGCTGCGAGCTAGCAGACCGGATTTCGCATTCAATGCTTATCGCAGGAGCCTGCGGGCCGCCGCGGGCGACAGTAGTTGTCCGCGGCCCTTTAGGGCCGCGGGGAAGTGGTGGAGCCCGCGGCGGCCCGCAGGCTCCTGCGATAAGCTTTGAATGCGAATCCGGAAGCCTCCGATGACCCGGGATAGCAGTGGGATTCTAATTAAAAAGAAATGGTGGCGGCAGCCGCGCGGCGCAAGCGCGGCTGGTTAGGCTTTCGCGCTGGTTAGATTTTCGCGCACGCACTTGGTTACCAATATCGCCCTCCGGGCGCGACATTCATACCAGAAGTCCCGCCGAGAGACACAAAGATGACTCCCCGGTGATCGTCTTTCACGACACCCTAGACGAGGAACTGCAGAACTTGAAAGTTGTGCGCTACAAACATACGGTCGAGAGCGACCACTTTCATCTGGCGGTCCGCGAGCGCCTGGCCGCCTACGTGGCGAAAAAGTTTCTAGATCCCCTTCCGCCCGGCAGTCTGTTTGCGTTCCGCGTGGCGCATTTCGCGACGGTGGCCTTGGCCCACCGGGCTATCGAGTTGCTCTCCGCGGACCACACGCGGATAGAGTTCACCAACCCGGCGCGCAGCAACTTCGGCATCCACGCGGTGGCGTGTTGGCCGGGGCCGAGTGCTAAGTCAAAATCTTCGTCAACATCTTCGGGCGGTGGCTGCGTCCTCGAGAAGGCGGCGAGGAAACGGGACTTCGAAATTTACTTTCAGAATGGGACCACAGCAAGTAGACCCGCAGGCAAGAGATCCAGCACGGAGAATTACCACAAAACTGCACTTCAGGAAAAATCAAATCCCACCGCAGCTCCCACGTCATCATCCTCTCATGAAAGGATCCCTAACCTTGACGACCTGCGCGCCGCGCGGGAAAACCGAGCCAGCTGGGCTGCTGTGGCGTCGCGTTTCTTTCGGGTCGCGAACCGCACACAGATATCCTCAGCAAAAACGTACCCGACCCATAGTCAGGATAGGAAACTTTGCATAGTCATTTTAAATCCAGAAGTTGTAGTCGCGGGAGTCACGCATGACCACACAGTTGGAGTCGCATTCTCGTCGTGCATTGCTGCTTTTGATTACTACAGCCGCGTGGTCAACACATCAGATCCACTTTCTTATACTCTGCCGTTGCAAAGCCAAAGTTCCAAAATAACGACTACAAATTGGCTAGTACTGTGGCAAGCCGCTCCGCATGATGGTAGCGACGTGTTCCGGGCATGCAAAAATGATTTGCGTGAGATGAATTGGAAGGTCTTAGGAGTAGTGGGTACTTATGTTTTGACAAAGGATAAAAAACGGATAAGGTGGAATACAGAACGCACGAGTACCACTCGCTTTACGGGAAGTATCTACCGGAGATTATGTTTGCGAGCGGCGAGGTATCACACAGAAAAAAGCTGGCAGGTCATATTTGTAATGCAAGAATACATAGACAAGAAAACTTGTCATGGGTGGCCCCATAGCATGCTGCTTCGGATATACAGTACAGAGCTTTTTGTGTATTTATTTTTGCATATACAAATATGCCCTGCCAGCTTTTTTCTGTGTGATACGAGGAGGACTCGACGCGCAAACGGCGTCCGCTGCTGGAAATCGGGTTTGGTTGCACGATGTGGTACGGACCGGGCGCGAGCGCAGACCTGTGGGTCAAACTGGGCTTCAAAAACGTCCATTTTCTGGAGCAGGATTTGAAGTGTGTCGAAAAGCATCAGAAGAAGATCGCGAGCACCGGTGGCTACTTCGTGCACATTGGGGACCAGGAGGACGTTCTCCGGTTGGAAGGTTTGAAGCAAGCGCTTCACTACGAGGCTGAGGTGATCATCGACGATGGGGGGCACCGGAACAACCAAATGCTGACGTCCTTCCACCACCTGTGGCCCATCGTGCGGAACAACGGGCTGTATTTTATCGAGGACTGGGCCGAGACGGCGTACTACCCCGGGTACTTGGACGCGCCGCCCCGTGTATTCTGAGTAAAAACATCCCCACACCAGAGTCAAGTTAGGAATCTAGCAAGACAAATCCACACGTTTTGGGAGCCACGCATGAGAAGTTGCAGTCCGTAGTGTAGTGCATGTTAGCAAGGACGGCCGCATCACAAATTCTTCTGCTTAACCTGTTTACAGCATTACAAATTCCAAAACGCGATTGGAAATGCCTCTCATGGCGATGCGCATTACAAATCTTCCTTTAATCGCAAATCTGCATGACAACCATGGGGTGGGGACGTTTTTACTCAGGATACCGGGTCACACGCCCCGGGAACGAAACCGCGGGCACCGCGCAGTTCGCGTTTGCGATGTTCCTGCGGATATCAAATGCAAAAGTGTCTGGGTCTGGAGCAAAGCGACTTGTCATGCTAAATCTGAATCATGTGGAAATCTGTGTTGCATGATTGCCAAAAGCTGTCTACTTTTGACCTGATCGAGAGGCAGTTTCTCATGCAGGATAGGCATGATAGAACTGTCACAGAATCTGTCATGCTATGTCCTACATACCAGACCTCATGGCTCATGGAAACTCTGCGTGACAAGTCTGGCACTCTTCCAGACCCAGACACTTTTGCAGTTGATAGCGGAACCTGTTCTGCGAGACTTTGCAGACGCCGTGCTTCGGCGATTTCGCTTTCATGGAGGTGCAGTTTAACCATGTGGTGTTTCGGAAACGCAAGCTGTAGCGCTGGGTGGCCGTTTGATAGACCGAAGATGACGAGTAGGCTTTGATATAATTTTTCCGCGTCGGATTTTTTACTTATTTCCTTTTGCCGTAAAAGTCAAAGTAATCAAAGAAGAAGAACACCCGACTACTTGACCGGGCAGCGGTCCGCTTCATCTGTTATCAAACTCCTGCTCTCGCACTCGCATAAAGATTAAGATTTATTTTCGGCTTTCATCTTCAGTTGGTTCTTGTGTAGTTGTTCTTCCGCGGTCTTGTGACACTTGATTTCATTAGAGCGCAAATCAATGTGATGCACAGGAATCATTATGTGGCGGACCTCCACGACCGTCCTGGAGGAAAATGTGGTGGTCTTCTCGTCGTAATATTAAAAAGGGAAACACAATAAACAAGAGACCACGACGAGGAGGAACGCGGTTTCCGCTTCCGCTTTCGCTGCAGTCCCCCCTGCTTTCTGATTATTCGGTGGATCACCAGCTCCGTTCGGGGTCGCTTCGTAGTACAGAAAATGGTCCGCGGGTGGAGAGACTACTTTCGTAGCCAGTCTGTGGGCTTCTTCAATTCGCAAAAGTCGGCGCAGCTTCGACTTGCCTGGTGGACAAGATCGTTCTGTGCACCACTGGACTGGTGACTCCAAGAAGCAAAAAGCTTTTTATTGATCATTTGCTACAACTCCGCTGCACCTTGCGCAAATCAATGGAAGTAAACTACAGCAGTTTATTTGTTTCTCGACCCGCATTCACTACCACCGTGGTGCAGGGCACAACACTGCAGACGATCTTCTCCTAAAACTCCCAGTACCGTCGTTTTTTTTTGTTTTTGCCAGGAGGATCACATCTGTATTCAAAATTTCGTGTGGGTGTCCGCTTCTCGTTCATGTTTATTTTTAAAGCTATTCCTATTGTGGAAATAAAGGTTTTATTTCTATTTCGTAAATACTTACACTCAAGGCCCCATCGCCCGAAGGAAGTAGAAGACGAAGACAGAGACCCTGTCAGCGTCCTCACGATCTGCAAGAAAATATTGAGATATTTTTCTTTGTCTCCACTATGTTGTTGAGACTCGTTTATTGTAAAAATTTCCTGCTAAACAACTTCTTTCTCGCTTGGTTCACTACATCTTTAAGTTTGAGTGGATTTTTCACTTCTACAGTGCGCGGAGATGAAGAAACTTTGCCGTCGTGGTCCTCACGACCTCCAGGTGAAGCAGAGGCAGAGCCAGAGGAAGATGAAATTGCAAGTGCTCCACCTCAGCAGTCAACCTGCTTGTTGCAGATGTACCGGCCGCGAAGAACTACAGGTGATGATAGACTCGAAATGGTCCAACGGCAGACGGCAGACAGCGAAGAGATTGCTCGTAGTTCCATCGATTACGGAAAAATTGGGGTCAAGGACGTCCTTGCGGAGCTGTGGCAGACGGAATGTAAGACGCGAGGAACATTACCATCGAGAACGGCAAGTGGCAGCACACGTGCGGAGGAAGATTCGCATGATTTTCTGCTCGGCGAACTACAAGGTGCTGGAGCAGTACGCGGTCGGGAAAAAAGTCGTGAAAAGACGTATAACCTGCTCAGCTGTTACAATCTCAAACGTTGCAATAGAATCTGGAATTTGTGTTGCATGATGAGCATGACAGACTCGCACAGCGTTCCACCTTTTGCAATACATAACTCGTCAGATAATTCTAGTGCGGATTGGGCCTCCAGAACTTGTCATGCGCAATCCTGTGGGAGTAGGCTAGGTCATGCACTCTTGTATCACAGATTGCCATATTCTATTGTAACGTTTGAGATTGTAACAGCTGAGCGCGTTATAAGACGAAGAACTTGTTCGACTGGCTTTGCAGCGCCGCGACGTCCGACATGCTGCGCAGGCACGTGGAAGAAAGTGGAAACAAGCCGGCTTTTTCTGCGAAACAACAGCTGTTTCCACGGTTTCTCCACCTGTCCGTGCTGATCAACTATCATTACGCTGAGGTGAAGAACAACTACTCCTACTTTTTCAACGCGCTTTTCGACTACTATCCTGTGCAAACGTAATTGTATCGTTGGCTTGCTACGTATTCATATTGTAGTCGTGCATAGATAAAGACAGGCGTGGTCATGGTCTGATGCTGATTTATGTGCCTGAATCTGCATGTAGAAATTAGAAAAGTTTCGTTTGTTTGTCTTACTCATACTGAAAAAAATTTCATATGCACATAGAGTGTTGCTGATGCAATTACTTTTTGCTGCAAAAGTGCATAGTTGCCATCCAAGAACAACCCCCCAATCGCCGCTCTACTCTTACGGCCGCTTCCTGGCGTTCGTCCGCTATTTAGGTGGGGGGAACCGGTGCAATAACTTGCTGTATCTGGACACAGACGCGGTAGTTTTGAAGCCGTGGCTTATGCATTGCAAACATGTAGTGGTCTGGCTTTGGGTCGGGAAAGGAAGTCGCTCCTTGATCTTACTCATCTATTTTGCGAACACATGATGACACCTATTCGTCTTGCGCTCTTCTACGCAGTCGAAGGCGTTTAAAAAACTTTGTTAGCTATGCTTGTTTGGTGCCCTACTACTTTTATTCGGTGTCTCTCCAAAGCTTTCGAGTGTCTCTCTGACCCAGCACAACGGAGCATCACAAGCTTCGAGACCCAAACCAGCGCTCATTTGCCATTGATAGGGCTCTCGGTCGAACAGCTGGCGGCGGTCATAACGGGGAACGATGCGGGAGCCCCGACAACGAACGCTAGAAGCAATGACGCGTGGCAGATCGCCTACACGCCCGAATCAAACGACCAATCGCGGGCCAAGCACGACCGCACGCTGCCTCAGGCCGGTGTTTTGTTACTCAGGCAGCGGAACTCGCGCGAGCAGGAGTGGATCGTGGATTTTTTTTCTCGTCTCTTCCTGGCCGAGGGAGACCTCTGCAGTGTAGGAATGGAAGACAAGAAACGCAGCACTTCTACTTCTGCGGCGCCGACGAGAGCTAGTTTAACACCAACAGCTCCAGAGGACCACCACGACGTGGACGTGGAAGATAAACGAGAAGGCGCACTAAAAACAGGAATCATGAAGATCGCGCGTGAGGTCGTAGTTTTGCCTAGCGGTGTTGAAGCCGCACAAATGGAAATAACGGGCAAAGAATTATCTGCATCAAGATCAACCTCAATATCAGCACCGTCAACATCTACTTCACCATCTTCTTCTCTGCAGCACAGCAACGACCCCTTCGGTAGTCGCGTGCACGACCAGGCTTGTTTGCACCATGCGATTACTTCCAAATTCCTCAACAGCAACGAGAAGGCGGTGATGATCAATCCGAGTAACTGGTTCCAGCACACCAGCGCGCGCACGGGAATGATCACAACGCTGGAGGACGAGAACAGCGTCTGCCTCTATCGGTCCCCGTTCGTCCTCCATTTGAGCGGGAGGCAAGGCGCGTACCGCGAGCGCGTGTTTGAAACCTACGCGAAGTTTCCCGGGGAGATACTTGGAGCGTTCGCTGCTGAGCATTGTAGCAACAATGGACGAGGATTTTTTCGTCGCGACAGCGGCAAACGCGAGGAAATAAAGCCGCCAGAGGTGGTCGTGGAGGAGGAGGTCGTAATATTGCACAGCACTTCCTCTCCTGAGAAATTATCCAATGTTCTTGACTTCAAAAGCACGAGCATGATGCCAGCAGCCGGATCTTCGCGCCTTTATTCCGCGGCAGAGACTTTGATCGATGACGTACTCATCCCCGCGCACGGTTTCACCTTTCTCCCCGGAAGATCACGAACCAGCGGAGCAACCGCGGCCGCGCTGCACATAAGTGCCGCATTGGACGAGAAGACACTGGCTCCTCCGGTTCGGCATAAAAGATATGCCACTAAAAAGCCGCCGGAAGAGCAAGAGATAAAGCAGTACGGAACAAAAATAAATGAAAAGACCAGCTCTAGTACTGTCGCCGATCGCATTTTGCTTAGCCAGCAGCTGCTGAGCGCGAAGGAAATAGAAAAACCTCCCGCGAGAATTATGCACCTCGCGACGGACCGGCTGACGTCGCGGCTGCCACTGCACGCCTTGCCTTGGTACGATGCCCCTTTGGCGATCATTGTGCCCCAGACCTACTTCCATGCCGGCAATAATCTCACTTCAGAGCAGAAGCTCCTTCCGCTGCATTTGGTCCAGACGGTGCAAATGCTGGACGCGGCGGCGAGTCTGCGATTATTCTTCTTGCGCAACACGGCAGTGCTGGTACAACAAGAAACGGCTTCTGATACGACACAACTTCCAAGTACCATCTCAGATGAGAATACTAGCGACGACCCTGACGGGATCAAGAACATTACTGGCCGGGGGTACGACTGGCCGTTTTCTCGCCCGGTGGTGCGGTATGTGGACGATCACAAAGCGTTGCAGCTGGTCGAGTTCAACGACTTGAGCTGTGATCCTCTGCACCGAGGTTTGTTCGGCCGTGCGGAGATCTCCGACGAGTATGAAAGTGCAGGAAAATAAAACTTGAGTCCTCATCTCCCCGTTAAAGAACCTCATTTGAAGTAGTAGTGCTAGTGCCACAAAACAGCAACGGAAAATAAAATAGGGGAGCTGCATGCACGACCCCTTGCTTTTTGGATAACATTCGCAAGAACCAACATGATACCACGCTCAAACAGATCCAAGTAAGTAGCAGAGGAACAACAATTGCTATGTGTGCATGACAATGACAAATAATGAGGGCGGAGTTGTGGAGTTGAAGTTGTGCACTCCTCGTCGCATATCGACCTGCAATCCTTCATGCGGGGACCGATGATGCGTGCGGGGTTTCGGGTCGGCCTGGACACCCTGCCGCACTTCTTTTTCGAGCACACAGAAAATGGAAATAACCACAGTCAAGAACTACATCAAAAAGAAAAACACTTTTCTCCCGATAGTCACGACATGGGCCCGAAGAGTAAAAATCCTGCCGCGAGCTCAACATCACCTACGTGGAACAAGATGTTTTATCACCACAACCGGACTTCCAAACTGCGGCACAAGCACGTGGCGGAGCACCACCGGCACCACGTCATGATATCCCTAGTAAATGCGCCGCCCAAGGAGAGGATCCAACAGGAAAAGCTGTTTGAGTTTCCGTTTCCCTTTGAATTGGGGTTTAACAGCAACCAGGCGCTGTCCAACGGACTGCTGTCGACGGCCGGTATGCGAACCTTTTTGGTGTTTCTGCCTGCGCGGAAGGTGGGAAGAAGGAAATTTTTGGGAGGAGAAGTACTATGGGGCAGCTCATCGGGGGGACGAACAACTTCTACAGCGACCAGCAGGAAGGAAAACGAAAATGAAGATTTTCAGGAACAATATACAGTGGATGCCGCCATCGTAGATTCAGCTCTACTGCACATCCTATGCAAAAAAAAACGTGTTTTCTGTACAGTTACACACTAGGCGGCGACGAGGCGTGTTGCAGCAGGCCGCGCAAGACTCATGCCGGGTCTGCTAAGAAGCCTCGTTTCTTTATTCGTGTTTTCCTTTATAATCTTGGCATTGCACTGGCACTCTTGATCATGCCGAACCAAACGGGGTAGTTGTGCATGTGTCACAGCTGCAAATGTGATGTGACTGTAGCGCTTTACTTTTCTGTTGGGATACCTCAAAGAGCTGGCTCAGTATGGATATCGCGCCGCCGATACTGGGCGGAAAAATCCCACCTTTCCATATTGAAAACGCATCCGTCTGAGAATTTGTGATGCAGATTTGTGACTACAAATCCTGTGTGTCTTGCAAGAAGGCAAGCCCAGAGAGTCCGCCCCATTATGCAGGCGGTTTGTGATGCTGCTCGGCTTACAGCATAGACATTTACCATCCTAGGCACCTAAGTCAATTCCTCCCAACTCAGGCGTGGCATATGCCTGCAGTCCTCTACTGCAAGACAAATCCGATCTGTGTACGGAAATCCAGCATCAGAAACTTCGTTTGGATATGGGGAGGGGGCATTTTTCCTTCTGATACGCGAGGTCGATGGCGCGCGCTTCGCAAGCGACGCGTTGCCGGAGCCACTGGGCTATCCTGTGCAAAAGTATCGTACTCGTAGTAATCGCAATCATGCATTACAAATCTCCTTCCTAACCTAAATCCGCATTACAAATTCCATTTTTCATGCTGAGGGAATTTGTCATGCGATTTATACTAGTACGATGCTTTTGCATTTCATATGGGCCGGCTTTTTGTGGTGGTGCAGCTCGAGAACGAGAAGGAGGTGAGCGAAGGCACCAGCACTGACGGACCGGGAACGTCGAGAGAAACAGGAGGCGGCACTGTGGAACGGGAAGCTGCTGTGCCTGAAGTGTGGAGCATTTTTGATGTTGAAGAGGCGACCACTTCCGGTAGTACGGAGGAAACACAAGTCCATACAGAGAAGAACGATCGGCTCCTTCCAGTTCCCCTCTCGGAGCATATCAGAGCTGCCATGTTCGATTGTGAGGCCGGAGAAAAGGCGGCGCAACGGCTTGGATCCTCACCAGTGAAGACGGGAGCGGGTGTAGTACACAGAAATACGCTCGTGTACCAGTGCTTTATGTTTCCGGAGTCACTCATTCCGGATTACGTACAGCCGACCCGAGATAGGTTTCTCTCGGAGGCGTGAGGGATTTTTGCAGGAAGCGGCTCCGCTTCTGCGTGGAAAACGGGTGGTGGCGGGATGATCTATCTTCGTGCCGAGTTGTTCTACTTGTGTTTAGACAGAAAAGCAACACATACTTGTTTTACTGTGTGTGCCTTGTCTATTCAGCAGCATGATATGGTACGGTGTCTTTATCGCGTGGATTTTTTTTTTCGAATAGATACTCATGGCCTGCGCATGAAAAACGAGTTCGGCAGAAGGATCAGAGTTACGCACTTCGGCGGAGTGTGGACCTTTTTTTAGGATCTTGCTTCTGATTTTTGCCTCATGCCGTTTGAAACGGCTTTATCGTGACAAGTTTTTTAATGGATGCGAATCAATGCGGGAGCGGGACCAAAAATTCTCAAAAGCGTAACCGTCTTGTAGCACATGTAAGTACTTCCGAAAATCAGAACTCACGAGAGAGTACAGCTCATAAGGTCGATATTTTTTTGGGTTCCTCCTTCATCGCTCGCATTCTACAAAAGCAAGTGGTCCCTCGTCGAGAACAAAGTCATGCGCTCAGTTTTCACTACACAATCTCAATCCTATGAAGAGAAGGATAAGTTCGTTGTTTTTGGTTCGCTACGCCGCCGTGATTGTTTTTCTGCTGCTTTCTTGCGTTCCTGCTTTGTTGTGTCTTCCGAGTATAGTTACACTCGCCTTCCTTCTCTTTTTGCTTCACCGTGCAGTGGCGCTGCGCCCGAGGAGATGTTGGTCATCTCGTTCTCCACCAGGAGGAAACAAAACGTGTTCCATGGCAGCGGCAATGCTGGCTCTCGCGGCGACGTGGTCAGGTGGGATTGGGAGTCTAGCGCTCGTGGTCCCCGCAGAACCAGGCGGTGTTTCGTCCGGTGCGCAGTTGGAAGTGGAACACGAACCACATCAAGAAGACGAAGGTGGTCAACATTTTTACGACGACGTAGCGACCGTTATCATCGCGGCGCCGCAGAGCAAGACCCAGAAACGGCTGCACATTCTGGAGCAAACGATGCAGTCAATTCGCCAAGCAAGTCCGAGGCTGGCGAATTCTTTGGTCCATGTGTGTTTCGACGGGAACGAGCTGCCGACGCTCAAGACCGCGGCGTACGTGCACATTCACAAGTCGCTTTGGTTCAACGCGACCCTGCGCGCAGAAAAATCGCTGAAGGAGTTGAAAAAAATTTCTGATGTAATGTGGGAAGCGGAAGATCGCTTTATCTCTCTAGACAGGAAAGGAAATCCCGAGTTCTATGGTGGCTACGTGGCCGTGAAAAACGGGACCCGCATGATCCGCGGCGCGCACCTCGACGAGCGTTGCCGCAAACCGTTTAACCACACGATATACCGGGATTTCAAGAGACGAGCAAAGATGTCGGCACGGAGAATTTTTGCGTCTAGTACTACGTCGCGGCAGCTAATAAAGACGCGTAAAAATTACTATACTGGTTCAACTACACAACCACCACCGTCAGAACAACAGAGTTGTTCCAAGACATCTTCAGCAAATAAGTACTACATCGACGAAGCCTTCCTTGCCGCCCCAGCGCCATGGAAGTTGAGGAAGAAAGGGCTGAAATTCACCTTTTTTAGGGACGCACCCAACCTGCGGTTCGTCGAGCTCACGAAGCGGGGGTGTTTGGGCTCCACCCTGAACGCTTGTATGGCGGGGTTGCCGGACAGAATCAAGCTGGTGCACATGATGCAGGCGGACATGCCGTTTCTGCGGCCGTTCAACGTGGACGAAACTTTGGGTCTGATGCGAAAAACGAGGCGGTGGCGCGATCAGTTGACAAGCGAGATCAGGGCGCTGGAGGTGCAAAAATACCAACAAAATTCCGACGTGCACCGGTATTTCAAGCAGATAAGAGGTCTCGTGCAGGAGAAAAGGGAACAAATCAAGGCGATTCCGAACATCGAGCTCGTCCACTACGCACAAGGCCTCAACTGGATGCACGAGTCCTGGGGGGTGCAGGTGTGCCACGCGTTTTTGCCGAAGTACGTCGGAGAAAAGGTGATCACGTTGAAGAAGGACGACCACTTGTTCTCGCGCCGAACTGATCTCGATCTTCCGCATGACAAAATGACAAACACCTGCAGTGCCGCGCCCGATAGAAGTGGTCGTGGTGCCGCGACTTGTAGTTCCCCATCGTCTTCCGGCAGCCTCCGGCTGACCCGTTCCTCCGTCTTCAGCGACCAGTCGCACTTCATCCAGCGTGACTTCTACGACCGTTTTATCTGGCCGAAGCTGCGGAACCCGTTGGACATTGCGGGCGGTCTGGGCGTCTTTCCGGAAGACGGGGTGACTTGCGGTATCAACAAGACCTTCGGGATTTGGCACGTGGGCGACGTGTGGGACGGGGACTTCGCGGCGCATTTGGCGGCCACGGGGGAGTGGCGACGGGACTACAGCAGGGATCGCTTCCTGGTGAGCGGCGGAAGGAACGACGAGGACGAAATGACGACGAGCGAAGATATTAGTGTTCCTTCTGTACGTGACACGGGACGAGCGCCGGGGGTCGGTGTTGACGTTGTTCCTGCAACAAGAACAGAGCGCGCTCCAAATAGTAAATCTCTCAGCACGACGAGAGCTTCGTCGACAGCAGCCCCAACCGCCCACTCCTCTTCCCATTTCTGTGATGTGGTTCTGAAGCACAACATCACCCGACAGCGGTTCCTCGATTACGAGGTAGCGCTTGACGTCGAAAACGACACCGGTTCCGGCGACACTGCGGCCACCAACCCGAGGGCAACGTCTAGCAGTGATAGTGAAAGAACCGAGCAGGTGAAGGCTGTTTTAGAAAAGCTCACGTTCCCACATGAACACGAGGAACTGCCCTTGCAGAAAGAGATCAAGGTGTTCCACGTTGAAGCCTGCTGGGAGGTGGCGGAGCACCGGCGAATCGAACAGGAAGCCATTGAGGAACACAGAAAGCGGTCGTTGGTTCCGGTGGTAGACGAAGCAGCAGAGAAGAAGGCCGCTAAGACGAATAGTGAAAAAGGAAAAGGGAAGTCGACAACGACCGATATAAAGACCAGCAGTAAAGAGGGAACGGCGAAGGGAGAGGGACGACGAGATGTGGCAAGAAGCGACGGAGGTTCTTTCGACAAGGAAGCAAAAGCGAAAAGTAAAACAAGTTCGGAACAAAATTACGAGGTGGGAACAAAGGAGCTAGCACCGCCGGCGGACAAAGGTATTAGTGGCGCATCAAGAGCAACCACAAGAAATTCAGACTTGATGCAGGTGCTGAACTTCACAACTTCGGTTGCAGAACCCGCGAAGATGAAACAAGTACTAGCGGACGAAAACTCTGCGACAGCACCACCGGGTGTTCTTGACCACTTCTCCACAACAAAAACGAATGCCACCACGAGGATCACGACAACCCTCGCAGCGTCTTATTACACGGGCTTCGAGGCTTCGGGGCAGTTTATTCTGCACGCGACGGAGCACGATGTGACGCACCCGAAGTACCCACACGGGACAAAGAACGTCGACGACTTTTGGCGGAAGTGGACGTGTTTGTTTTGCGAAGAGGTCGGGGAAGCGAGGAGGATCAGCTACGTGCACGAGGAGGGCTCTTGACAAGTAGGAAGATGAATTTGCTGTGGACCACAGGACTAAGTACTTGATCAAAAGATTACAAGGAATCCAAACCCGTAACCCTTACCCGGATTAGATACAAAGAAAAGTATAATGTCTTCTGGACCAGGAGGACCAGAAGCACCAATATCCGAAGAGGGTTTCAATCTGTGGTTGAATTTGTCTCCCGCGCCTTGCTCTACATCTTCATTTAGGTGAGAAGTTCCATGAGAGCTGACGTACTTATCTTGAGCTTGCACACGAAAGATCTTTTTCTTTGGATCTTTCGTATAAACATGTGGATCGATCATGAACTCCTTGTGACAGGACGGCTTCCATCGTTTCCGTTCCAGATTATTCGTATAACGCTGATTTTTGGACGAACAATTGGAATTGCGTGGAGGATCATCACAGTACCAACGCTTGTACAGTTGCTTTTTTTCGCAGATCACGACGATCATTTGACGATCATTACTTTCCTACGAGTCACGAGTTGCCACCAGTCACTTCGTTCACGACCACCACCATGTTGGAACAGCACACAACTGTCGTCTCCAGTCCTGCCCCTCCTCCTCCTATCCCCTCCTCTTTCTCGCTGTCTCGCTACACTGCGAAACTGCCCGACTCGGCGGTCCACGAGGTGCAGCAATGGAACCGCGGGCTCTCGGCGGTGGACCGCCGGAGGAAGCTTTGTGCCATGAGCGAAAACCCATTCAAGTTCCTCCGGGGCGCGGACCATCTATGCATCCTGCAAAAGTTGTCGCGGTCGTGTAGTATCTATCGTAGACTAGTTTGAATTGCATCTTCGCAGGTTACAAAAAAAAATTGTTGTCAACGTGGAAAACGCAACTTGTAAAAATGCTCATATGAGAGAGATCTGTCTTCAATGTCATGCAAGATTGCAAGAGTTTTCTTACATAACTAGTACTCATGCGATATTATTTTTGCACTGGATGCCACCTCTTTTTCGACGATTTTTCCTGCCCCGCGAAAGCCAGCAACTTGGAGGACGAGGGGCGAGTATCATCACCGCCGCAAGGACCAGCACGACCAGAGGAACTCGCAAGTGATGCGTTTTTAGCTTTCAAGCTGTGGACCCAGGGGGATTTGCACTTGGAGAATCTCGGCAGCTGGAAAAACGCGAAGCGGCAGGTGGTGTTATGCACTGCAAAAGTATAATCGTACTCGTATAAATTGCATTCATGCATGACAAATCTTTTTCTAACCTGAAACAGCATTACAAATTCTACTTGTAGCGTTCTTGCCGGAATTTGTGATGCGATTTATACTAGTAAGTACGATACTTTTGCACAGGATAGGTGTACTCCATGAACGATTTTGACGAGAGTACGATTGCGGACTGGAGGTACGACATCTATCGGTTGGGAGTCAGCATCGTGCTGCAGCAAAACCGTTTGTCGCAGAAAGCGGAAAGAGAAGCCGGAGGAGCTTATTTCCGCACTGACAGAAACGTACGGGATGAAGAATTACAGGCACGGGAAGTGAAGATCCAAGCCTTCCTGCAAGCTTTCGCGGTGGGCTATTTCCAAGAATTTCCGATTTTGGTGGAAAAAAGCAAGAACAACCAGCAAATCCACTTCGACCGAGCGAGTATGGAAACCAGTCCAGAGATCAGAGAGTACCTGCAAGAGTTGGAACAGTCCCCCCACGGGTTCCGGAGACGGAAACTTTTAGATAAATGGGCCCCGGTGGACGCGTCTGTTGGCGATCGGAGGTTCAGGAAAAAGAACTTTGCGAAATTGTCCAAAGCGCCAGAATATGTATTGCAAAAGAACTATCGTGCTCGCACGAAGTAATTGAAATTTTTGCATGAAGTACAAATTCTCTCAGCATGACGAAAAATGAAATTAGTCTGTCATGCTGAAAAATTTCAAGTGCCTAAGATTTGTCATGCGGTACTGCAATTACTAGAAGTGCGATAGAGGTACTCTTGCAAAGGATACAGAAGAGATCCGGAACATGGTGATTACGTCCATGGTATGCATTGCAAATATGTCTGGGTCTGGATGATTGCCAGGCTTGTCATGCATCTTTTGCAGCCTGACCCATGGCGCCTGTAATGCATGCCCTAGCATCACCGATTTTTACAGCGCTTCCTGATGCTTAGTCCGCATGACAAATGCCCTCCCCGCGTAGCACAAACTGGACTCTCCTGCTCGTCCTCATGCAACACAGATTTTTTTGGAATCCAAAGACAGCATCACAAGTTACGATCTTCCAGACCCAGACATATTTGCAACGCATACATGGACACGTATTATGCGAGTCTCACGCCCGAGGCGAGGCTGCAATTACCCGTGATCGAGTTTCTCGGGTTCAAGTATCCCAGAGAAACAAGCTGGCCGCGGGTCATATTTGTAATTGAGAAACTGAAACACTAAGACTCAATGCACGAAAAATCAAGATCATGTCTTACCTGAAGCAAACAGCACGCGATGGGTTTCTTGCGCGTGACACCTTTCTCTGCGTACGTATTTTTGCATACTTAACAGAGAGGGTCCTCGACCTGCCGGCTTTTTTCTTTTGGATACGGAGGACGTGGCGCTGCGGAACCTGCAAGGAACCGGCAGTCTCGGTGCAGGAAGGTATTACCTGCTTCTGGACGGACCGACCTCCTCGCTGGACGATGATATCATCCTGGAATTGAAGCAGCAAGCGCGACCCTCTGGTTTGTTCTGGCTAGGGTTTGACGCGTTGCGGGATTACGTGCAGGGGTTTCGCGATAACGACGCGGCGCGGCACAACACCGGTTACCACCGACTAACGCAGATATCCAACGCAAAAGTGAGTATTGCGCTCGTACTAATTATGGCAGTCCTTCATGACAGAGCCATGGCGATGGCCTTGGGGCAATCAGCTGCATTAGAAATTGCATTTTTTATTTTTAGCCCTCTCGGAAAGGAAAGAATAACAAATGTGTTGCAGCTGCAATTTACACTAATATCAAGTAGGTAAAGTACGTGCGCGATACATTAACATTTGCATTGCATAGTAAGACGCGGATCCGTATTTGGGGTATTTCATCGATGCCGCACCGGGGATCACCTACGCAGTGCGCGAGCTGTCCCCGTACAAGACGGATTTTCCCTTCAAGAAATTTTTCGGCCAGGAGCAGGCGTTTCTGCGGATCTACGCGCAGATTGGCCGGATTGTCGCCCGGTCGCACTTTCTGTCTTCCAACGGGACGATTGCGGAGTTTTTTGCGGAGAAGGAAATGGTGCAGCAGGGTACAGCGGGTCCTGGGGATACTCAAAAAAGCACCGAAGGACCTGCAGGCGTGAACCTCCTCGACAAGATGAACAATTACACAGCTATTACACTAAATACCGGCACCAGGGGCGCAACTGTCGCAAAGACCATGAACATTTGGATCGAGGAGAAATTCATACCGGTATCTTTAAATTACGCCGCGCAAACGGGAAAATACTTTTCTGCCTTCAAAACGTTCGTCGACACCGTGGAGGGATTTAACTGCTCCAACACTTTATCCTCTGCAAAAGTAAGAATGACGTCGCGTACTACCTGTGGATGTCGATGTGATCCTGGTTGCGATAGTGCATCACAAGCGTAGTAGTTCCCAAGGCAAAGCAGCAACACAATTTTTTTCGGTCTTCCTCGCGCGGAAACTATCGATTTGGGGGGTTATTTACAACAGAGACAGCTAGTCAGTACGCGCAATGCTTTTGCAGTGCATACACTCTGGGCGAAATCACGTACGCGGACGGGTACATCTGGGGAGCGTCAAACTACTTCACCAAAAGCTCGGCGAAGTATGTGAGTGCACAAATCCCCTGTCCCACCATTTGCCATGCAAAATCCCAAACCCACGTGCTGCCCTCTGGCACTCTTCGCATGAGAAATTCCGGATGAAGCCGAAACTTTGTTACTTATGCACAGGGTTCTCGTGTGGGTTTGGTGGCTTTTGTACGAAATTGTATTGGTCAGTGTTCATGATCATGCGATGCCTATGCCTTACAACAAATCAATGGAAATGAAGAGGGGGAGTTGTTTTTGTTCCCTCTCATACGAAGGCGGCGGCGGGCGACGGTGGCGTGGTGCCCAGGACTGCGCCGGAAAACAACAGCACAAGGGCGGGTGCATGCACTTCTGGAGCGGTTTTTTCGGACGGATTAAGTAGGACCTCTTCAAACTCCAGGGAAAGCAGTGGAAGTTCTAGCACTTTCGGAAGCAGTACGACGCACGAGCATGTGGAGAGTGGAACACAGGAAGAACATCACCAAGGTACTAGGGGGAACTCACGCCAGGAAAAGAACGCCAACAAGAACGCCGCGCCTGCAGCGCCGCCGCGGGTCACAGTGCCGCAGAAGTACGATCACGATGCGAATTTTACGAACGCCGGCATTCCGCTCACGAATCCAGGAGGAAGTGAAAGAGCAAGTCCAGCAGCATCCACGAGCGGAACGGGCACGGCGGGGCAAATGAGCACTTTGGTGGAACTGAAGGCGTTGCAACGCGAAATCAGCGAGACACAGTACACCATGGGCGGAGGTTTTTTCCTCCTGTTCCTGCTCTTCTTCTCTCTCTTGCTCCGGCCGCGGGTCATGCTGGGATTGGGTAGTCGGGAACCGTATGGTGAAACGAGTAGAAACTTTGCACAACCTTCTGGAAGGGACAATGAGGATGACGACAACGTCGTGTTTCACACGGATCAGTATACGCGATTATGAATTGTGAGCAGCGTTTCCATTTCCATTTGCATTTGCATTGTTCAGACTCGGCGATCGTGATGCTTTCCGCCTGAATACTTACGGTAAGGACGCCGGTCACGGTGCTGACTACTTCCTGTCATCCGGAACGAAAAGTACGCTGCAGACAGTGGTTGAGCGAAAAAAAAAAAGGTTCTGTGAAAACGAGAGCGAAGTAGCTGGTTGAAACAGCGAGAGAGATCCAGATAGTACACTAGCAGTATCTGCATGATCAGCAAGACGAGGGTTAGTGGTGCCAGCATCAAGAACGAAATCCACCACCTTGAGCGAGTTGTTGTTTCTGTTGACTAGTTGTGCCGACAAGAGGACACGAGCACCTCAGAGCAACCTGGGTTGGTAAGACAATCTAGTGCTCCTATTCTGTATTGATCGGTGTGAGTAGACGATGAACTATTCTGGCGTGAGCGGATTCTTTGATATTGTGATTGTCGGTACTGCTCTTTGAGCCTGGCGAAGTCCAAGCAAGACTGATAACTCACTCTGCCTCTCTTCGCGCGAGTGATATCTCGAACGGAAGTTCACTTCGAACACGTCGGTCTTTGGCAATACAAACTCCTGGTGGCTATCATTCATCTAGTATTTACTTAGACAAATTTATCATTATCAACCTGTGAAGAAAAGAAAGTGACAAGGCCCTTCGAATTGTCGGTCTGGTCTTCGTGTGAATCGTAGAACTACGTTGCACTTCGTAAAGTAGTGGTGATAGGTTGCGAACGTCTGGGCTTCGATTTTTTCAGGATCCGCTTTTTTTGTTTGGGCTTGCTCGTGATGCTTGCATGAGAGAGCTCCCATTTCTGGTGGAGGCGCCGCCCTGGTTGCGGTTTTGGGTGGACACAGCTCTCTCATGTCGGAGCACCGGTATGCCGCTGGGGGGTGCAGCTTGCTCTTTGCAGCTTGCTGAATCTGTCCGGATTGGCGCAGCAGAGGCTGGCTTTGCCGCCTCTTCCCTGCGTTTCACTTCCACGCGCATAAGGATCTCCAGGGCCGTGCACCACGTTCGGCCTCTTGACTTTAGACGCATGCCGTACGTCTGTCCCTCATGCAGCATGGGCCCCGACTCATGTTGCATGTTGTAACTGCCCTGCGCCGCGGCCCTTTCGTTGCGCCTTCTATCGCCACTCCATTCTCGAAAGGCCTATCTCTGTATGACAAGCGCTGTAGCAGTACTAGTGGCTATCCTTATCCTTATGCCATCTTAACTTACGACTTTGCTTTGCTCTGTTTCCTTAATTACTTACTTAATGATGATGGTCTGAGCTGCAGACCACTGGGTCGCCGCAGCGTAGTGCTTGCGCGCACCATTAGAAGTGCGTTAGCACGCCCTGCTTTTCTTGCGCGCACCATCAGAAGTGCGCTGGTGCCAATCGTGTTTCTGCGCGCACCATCAGAAGTGCGTTGAAGTGCGAGGGTCGTGAGTGAGTGAGTGAATGTTTTTCATTAAGAGGCCGTCGCGCCACCCGGACGTCCTGCCGGTAGACCACCAATATCATTATCAACCTGTACTTAACCAAGCGCCACCCTCCCTGAGGTCACCTCTTCATACTCCACCAACTACTTATTTGAACGGCCTGATTCGGCCTTCTTAGAGTTTCATAGACTACAAAGCCACTAACTTTATCAACAATTTTAGTACTAATTTTCCCCTGCTCGAAAGTGATTAAGGTTTATTTACACGAGCTGTTTCTACTTCATATTCATACGCGCTTGCTATACCAATTTTGTCCTTTTCCGAACTTCGGGTGAGGGTCCTTATTTCTTCTCCAACGAATATATCAATCGAGAATCCACTGAGGCTTGGCACTTACTCATTTACGACTACATAGTCGACTGTACTTCTGCTCAGCAGGTTCGGCCCAACTTAAATTTTCCTCACTGTAAATAGTTTGTAAGTTCTTGTTGTGTGCTGCTGTGTCCACCCAGTGCTAAAGATATCTAGTATTCAATCGTAACACAGACCACGTCGTAGAAAAAAAAAGGTACACGACGAGGAGGTGAAAGACACGGAAAAATCCTGTCCATGATATCTTGTTGAGATAATTTTCTTTTTGATCCGCTATAATTAAAGATAAATCAAAGTTGAAATTATGTCGGATCCCCGCGGGTACCACAATTGCGCGATTGCGCGGCTCGAGGAGGAGCTCGAGACCGACTGCACCAAGGGTGTTACCCCGGAAAAGGCCGCGGAAAAGTTTGCCCGGGATGGGCCCAACGAGCTGTTCAAGCCCAAGCCCCCGACGCTGTTCATGCTTTTCATCGCGCAAATGCTGAACGTGATTATGCTGCTCCTCTCCGCCTCCGCCTGCGCTTCCCTGGTGATCGCGGGCACGAGGAGTAACCCCGAGCCGATCCACTTCGTGGAGGGGATTGCCATTTTCGTGATCGTCTTCCTCAACGCCGGCATCGCGGCCGTCACGGAGTCGGTGGCCAACCAGGCACTGGAAGCGCTGTCCAAGATGTCGCAGGCGACGTGCACCGTGATCCGGAACGGGGAGGAGGTGGAAATTGACAGCGTGAAGGTGGTCGTCGGGGACCTGGTCGTACTGAAAATCGGGGACATAGTGCCGGCAGACCTCCGTATGCTGGAGAGCAACGAGCTGAAGGTCAACGAAATGCTGCTCACGGGAGAACCTGACGACGTAGCAAAGAAGGTTTTCAAATTCGTCGAGACAGGTATCTTCACCTTATAAAGTCAACATTGTAGATAGAAGGTGTTATGATCATGATCGACATGGTCGCATCCAAGTACGAGGGCAACGTATTTTTGTCATGATATTAGATGCACAAGAACGCGAGATTGTGATTGATATAATCAATGAAGACAGAGTGTCGTCCAGCGATTTCGGAAACAAGAAACCGAGTGGTATTTGAATAAATATAAAACGAAATACTTATCAACCTTAAAGGTGTGGACGCCCGCGATAGCGGCGCCGAGCACGGCGGCGAGGAGAAGCTGACGCCAGCGTCGATGGCCTTTTCCTCCTGCCAGGTGACGAACGGTAAGGCAATAGGCGTTGTCACGGACATCGGGATGGCCACCCGAGTCGGCGCCATCGCGCTGATGCTGCAGTCCAAAAAGGAGGGTTCGGACAAGGGCTGCCTGCCGGACACCACCAGCAACATGACCCCGCTGCAGCAATCGCTGCAAGATTTGGGGGTCTTAATCGGGTATCTGGCGATCGGCGTGTGCGCGCTGGTCTTCGTAGTTGGGTGGGCCATCGATAGCAAGGACGAAACCGATCCCAGCAAGGAATCCTGGCTGTAAGGAGTGTTGTTTTTGTTTGTAAGTGCAGATAATTTATTTTCTGTTGAAATCTGAATAGGAGTGGAGATCAGCAAAGTAAGTTCCACGGCCGCGGAGAAGTACATCTTGTAGGTAGCTAATTTGCGAACTTGATGCGATGAAGATCCTGATTTCGAGTGTGCTACTTATTTTGCTTCCTGAAACGACCGCAACCAATCATGTGAAGAATATCTTTTCAGGTACATGATCCTCGTTTCCGTGACGCTTGCGGTGGCCGCGATCCCCGAGGGCATCCCGCTGTGCGTGACCATTTCCCTCTCCTCTGGGGCCAACACCATGGTGCAAAGGAATGTGTTGGTCACCAGGTTAGCCGCGGTGGAGACGCTCGGGTCGGCCAGCGTGATCTGCACGGACAAGACCGGGACGCTGACGGAGGGAAAGATGACGCTGGTCAAAATGTGGTCCGCGGAGAAGCTCTACGACGTGTCCGGGCAGGGCTTCGACCCCAACGTGGGGAAGGTGTACCCGGCCGACGACCCGATGGAGATTCCCCATTCCATCTCCGGGATTAACGTGGGTGGCATGGACCACATGCCAAACCTGAAAAAGGACGTCAGCACAGCAAAGATGGGCGGAAACCAGCTGGTAAGTATGGATACTAGTACTTTGCTTTTTTCTGTCATATCAAAATCGATACCACGAGGCTGGTGGAACATCAAGTCGGGTAAACATTAGTACCCAGAAGTACTAGGATTCGTGATGAGTCAAATATTGGCTCCCGTACACTTGTGTTCTTCGAAAACAGTGCTACGTATACATCTATCCATGTTGTTGTTCCTTCCCCGTACAATTATAGGTGCTCCCCTCCGCGACCCCCGGTTTGAAAAAGTCGGACAGTGGCAAGGAAGAGCCGACGGTCCGGTCGACGTTGCTCGCGGGTTTGCTGTGCAGCAACACGTATGGAATGCAAATATGTCTGGGTCTGGAAGGATGTTGTAACCTGTGATGCGCATTGGCATTTCAGAACACACAAAAATCTCTCATGCATAGGTATCAAAAGCTGCTCACTTTCTGTCACCAAAATGGGGGATTTGTCATGCGGGTTCGGCATTGCGGAAGCGAAGCTTTTCAAAACCTGTGATGCTAGAGCTTCCATGCCAGACCTTCTGTGTCATGCAGAAACAGCATAACCGTTCCAGACCCAGACATTTTTGCATTTGATAACACCTCTTTATCGCAGGACCCGGTGTCCAACCAGTGGGTCCCGAAGGGGAACTCGTCCGAGGCACCGTTGGTTGTCGCCGCGGCAAAAGTCGGGTTCTGGGAGAAGGACATTTCCGCCGCGTTTCCGCGGCTGTTGGAGATCCCCTTCAATTCGTCCAGAAAAATGATGTTGACAATATCAGAAGTGCCAGGTATAAGTGGAATTTTCATATTGTGTTCGTGCACTTTTGCACCTATCACAGAATGATCTATGCAGCAGGACAATTGATAAACGAAGAAGATGTAGATGACTCTATTGAAGATTTGAGTGGGTTAGTTCTGTCTCTGTTTGAAATATAGTGAATGGAATTCCAAACGAAAATTTTGGTTGAAGAACATGAAAAAACTACAGCCGGGACCGACCCTCGGAGACAGCGGGATTTTTTCGCGTTTTTGCAGCTTTTTTGCTGTGTTTTGCATATTTTTTTGTGTTTTGCCGGGTGGGTCTCATTCGAGTTGGTTCCCCCCAGCCAATGGCAGGCGAACTTGTTCTCCAACAATTGGCGGGAGAAAACTCGACCGAAGACCGGGGAAACACAAGAAAAAGAAGCAAAACGCGAAAAAAAGCTACGAAAAACGCGAAAAAAAGCTGCAAAACGCAAAAAAAAGCTACAAAACGCGAAAAATAGCTGCAAAACGCGAAAAAAGGTTGCAAAACGCGAGCAAAAGGCTTTCTCTAAGCAGTTGCGACTGGGCCGCTTTTGTTTCCCTCCCGCAAAGGAACGGGCCCAGAAGCCTCTCCAATTTCTCCAATCAAACAAGGAAGAGGGAAAGCTGCAAAAGTTTCAGCTCCCGTTCGTGGGAGAAGGAAGCAGCTGGCTGCGACCGCGGTGCCAACGTGTAAGTAAGCGCTGCCACACGACTGCACTACGTGGGCAGCCATTTTGCTCTTTCTGCCGCAGGGGGGGCTGGGGCTTTTGCAAATTTCCCAAATAAAGCAAGAGTAGCAAACGGCCCAGCTCTTCTCTAGTGCAAACGCCGCGCAAAGAATCTCATCGCGCGGCGTCTTTTTTCGTTCTTTGCCCCGCTATTTCGCTGATTCGTAGGCGCGATTTTGCGCCGAGCCGTTGTCGCGAGGTGCATTCGTGTTGGGTCTAGTCTAAGCTGGTTGGCATGCTGGAAAGAAGACCGACGGAAACTTGCGGAACGCATCAAAATGCCATCGGTCTACGTATGGCAATCCAAAATAATCAGGACAGAATCCAGATATCAGCCGGCTTTTGAAGCGAAACACGATGGGAGTACACTTAGGAATCACTTCGGCCAGATAGTCCTTTATTGAGAAAGTCCACTAGTAAGAATTCCAAACGAAAATTTAAATTTTGGTTGACGAACATGAAAAAACTACAGCCGGGACCACGACCCTCGGAGACAGCGGGATTAAATTGTCCGAAGGCACGAAGTATCAAGTGTAAAAATGTCTGGGTCTGGAAGATTGGAACTTGTGATGCTAACTTTGGAATCTAAAAAAATCTGTATTGCATGACCAGCAAGAGGAGCCACATTTGTGCTACGCGAGGAGGGCATTTGTCATGCGGAAATGGCATCAGGAAGCTTTCCAAAAATCTGTGATGCTGGATCATGCATTACAAGCATCATGGGTCATGCCAGACAAGCATGACAAGCCTTCCATTCTTCCAGACCCAAACATTTTTACATTTGATACGAAGTATGTGGTCATCGTCAAGGGCGCCCCAAATATCATCCTGGACAGCTGCTCCTTCACCTGCGCCGTCGGGGATTCTTCGACTCCAAATTTTGGCAAGGCCGAGAAGTCCAAGGCAATGGAAACCGTGGATCAGCTCTCCTCCCAGGCGTTGCGCGTGCTGGCGGTGGCAATGAGGTACTTACTAAGTTATGAGGTTCATTCTTTCATAATTAAGCTGAATACCGATCGTAGTACGCAAGAACTGAAGACCAAGTGCTTTTGTCTTTCGTGAATAATACCGAGGACTTCGAGTTGGAGTTGCGCTTGGTCGACTTTGAGGAAATGGGAATCGTCGATGATGTATAGAAAGATGCATTCGCTTCAAGAAAAAAACTTTCACATCAACAGGGAATACAAGGAGCTTCCGTTCGACAACAACGACGACGAGATTTCCTCGGACACGAAATTCAAGCTGATGCTGGAGGGTGCGCAGCTGCGCTTGCTGGGTCTGTTCGCGTCCATCGACCCCGCGCGTGAGGGTGTGAAGGAGGCCGTCGAGGCAGCCTACGAGGGGAGCATCCGGGTCACCATGATCACGGGTGACTACTACAAGACGGCCATTGCCATCGCCAGAAACATCAAGATTCTCTTGCCAGAAGACGACGTGGCAGAGGTATGAAGAAAATGATACGAAGGATTCATATTTACAGCATGCCGTTCAACATCTTGCATGTCGAAACTTCCAACATCCGAACATCTTGATGCGAACAACATTCACCGCATTCTTAATTAACCCTTCAGGCCGCCCTGGACTGCGGCGGATTGCGTCCGAACGGGGAGTATCTGCCCGAGGTGGAGATTGACTTCTTGACCAGTAATATCGCACGAAAAAAGTGTTTCACTGTAGGGATTTTGCAAGTTTTGCATCACAAGTTTGTTCTACATCACAGAGAAAATTTGCCATGTGAGATTCCGAAGGGAAAACACAGCTAAAAATCTAGTGTCTTGCATGTGTAGCAAGACAAACCCTTCTCAGATACATTTTTTGCATCTTTTGGCTCAAGACTTCTTGTCTTGTGGCCATTTTCCCACATTAGAGACGGGGCCGCACCCCCGTGAGATCAACTCGTCCGGACTCATCGTGGAGATCAACCCCCGTGAGATCCAAGATCCGTAGAGGCACTCTGTAACAGGCTTCAGGTGCGGCTGATGAACCTTTCGTCCCATTCGTAGAAACTTCCTAGTAAATCAAAACAAAACAAAAATGAGGACTCATCTGCCCTCCACCTGAAGCGCGCACGTGCGCAAAATGCTTCGGTGGTGCCGGCGGGTGTTTCGCCCGGTTCTTCTTCTGTCACCAGCGGCGGCGAGCATTTTGACTTGCGAGAGCCTTCTCCTTCTCGGAGTAACGTGCGCGAGCTTTTCCTCTCGGAGTAAATGCGGGCTTACCTAGCACGAGCTTCTCCTCTCAGAGTAACTTGCGCGACTTCTTCATCTCGGAGTACGGGTCGGCTCTGCGCGAGCTCCTCCTCTTGGAGTGACCTGTAAAATCAACACGCGCTTCCTTCGCTTGGAAATGCCGTTCAAGCTACGCGACGCGTTTTCTCTCCTCGGTCACACGTAGCGTAACGAAGCAACGGGGACAGCTCCGCATCAGTGGCGATGCGCTCTAGCCTTTCGATCGGCAGATACAATCCGCAAACTGGCGCGTTGCGTTGGGGTCGGAGCACTCGTCGCGGATTGCCGGCGCGTTTCCATCTCCGGTCCACGAGGATGCCGCGCACACTAGCGGAGCGCCCTGTTGCTTGGGAGATCAGGGACTCTTACCATATTTTCCTTCTTTGCTTCCTGTTTTTCATGCATTAAAATTAAATTTTAAAAATTCGTATTTTCATTTGCATGTCTCTGAACCTGCTTGCTTCGCTTCTCGCTGTTCTGGTTGTGGATAGCGGTGTCCGCAACATATTTTGCGATCTCCTCTCATTCTAAGTGCCCAATACTCAAATACTGATCTCAGGCTCATCATCGTACTCGGACCGTCTGCGCTGGCTCCGGCCTCGTTTTACGTTTGTGACGCCTTTGCCTGCAGTGGGTGCTTCGTGTTGCAGCGGCTTGTCGGTGTGATCAAATCGGGCCTGGACACAGCTTCTCCTGCCTACGGCGCGGTGGTTCCTCGAGATCTGTTGTGGTTGCAGTGATCTACAGTGTGCGACAAGTGCCGGCCGCAGGATGTCCAAGGGGATTCGCCGGTCGTGGCCATCAACTCCACGTCGCAGACGGCTGGAATCTTTCGCTATGCTATTCCTTTATATCAAGGCTGAGGCAGGGCCAAATGAGCCCTGGTCCGATCGCCCCCAAATGTGTGCGGCGCGGCCTCCCAAATGCGAGAGGTCAGCCTTGATATAAAGATGCCCGCTATGTGGTCGGTACTTATATGCCTGCGCTCCAGACCTTCGCGGGTGCTCGTCGTCGTGCGGCTGCGATCTGTTGCAGGGAGGCGGTTTCCGGACTAGCGGGTGTGAGTGTTCGGTGGTGTGGTCAACATACTTCGCCAGTTTCCCCTCCAGCAAGACCGTTCTCGCCTCCATCTCAGTGAGGTCGTGGATAGGATTTGGTGGGTGACTCCCGTTGCGTGATGATCCTGCCCTGTCTGATTCCACGTCCCCGGCACACTCGGGTAGTAGGTCGGGTTGGTGGTTTGCCATCGTCGTTCGCTTGGACCCTGGGGTTTCCTTCAAGGCGTTCGGCAGGTCTCGCGGCCTCGCGCTTCAAGGTGTGTTGCCCTGAGATCGGGTGGTCTTCGGACTGCTGCGGATCTTCACCTTGCTGCCCGTTGTGCTTCTTGACTGGTGGTTTTCCTCCTTCCTTGCTTTGCTCCTCCTGTTGTGCTTGGTCCCCAGAGTTCCAGGGCCTTGGTTCTCTGGGTTACCTGGGTCGAGTTGGTTGTGCGGTTCGATTCTTCCTATGCCCCTGCCCCTCTGGTCTGTGCCGCTGCAGCCGGAGGTGTGCGTTTTCATTCGTCAGCCAGCCTCTTAGAGCTGAAGCTATATGACGTTTGCGTTGGGGAGATTCTCAACGGTCCCTCAGGGCATTGCCCCGTTGCTCGCTCTTGGTGGGAGGTGGTTGAGCTTGCTTCGGGAAGAGTAGCCGGAGTTGAATTGGCTTTCAGCCTTTTCATTTGTGAATTCGAGGGCAGTGGTTGGCAGAGGTTGTGCGGGATATTCAGTTTTTGTTATCCCGGGACATTTGTGTTCCTTACCCACTTCCTCATTTCCTGGTTGACCAGTTGGTATGGTCGACTATAGGTGCCACCCTCGTTTCTCACCTCCAGGGGCCCTGGGCTCACCTCACCAGTGATGTTTCACTTGGTGGAAGTTGACAGGGTTCTACGAGCTATTTTGGGTGTCTATTGTCTACATTTTTTGCATCACAAGTTCACAGTGAAGCAGTTTTTTCTCGGGACAAGTAAGGTGAAGGTGTTCGCCCGCGCCAAACCGGAGGACAAACTGGAGATCGTCGGGTCCCTGCAGCGCCAGGGCCTGGTGTGCGCGATGACAGGGGTATCAAATGCAACAATGTCAGGGCTGGAAGAGCACAACTTTGTCATGCACATTTTCCATGATCCATGATGTCTGTCATGTATGCCATAGCATCACAGATTAGATTTTTTGAGCGCTTATCTATGCGCATCCAGCATGACAAATGCCCTCTCCGCGTAGCCAAATTTGAATCCTCTTGCTGGTCATGCAATACAGGCTTTTTTAGCATCTAAATGCAGCATCACAAGTTTGGCTCTTCCAGGCCCAGACACTTTTGCATTTGATAAGGGGACGGCGTCAACGACGCCCCGGCGCTTAACAAGGCCGACATCGGGATCGCAATGGGCATCCAGGGTACGGACGTCGCCAAGGGCGCCAGTTCCATGATTCTGGTGGACGACAACTTCGTTTCCATCGTGGGCGCGGTCGAGATGGGCCGCGTGATCTACGCGGGCATCCAGAAGTTCGTCGCGTTTATCATGTCGGTGCACATCGGGGAGGTGATGCAGATCTTTTTCTGCGTCGTGGCGAAAATCCCGATCATGCGGCAGCCCCTGCAGATTCTCTTCCTCATCCTGGTCACCGACCTGCCGCCCGCGGTCGCGCTGGGGATGGAGCCCGGGTCCGCTACCATCATGCGGGACCGCCCGAGGCCCAAGAAGCAGCCCATTGTCTTGCGGTGGATGTGGATGTCCATCGTCATCAACGGTTTGATTCTCTCCATCGTCATCGCCATCTGCTACCTGCTCTGCTTGGAGTACTACGTGGGTACCATCCCGAAAGACGAGATCAAAGACGCCATCGACCACGAGGATGCGTTCGACAAAGCTAACAGCAACTGCATTATCCTGCTGTATAAGAACGTACCCACGAGGACCCCATATAGTCAAGTTGACATGCATGACTCACTGTTTTGTAGTTCCGGTTAGCAAGGACAGCCGCATCACACCGCCATTTCCTCATCCTGTTTGCAGCGTTGAAAATGCCAAAACACGACTGGAAGTGCCTGTATTGCGGATGCGCATTACAACTGTTGCCGTATGATTATATTGCAAATCTGCACGTCCACGTTCTTGACAACTCTGGTGGTCGTCGTGGGGGAGATTTATGCACATCATAGGCAGTCAGGGCATGTCGCATGCAAACCTGGATCCTCCGAGCTGGTACGTCCACTTACTCAAAAATGGCAAAAAGATATTGTTTGACTTCACTGCATGCGTTGAGTTCTGTAGTGAGTTTCCGACGAAAAAACGAAGTACAACTTTCTTTTGTCGTGTCAACATGTCTTTGATAAATCTACGTCTACCGCGTGGAAACTTTCTTCACAGTTTGATCACGAGCGGGAAATGACCTCTTTCATTTGTGTCCACAGTTACAAGAATACGCCACGAGATAGAAGGAATACAACACCTTCCGGTTGTAGTACAGCGACGAAAGAACACGCGCAATAAAAATCAAGATCAACAATCAATGAAAAAAAGGTACTGCGCATGCCGGATGGCAGGAGACAGCGAAGACACGTGCAACGATGATTCACGGAAGATGAGCACAAAGATGCGGTTGCGTCTGGCGGTATGGTGGAACATCAAGATTTATGGCACCTTTGACGCCCGCTCCGATGTTGTACTTAGATGTTGATGTTGGGTGGAACTGCATGTCCTCCTTCCTTTGCACGGGCGAATGGTGGTTGTGTAGTCTTCATGGCACCACGCGCGTTTTCTTGTTTTCTATGTTCCCATGGGGTCTTTTTTTCGATGTATGAGTTGAGACATCGGTGCGGACCGATAAGCGTGTTGTAGCTGCATTTTCCATCCATACTCCCGTACCGCAACCTTTGTCGCCGTGGTGTACGCAGAAAACGTCCGCGCCTACACAAGCAGGTCGTTCGACGAGCCCTTTTTTGTGGAGATGTTCAAGAACACGGCAATGCAGAAGGCCATCGCAATCGCACAGATTGCGCTCTTATCCTGCGCAAAGTTTTTAGTCGTACTCGGGTGGCTTTGACTTTGAATCGCAATAATTTTGCATGGGAATAATAAATCAATGCGTAGTTTTCACTCTCTCCGGTTGTACTATCTGCATAAGTTACAGATTCCGTTTGCTAGTGCGAGAAAGGAATTTTTGCAAGGGATAACTCTACTTCGTCATTTTCATTCCCGTATCAACCGCAAAAATGTCTGGGTCTGGAAGAGTGCGCGATTTGTCATGCAGCTTTTCCATGACCCAGGAAGCCTGGAATGCAGGACCTAGCATGACAGATTCTGTGCAATCTCTCTCATGCCTATCCTGCATGAGAAAATCCCTCCCGACTTGGTCAAAACTGGACGACTTTTGGTAATCACGCAACACAGATTTTTGCATGCTCGAGATTTAGCATGACAAGTTGCATTCTTCCAGACCCAGACACTTTTACATTTGATATCCCGGACTCTCGGACGCCATTTTCGAGCTCGAGGGCGTGAGGATGTCGACTTACTTATCCCGTGTTAAAGCGTCGCCACCCCATGATGCTTCGTCTCATGCAGGTTTGCATGCTGAGGCTCAGCAAGCTTGCCATGCAAAGACCCACAGCGGCCACTTTGCATTCGTACTTACTTTGGTATGTGTCATGATGCTCCAAGCAGGATAAGCATAAGGTAGTTGATGCTCCATTAGGCTTACAGTGAAGATGCCGCTCCATTGGCCAGCTAGTCATAGCCATGGCAATATTAATTGCCCAAGATTTTTGTCATGCGTCGGAAGATGACAGAATACCCAGCTTGATGACTCTGGGGTGGGTAGTAAGTACGTTTTGCACGGGATATCAAGAAGATATGGAAGGGGAGACAGGCGTTGGGTACGCGTTCGCCTTCGGATCTGCTGCGGCCTGTATTCTTATACGCGTTCACGTGGTTGTTTTTCGTCCGCATACATCAAATAGTCGCCCTCTTGATTTCTCAGTTGTACCCACTATTCTGTGGTCGCCGTGGGCATTTAGGTGGAAAAGTAGCACCAGTAAATTCTCAAATATAACAACGCCAGAAAAAAAAATGCAATCTTTCGAAAGAAAATGAAATACACAAATACCATTCGTTTTCAGGTGTCCTGCTGTGTGAGCTGTACAAATTTGTCGTGAAGGGCCAAATCCGGGAGTTCGCCCGGCAACTGAAGGAGCAGCAGGAGGCCGAGGAGGCGGAGCGCCAGAGGCTGATCGCCGCCAAGGAGCCGCTTCCGGTCTCCCTCTCCAAGGGCGGCAGCAAGGAGCTGCTCGGGAGCAAGGGCGGAAGCAAGGACAAGAAGACGTCAAAGGACAACGGACCGCCCAAGGAGCAGGAGGTGACCAAGCCGCCCGTGATGGTCGCGGAGAACGGTACCGGCGGACCGGGGACGGAGCTCACCGAGGTCGCGGTCGAAGTGCCGGCGGATAGCACGGCATAAAAAGGGATCTTCGCTTGTTGTTCTTTGTTTTGAAGAAAAAATCAAGTAGAGCGGAAAAAAATCTACTCTGTCTTCTTGTTCTCCTCGCGGAAACAAGATGTTCATGTTGACCCTCTCGAGAGGCGGTGCCAGGTGAAAAGCCGGAAAGAATGGCATCGCTTCCTTTAAGTTGCCAAAATAAGAATCATGGCATCAGAAATATAGAAGCTGGACGAGCATATATGGATCCGTAAAATAAATAAAGCTACGTACAAAGAAATCGAATATGAAAACGGGTTCTCTGTGCGAAGTACAACGAGGAGGGCGACGATGAATTGTACTTGTCAAATATCGATGACGATGTCGCGTTCGCCGGTCGTGCTATCGAAGAGCTGCCAGCATTTTTTCCAACAGCACTACTGGTAGACTAAAAATTAAAGACCACCCCTTTAGCATGTCGATGTCCCCGCCGCAAGGAGGGGCGCAGTAGCCGCTCGTAAAAATTCAAGCCTCCTGTACAATTGCAATTCTGAGTGAAAAATGCAACAGAAGTTTCTTTTAGACCGAGATTGATATTACAACTACAGCAGGGTCTGAGACGATATGACCACTACAGAAATTTCACCTCCAGACGGGCAGCATTCTGAATACCGTCGCCTCTGACCACCACTGTAAGCCAGTTGACGAATGTTTCTGTTTCTTTTGACGTATTGGTATAATCATGAATGAATCTTATGAAAACCACCTCGCTATTTACATCATGATACAATTACGAACTATAAATCACAAGAAATCTACTAGCCAAGTGACACACGACGATGACACTCGACATCTAGTACCGTGAGAATGGTTCACGACATTTTGTTGTGCCGGTTATAGTGTGCTTGCTGTGCAGACTCTGTTGATAGGTAGCCAAGCATGTCTTTTCCGAGGATACTTAAACAATTTGGTTAAAAAGTGCTACTTTTGTGTGTAGAAGACGAGGATCTGAAAACAGTACTAAAAAATTGATATGAGCAGACTGACTTACATCTCGGACTACGATTTCTAACTCCAATTATCTGTACCATGTTGAAATTTCAGCGGCAGGACCTTGCTTGCTGCGTGTCATGATGATGTAGAAGGTATAAACGAATTTCCCTCGTGCGGTGCTCTTTCGAGGGTGAAGGCCACACACCTGGGAATACGTGCTGCGGAGAGGAAGCAGTTTGGTGTTCTGCACAAATGTTTGTTGCGTAGGAGCACGCTCTATTCGACCCCGAGAGGGTCTCTCCCTTTGCCTTTTTGCAACGGCTTTTTGATTTCACCGTTTCATAATCATATATAATGCCGTTGCCTTTAGTGGAAATAGAAACATGCGTTGACGTTGATAGGTGCGATCGCAATAAAGGCAACGCGTATGTCATTTCATTTCCATGTTGAAGAAAACGATCCTGTGAGTTCCTCTTTTATGTACGTATTCTTGCGCGAGCGCGCGTTTTGATTTTTGATTTTGCTCGAAGAAAGAAGTAGTTGCTTGACCACCCAACGGGAGGTCGGAGGCTTACTATTGCTCACCTTCAGAAGCGCTCGCGTCATTCTCTTTGTCGACCTGAATCTGTGGCTTTCCAGCTCCTTCTGTGATGTTGAGACAGATTCAGTTTTCTCAAGCAATATATTCAAGTAGTGAAGTTGTTTTTGTCTTTGCCACAGAAGCAACAGCAGACTCCCTTGCGACCGTGTATGATTAGTGGCCAGTTCTTTTGAGTTTTACTGTCTGGATTTTTGATCTGAATCGGACATACGACAAGAAGGCTTTTCTTCTTTTGCTTTCCAAGCAAATTATAGCGCCCTGCTTGCGTGGTCCCAGCGTCTAATTCTTCTCATCCTGTAGCATTATCGTATTGCTGTAGCGGTAGCCTGAAACAACAAGCTCGAACCTTGTAGAACAAGTCTCGCTTCCTGCTCGGCCTCTGCCAGCAACATTTTGAGATAGTATTCACAGTAGACGCACCAGACATTAACAGCAATTCCTCTCGTCATCCTCGGGTATCAAATCTAAAAATGTCTGGGTCTGGAAGATTGCCAGGTTTGTCATGCATATTTTGAATGACCCATGATGTCTGTGATGCATGCCCTAGCATCACAGATTTTTAGAGGACCTTGTGATGCCTCTACTGCATGACAAATGCCCTCTCCGCGTAGCACAAACTGGAGTCCTTTTGCTGGTCATGCAATACAAATTTTTTTAGAATCCAGAAACAGCATTACAGGTTTAGAATGTTCCAGACCCAGACATTTTTACATTTGATATCGGGAAGAACACGACAAAACCCGAAAGAAAATGTTCTCCGTGACTAGCAAACTCGCTCTTGCCACCACCAGCTCCCTCGCGGTGCTTTCTGCTGCGGCCCCGGTTTTCGAGGATACGCCTTTGACGACGGAATTGTGGGCGTTGTGCAGCTATGCATTGCAAATATGTCTGGGTCTGGAAGGATGTAACTTGTGATGCTGCATTTGCATGCTACAAAAATCTGTATTGCATGAAGTGCAAAAGAGGTCCAGTTTTTGCCATGGCGAGAGGGCATTTCTCATGCGGTATAGGCATCAGGAAGCCCTCGCAAAATCAGTGATGCTGGGGCATGCATCACAGACGTCAGGAATCATGCAAAATGTGCATGACAAACCTTGCATCCTTCCAGACCCAGACATTTTTACACTTGATAGCAGCAAGAATGAGGACCGTACGGACGAGCAAATGGAGGCGTTTCTGTACCAGAACCCGGACCTAGCACTATTGAAAGGAAAAATCCCCCCTCCCCATATCGAAAACGAAATTTGTGATGCAGTATTTGAGTACACAAATCGCATTTGTCTTGCTGGAGAGGACTGCAGACCCATATCAAGCCTGAATAGAGAGGCTGTGACTTAGGCGCTTAGCATGAAAAGCGTCCGCGATGTTGGCTCAACAGCATGACAAACCGGCTCCATAATGGGACGGAAGCTGCTGCCCTTGTCTTCTTGCAACACACACGTGATTTGTGACCTCAAATCAGCAACACAAATTTTCGAAAACCTACCTCTTCAATATGGGGAGGGGGGATGTTTCCTTGCGATAAGCACTGGCGCGCAGTGCGGACAAGCGTGGCGGGCTTTGGTGGGCATGGGAGTATCGAAATAGATAAACCTTTCGTCAAGAACAACATTTATTATTCCGGTTGGTGTGCTGCATGCATCACAGAGTGCGTTGGTGCTATCTATGACGCGAAGGTCATCTATTTTTCTTGCAAGGCAAAGCAAATTCCTAGCTTCGTGTAGTCCTCGAATTTGGGATCCATGTACTTATCAATATCAAAAATCTTCAGGTACAAGAACAGCTTTGCACTGGCAGCGTTAAAAGCTTATGGCGCGGAGCCCCTTAGCACGGAGGAAGACGACGATGGGAACACACCGTAAAAATTATTATGCGGAGTTTGTAATGCTGATGCTTTATTTTCTGCACGGAACGAAACAGAAACTTACACGATTGGCAGAATCATGAAGGACGTTCGATGCGGAACTTCTTCGTAAAAGATGAAGAAAATAAATATAATATCAGGCAGCAAATGTGCAGCGGCGAAGAGTGTGCGAACTTGTTGTCATCGGTTGCAGACATCGAGAAAGGGATTTTGGACAGAAAAGCCGAGCGGGAAAAGCTATCAGAACGGAAAGTTGTCATTGACTAAACGGAACATCAAATGCGTCCTGTTGCTTGCCATGCGAAACTACACAACCAAGAACAACGTGCACAATTTGCAAGTCAGCTATCTTAACCGAAATGTCAGATGACAGTACATCGCATCACAAACTGCCCAGAATCAGGCGCTCCCAGCTCGTCGTGCCCTAAGCTCATCAGCGGTTCCTCTTGTGTCGAGGCCTTTCCTCGGAGGTTGGTTTGGGCTTGGGGCGCCAGGCGAATGGACGGCTTCGAGGCTACGTTGTGATCGACAAACTGAGATCGACGATAATAGCCTTGTTGCTGGTCCTGTGCCGGTCGCGGGGCATGTTCGGGTGTTCCGGGCAGAGCTTAGTGCAACCCTCGGACCCCGCACCCCCCCGGGCTTGAGTTGCGCAGTCTTCTAAGCAGTACGCATTTCTGTTATTTAGCATGAGAAATAATTTTCTGGATGATAGCAAAACGATCAGGCCGCAATGGACGAGGATGAAGATGATGACGACTTGGATGGCGATGACGAGGATACGGTATGAAAATTTGTGATGCGGGTAGCCGATCAACCTATCGCAGTCGTTTTTGTGTTGATGCATTGCCGCTATTAAGAAAATTTGCATGACAAACTATCAGGGGCGCATGATGGGGAGCAAGGGGTCTGCTACGCCGCCGGGTATGAAGGGACATGTCAGCTGGACGAAAAGGTTGTTTGTGTCACATTTAGATGTTGTCAAGAAGCATGATCGTACGTATTTTGCATAGATGCATTTAAATAGCAAGTTATATATGAGTACGTGTCTAGTCTTCCACCAGGACGACCAGCGTCGCCGCATGCTGTAGTGCAATCAATGACAGCAAATTTGAATTATTTGACGCAAATTATCAGCCTTTTTCGTTTTGTTTGGATAATCAACTCGAAGATTCCGGACATCACAACGGATGACGATGAGGACGAGGACTTGTAAGAAATCTGCGAACATCTTCAAAAGCAGCTGCAAGTAGTACTACTGCAGCTCGGAAGTCGTCATGCAGGGGGTCGTCGGGGTGGAAAAGCATGATATAAATGAATCCTGCTCGGTCGAGCAGCACCAGAGCTGGCATCTTCACAACTCGAACGCTTCAACAAAATCTTCCACTTTTTGCAAGTACAAGCACTGTTGAAAATTTTCATCCACGACCTGGAAGTTGTAGCACCAACGGCGCAACGTCCGTTGTGGTATGGAAAAAATGTTCCGGTATACATAGGTTCTCTACTAAAACAAAATGTACCAGACTTTAGGACTACTAAAATGGCGCATGGTTAACTGGATTTACTTCTCGATTACGCAGTCATACAAGAATAGCTACTTCTTCACTTTTACTTTTTGCTTGGATCGACAATTTATTGATTTGCAGAATTGTAGAGGACGGATCAAGAATGCCAATGTGCGAAGCTGTCGTAGAGCAGGGAATAATGATAGCAACATTTTCAGAATGCTGCAACTAGCAATTATAGCGCAGGACGAGCTACCGCGTACTAGTCCCTGAATTTTCCACGAAATGACGGCACCGGAAGCTAGTCTCGACTACAATACCGGAGATGATTTTCAAATTCAATCATAATAGCGGTTAACTCGAAGACGAAGACCGATATACAATGTAGTTGATGAGCTGAGCAAAGGACCTCGAGCTCAGAAGGATCAGGTTAGGTTTTTCGAGCATTTTTGCACAACTGGATTGAGAATTGCCAAGAACCGCTACTGAACTGGATCCCGATATTGACTTTGCTGTAACTACACAGCTTTATATAAAGTACCTTTCTCCTGTTGTTTGCACTCAGCAAGAGCTTTTCCGGCGGACGGATGCGCTCCTCTACTGCGCAAGCCTCAGGAGTAGGACCAAAGAAGTGCTCCTAATCATGGCGTTCATCTCGAGTGCTATGGCGAGCTGTTCTTTTATTTCAGTTGTGAGTACCAGACCCACCGCGGGGCAGCTGCACGGGTGCAGCTTTGTCGCTGAGGAACGAGACGGGGGAGGGTGGAAAAGATATGGAAATTCTCCGGGACTGTTGCTGTCTTAAAAAAGTTACTTCTTTTTATTGCGTCACGGCCGAGGGTGATGGAGGATGAACTTGAGAAAGCGGAGAGGGCTACGCAAGCGTGAGTCAGGAGCAAACAAGCTTGGCCATGGGGCATTAGATTGTGCCTCGAGAGGTGACTGATGAAAGAGAAGGCAGTGCTGCTTTCTTGAGGATGGCAGGAAGATCTATGCTTAGATAGGATGTAAGAAGTTGTATGTATCTGTGCCTGAGATGAAGAACTGAAAGATCGAAAACAACAGCCAGAGGACTTGGTGATACAATTCCAAAACCGAGCTATCGTAGTAGCAACATCCAAACCGTTATTTCGATAGCCATGGGCACCAGGAGTGTGAAATTGCAAAAATACGCAACAGTCGCAAGTGTTTTTTCATTTTGGCGGCGCCGCTATGGATGTATCTAATGCTACATCATTTTCAACATTTTCTTCTAGCGATACTTAATAATTATTCGAGGTGATTTTTATTTCGGAAAATTTCTGACAAATTCACATCAACGACACTGATTTCATTTCGCAGAAGAAGAATTTTTCACAAGAGGTTGGTTGCAGCGCCAACTGTCATCACTTTACGAGTTTTTTTTTTCAACAACTACAACGTGAAGATTCATATGCGACCTTCGAACAGGGACGAAAGAGAACAAGAGGATTACTCAAAAAAAGATGCTTCTGGACCACCTGGACAGTTTTTTTTCCACCTGGACGCACGCTCCAGCCCACGCGGACGAACAGGAATTTCTTTCCAAGCTGGTGGATAGCCACTACGGCTTGCCCTCTCATGTGGACACGGAAAAGCACCTCGGATCCGCGCTCTCCGTGCTGGCGCAGCATTCCGAACACGCGAACGAGAAGGCAGCGTTGGATATCCTGTGCAAAAACGTCCCCACCCCATAGTCAAGATGGGAAATCTGCTAGACAAATCAACAAGCTTTGGCTGTTGCGCATGACAAGTTTGGCCTCGTAGTGCGATCCTGTTATTAAGCTAGTTCAGCAGCGTCACAGGTCCAGTCTGTCATGCTGCTGCGAGCATGACAAATCTCAAAGCGCCACTAGAAAACGCCTCTCATGTGTCTCCGCATGAGAAACATTCTAAGCATGCAGATTTGCATTACAACTCTGGGGTGTGGACGTTTTTAAATAGGATATTGGATGGGGTTTACTCCCTTGCCGCGAAGAAATGGCTCCCAAAGTTGCCGCTCGGGGACGAATATCAAATGCAAATACGTTTGGGTCTGGAGCATTCTAAACTTGTGATGCTGTCTCTGGATTCTGAAAAAAATTGTATTGCATGACCAGCAACAAGAGGACTCCAGTTTGTGCTACACGGAGAGGGCATTTCTCATGCTGTAGAGGTATCGCAAAGCGCTCTAAAAATCTGTGATGCTACGGTATGCATCACAGACGTCATGGGTCATGGAAAATATGCATGACAAATCTAGAAATCTTCCAGACCCAGACACTTTCGCATTTGATAACGAAGCGCCGGTCGACCCGTTGCAGCTGCAGCCGAGTTTGAACCTGCCACCAGAGCAGGAACAGAACGTGTTGAGGTGAGATAATGCAATTTAGCGAGATCATGCATATACTTTAAAATTTTTTTTTGTTGCATGAGTTTCGGCCTGGTTTTGTAGACTAACATAAAAGAGTAGAAGATCACGAGCCATTTGTTCCGTCACCATTCACCCGTACTACACAGGCACACGCTGAACGAGGTGCTCGGGCAGAAAGTCGCGATTGCATCCAAGGATTTGCATCAGCTGGACAAGATGCGAGAAATTCTTGAGAAGCCTCAAGCCGCAGACCAGGCCTGGCAGGAGGCATTGAAGGTGAGATTGATGCTGTACAACTCTCATTGATTCGGATGCTGCACTTGTAGCGACATCATGTTGTATGTCGTTGTGCATAGTTGTTTGTGGATGGTGAAAAAATTGTGCTGGAAGCTCGCCCCTGAAAATTGCGACAAACATTATAGATCATAAATGCGGAAAATCGTTATCTTTTGTAAAACCCCCCACATCAACGGCATTTATTCAGGTCCGCGTCGACGATCTCCAAAATGTCGGCGGAACCAACGCCCACACGACCCGCCTTTTTGAGGCGCAAGCAGGTCGGGCCCCGCGAAATAGTGCACTGGGCATGGCGCCCTGGCCCGACCCGCCTCCCGGCCACCCAAGGCTGATCGCGAAGCCCCTTGCCGCGGACCTGTCCTCTCCGTCTTGGGGCTTGCCGGCAACGTTTCCCTGAGTGCATGCTCGGACACGTTGGCGAGAAAAAAAACGCATGCTGGGGATTTCGGCCCTAAGCGGCTATCTACACACTTTCGGCCACAAAAACGAGCACCAAAAGCCCCTCGAAAAAGTACGCATGCACGACCTCCAGGGAAACGGCGACGCCGGGTCCCCAGAAGTTGGGCGCGGCCTTCAAAGCCCGGGGGCCACCTGGGCCAGGGAACGGGGCCAAACCGAGACCGCAGACGGGCGCGCGCGGCCCTCCTCAAACGCTTTGCCGCCGCTTCATGTGCCGGTCCGTGTGGGCGCTCCCACTTCTGTGCCGGCCGTTTCGCATTTCCCATGCGGCCGCACGCGAGCGGGCGGCGCGGGTGCGTCTTTTTGCGTGGCCCCTTGGCCTGCGCGCCCGTACGGGCCAAGGGGCGAGCCCCCGGCAGGATGGCGCGGCCCAAGGCGCTCGGGGTTTTTCGGTTCGAAGCGCGCCGTGGGTTTCCGGGCCGCTGCATCTTGCGAGGCCCGCGCCCAAAAAGGTGGCGCCGGCCTGTTGCTTGGCAAGCATGTGGGCACATTGCCGGGGGGGGCTTAGCAGTTTGGCGAAATTGCGAAGCACACAGGGGGGCTGCTTCCGGTTGCTGTATTACGCAAGGGGGGTGGGCCATCAGCATGGGGCGCAAAAAGATCAGTCTGAAAAGGCTCCAACCTGCTCTATGCATTCGGCGCCAGCCTCCCGGCCGGGTTTTGTTGTTGGGACAGACGCAAGCCCTTGCCCCTCTCTGCCCGCGGCTAGGGGGCGGCCGCCCGAGGATGCTCGCGCCCCTTATAGAAGTCCTATCGGGCCACCAGCTTCCGTGAGCTCTAGCGCGGCCACCAACTGGCTACGGAACGCAAATCGAGGCGGGTGGGCATAGTTCGGCGCCGCGCTTCTTCTTTGTTTTCCTGGGCAAATATTGCCCATGCGCGACAGCGTGGCGCCCTACCTTCGCAAGTAACGACAGGGCCGCCACGGGAATGCGCCGCGCGGGACCGAGGTCAAGCAGCTCGGCTGACGACTCAAGGCCGCCGCCCACAGTACAACACGCGGCACAGCAGGTGGGGCTTTAGATCGCTAAGAGAGGCGCGGCGCCCCGTCCGAGGTAGCAGCGCAGCGCATGCTTTACCAGCACCGTGCCCGCGACCAAGTAAGCGTGAGCTGTGTGGCGGGGCCGCGTTGCAGTAGCCCACACGCGGATGGGGCCGAAATGGGTACACACATCCACAAGGCCTGCTGCGTCGTCAGCTAGTGCGCTAACTTTTGTGCGCCGCCATCTCGCTAGCTTCTTTGCATGCATAACAGAGTCAGAGACTATCCCTGAAGGAAGTCCGCTGGCGGATACCATCCGGGCGGGTTGTGCAGCCGGCGGCCGTGTTGTTGTATGAGTTCAAAAAAAAAATTTTGATTTGGGGAAAACCGGGGTAGTGGGGACAGTTTTACCTAACGTATATTCAGGTCCGCGTCGACGATCTCCAAAATGTCGGCGGAACCAACGCCCACACGACCCATAACTCGACGAGCATCTCGGCTAGCCGCATAGAGTCCGAAGTCCCCTCCACCTCCGTCGCTGCTACTCAAATATCCCCAGATAACTGGCAATCCGGCGGGTCGAGCTCTTCCACAGCAACGCACCACTACGGAAGCAGTAGTTCCGCGGATAATTCCGCTAAACTGAGTGAGGATATCACAGAAAAAACAAAAAGCTTTTATACTTATGTTCACGAAATTGAGTGTGAAGCCGCGTGCATGAGGAATAAACCCACACAAGAGGGAAGTTTGTATTGCGTCGCATCATGATGCAGCATGTTCGACATAATTTGTCTTGCGACAGCGCAAGCAGGAGCTATTAATCAAAAATCGTAAAAAATGCAAAACGCTTTTTGATTTCGTTTCATAGAGGAGTTGTTCGTCTGGAAGGCGTCGCAGCACCAGGTGGGAACGAACCAACAGGAGCCGTATGTCGTGGTTCGGGATCGGGACGGGATTTCCCTGCAACTTCTCCCCATGCGCTCCGCGCTGGCGTTTGGGGACAATCGGGAATTGTGGCACCGGGACGCGGAGGGCCACATTTGGACGCCGGACAAGTCCGCCGTGGTCGACGTCGACTCTAGCGGGAAAGTACTGCTGAAATCGACGCAGGGGCTGTTGAGTACGGGGGCCAGAAACGCGGAACTGTGGAAATTAGGGGACGATGGTATATATTAGAATAATGCAGCATCAAGTTCATTTCAAATTCAATTGAATACAGGCACGTTTGGTTTGCATGCTCTTGCAATGCGACGGTGACCACCGTGAGTCAACCTCGTAATTTGAATTCGATCGGATGTCTACAGTGGGTCGTTTTCAGCCCGCCTGCAGCACGCTAGTACAAGCAACTGTATAGATACGACAGAAGCATGATGAATCGCCAAACACGACCTGTAAAACAACGAACTCCAAAAGGTACCATGACCTCGGTTCACGGCAAGGAATACCTTCAATTTCCCGGCGTCGTGGACAGTTTCGTGGACACGCGGTTAATCGACCCGGTGAACATCTCTTATGGCATTCTCAAACGTTACATTCTCAACTGTTACATGGATTTGTGATGCAAGAATGGGAAAAGTGAAAGGGGGGGCATTGCGCGTCTTGCATGACAGATTTGGCACAGATTGTGAGCCTGTTTGGCCCTTCCAGAATTTGTCATGCAGAGCAGCTTGATCGTGTAGATGATAATGGTAGTTTTGCATGACAAATCATGTAACAGTTGAGAATGTAACATTTGAGAACTCCATATCTCTTCCAACATTCCCGACACTCCCGAGCACCCCGCCTCCTTTGCCATCGACGACAACGTGCACCACAGCTGGGTCGCGCCGCAGGCGGGCGGGGAGCACCTCCCGCTGGCCGGGAAGGCCGGGTTGATACACCGGAACCACCCGTACTTGGTTGTCGACGCGGGGGAAACGAAATACATCGAATCCCTACAGTTGGATTTCACCGAGCCACCCAAGGAATTCCTGGTCAGTGGCAGCTCCGACGGGGGACACAGCTGGCAGAAGGTGTTTGGGACGGACTTGAACACAGCGTACTTATTGACTTTTTCGTTAAAAGTTGGTCAGTTGCTGTTTTGCATTCTGAAGTTATTTTCACGCTTGGTGTGCCTTAATATGATAGAACTAGAAGTGCACTGATCTAGTACGCATAAGGTGAGCCATGGACATAAAAATTTTTGACAAATGAAAACGAACAAACTCTAAACACTACAGGTTCAACCTGAAGGTCCCGATCCACGACAAATTTTCGCACTTGAAAATCACTTTTCTCGAGCCGCTCGGGCAGGCCGTGCCGCACGTCTCCGGGGGCCAGTTCGGGGTCCGCCACGTGGCGGTGTACGGTAAGGAGATGGAGCCGGCGTTCGTGGGCGGCTACCCCATTTTTGGCCCGGTGGGGCACTTCAAGTTCGAACACCTGGCCGGCCCCTTACCCGACGCGGAGAAAATTGACAAGTTGTTGGATCTGGCGAAGCAGTTGGACGTCGCGAATTCGAAGCTTGCCTTGGCGGAGGAAAGGTACGAAGCTGCGGTGGACCAGCGGAGCTTCATGGGCCTAAACGCCGCCCACGAGAGTTCTGGCGGCGGGGGGTTTTTCGGAACACAATCGATGAACTACGGAAACAGCAGTAGTAGCAGTACCTCAGGAGCTGGTGCCGGCGGCGGTTCGTTTTTCGGGCGCGCGTTCGGTTACGGCGGTGGGGAACAAGTACAAGACAACAGCGACACAGGAGCTGCTCAACAGCAGTACCAATCGGATGAACAAATTATGGACACCAGCAGTAGTACCAATCCTTCGATGCTGCAGACGATGGAAATGAGTATGAAACCTCTGTTCTACGGCATGCTGGCCTTCTGTATCGAAGTGAAAGATCCTCCCTCCCCATATCAAGAAAACGGAAATTTGTGATGCTGCTTTGTGGTCACGAATCCCGGTGTCATGCTAGAAGGGAAGAGATGCAGACTGTAGTGCTAGCTGGCGCAGGAACGCCATGCGTCTTCAGCATGACAGGAAGCAACTGGAAATGGGAAACAGCATGACAAATTTCTTCCAAACGAGGGAACAGCTGCGTCTCTTAGCCTTCTAGCAATACAAGTCGATTCATGTACTCAAATACAGCAACACAAATTCAAATTTCGTTTTCGATTTGGGGAGGGGTGATTTTTCCTCATAATATCCTGCGGTTTGATATCCTCGAAGACAGCGGAGGGGAAGATCACGACGACAAGGGACGCGGCGGGTGTGAGCAGAGCCGGCGCCGCGGGGGTCGAAGGTCTGAGCAGGTCGAGTTTAAGGTCGTCTTGTTCATCTTCCGTTGGAGCTGCGCGTAGTGACGCCGGCGGGGAGACAGATAAGAATCCTTACACAGTACTAGACGCAGCAGGTGAGGTAGGACGAGAGGAGGTCAAAGGAGGAGCATCTGCAAAAAGAAATGCGCGTAATTCTAGCAAAAATGGTGGTCAAAGAGCGAAGAATAGCGGGCCAGCAAGGAATAATGAAACTGCTGGTGACCACCGAGTAGACGGTAGAAGTAGCACAACTAATTCTAATGGTCCGCGCGGGATACTAGACTTCTCGTGTCACGACCTGACAGGCGGTGATAAAGGTGGTAATGATACTAGATCCGGTCGGGTTTGCAGCGGCTTTTCGGTGCCGGAGTCAATCGCTGGATTCGGCATCAGTATGCCGAAAAGACCTGCGTGGTTGACGTTTTCATCTACTTCGCCTTGGAACAACACTACAACAAGTGATGTGGCTTCTTCGAAGGGAAGTAGTACCACAGGACGAACTTCCTTTCCTTTCGTGGCGCGACCGCGACGGTGTGCGAACTTCTTGTAGAGGATAGCGAAGAGCAAGAGTCTTGTTCATCTCTGTTGTAGAGTTCGCGACGGTGTGCGAACTTCTTGTAGAGAATAGCGAAGATCAAGATTCTTGTTCATCTCTGTTCGTTGTTTTTTATCGGGAAGGTAAAGAAAGGGACGATAGCTCGTAGTTCTAGCGAAGTGCAGTGCGCCGGGAGCTTCCTTGGTTAAAGGACGGATTCTGAATCAAATGCTAGTGATTGAAGCGACGGTTAGGTAAGGATTACACATGATTCCAAGAAAGAGCATAGAAATCCTTTTGAAATAGAGGGACGATTCTTGAGCGACTTAAAATTTGGGTTAGGTTTTACAGATACACAACTTGTACACATTTTTCGTTCTTCGGCGCGCCCGACGTGATAATCAGCATATACAGCATAAGTGCAATATAGATGTTTAGAAACTCTGGCGGGAGCTATGTTTTTATGAAACAGATTCCCGAAGATGACGATGAAAAAGTTCTACTGCTACTTAGACGCCTAAATGAATAATGACATACCCCAGAAAGTGGGGCCATAACTTTTCTAGAGCGACCATTTTTCAACATTTATCGAAAACTTTTCTACGAAGAGCGACACAAAAATTTTCACAACGTGTAAGATCGACCTGCGCAAAGCCGCTTCGGGTGCAGCTTCACCATGAGGATGTACGCCACTTTTTTACAACTCCGAATTATCGATAGAAAAGCGTGGCCAAGAAATAAGAAAAACCACACGACCGGAACATTACTCAATACCTCTCAACCTCTTTGGCGCCACCCTCCTATGCTTAGAAAGGAATTTCCGCATAAAGGTTTTGTTCCTACATAACCTCATGCAATTGCTGATTTGAACTCTCACCCAAGAACTAGTACTGCCTTTGGGTGCAGGTGCACAGGCGGATCAGCAGTGCATTTTCAAAGAGTTGCGCGTCGAGCCTTATTTCATCAGACAGCAGGATATTTTTTACCAAGATGAACGAGCCGCTGTTACTTTTTCACCAAGCACGAGCAGCTTGTTCAGGGATAAAACCGCAGGTCTTGATTCAGAAAAAAGAAACGAAGGCACGGAATGAAGAGATAAAATCCTGCGCCGAGGAAAACGAAATTAAGTAGTTTTTCACCACATCTTCAGAGAGCGCCCGCGGAGTTGCGGACAAATCATTGTGTTGAAATCTGATCATACGTGTGTAGCTCGGTATAGATATGAAGTTGAAATAAAAGGAAAAAATTGCTTTACATAATTACGTAATCTATGAGTTCTTGTGACGCCAGATCCACTTCGCTTCCCAGAGGATAGAATTCAAGCAGATTCTTCTTCATCTTCGTGATCGAAATTAAGCGCAGAGTGATCGAGATCACTTTCAGAATGAAAAATGAATGAAAAGGCATCTTATGCCTATAAAATTCTGATCCTCACCGTGAGCAAGCGACAGAAGTGGAAGCGATCCGAAAATTTATGTTGGTACGACAATAAAAGTTGATTTGTTCGTTTTTGTCAACATACAGGGATGCTGAAAAATAAACGAGAAGCAACAACGTGCCAGTTGTATGCTTTTTCGTTCAGAAATGAACGTATTATACTCTAGAGCTCGATGATATGATGAAACATCTTCGTGTAGCAAAACCGGTTTCCGTTTAGAACTATGTTTCCCGTCTATTCGCATGCAAAGCTAGGCTGTTATTAAGTGAGTTAGTTGTAGGTACAGGTAGAACGTCTTGTACTTGTTCCCCACAACAGCGGGGGGATCGACGAACCCTCGCTGCGGGCTACAGCCTACAGGTAACTCTGTTGCGGTTGCCCCTCATTACTACGTCTTCGCGCAGTGGCTCACTTCTTCTCGTCGAACAGGCGTGGCGTCTGGGCACTCTGGTTACGGACTTCGGTCTCGACCCTGTTGTCGCTCCAGCGCCACAAACCCAAAAAACTCCAGTCCCCGAGCCCAGTCCCTTAACAGGTCCAGAGAGCCACTGAGCACGCAGCAGCTGGGTCGAATGGGGTGATCGCAGTACAGACTCGGTGTCGGGCCTTGAGCGGTAGAAGGAAGACAACGAGTGGCACTGAAGTCCTAGGTTATGCACACCCGGAAGGGCTATTTGTCCACTTTTACAGATCTACTATCCGCTCGGCTTGTCGGCACCAAAAATAAGTCCTATAGTTAAGCTTAAGAAAGAAGTAGCTTAGTAGATAGAAGCTTACTATAGAGGTTTCCTCCTCCTCCTTAAGTGAGTTAGTTGCAGTTCTAGTTGTTATGAAAGCAGCACTAAGCTTCATTTTTAGTCGACTGTATCAAGTATGTGATTCCATTGTTTTGTTTAGTTTTGATTTTGCTGCACCCATTTCGACTTCCTTTTTTTTACAATTCATTGAAACTGCTGATTTTATGAACGATCGACAGCTAGAAAACAATAACAAACGTTAAGATTCCTATATCGTCTTTCTTTCCTCCATCAGTCCCAGTGTGTAGTACAACAACAACTGCCTTCTAGAAAAATGGCAACATCTCGAGGACGAGGACGTCGACGTACTTTTTTCGGGAAGATGATCGCGACAGTTTGTGCTCTCCTCGTTCTAACCGCCCAAATCGCGGACCAATCTATAATCGCAGCGACAAAGTTGGCGGGTGCGAATGTTCCTGGTCGTGATTGTCGCAGTCATGGAGATCACGATGCCCCTTTGTCAACCTCTGGTGGTCTTGCAGTTGCAGATGCTTTTGACATCGAAGAACTCTCCTGGACGAGGAAGACATCATCTTCAAGCAAAGAAGATCCAAATAAAGTCGACACAACTCTACTTGCGCACAACCTTGCCTTTTTGACAAAGTCCGACTGCCGCGCCGTTCGAACCACCTCCAAGCAGATTGAAGAATGCGGAAAGCTGGAGGACAAACGTGTGGAAGCGGCTTGGCAGGAGGTGTTAGCGACGGAGGAGAAGTTGCGGAGACAGCAGTTGCCCGCACTGAAACTGGCTTTCGAGAAACTTTTTAAGGAGAGAAGGCAGCTGGAGAAAGTGGCAGGACTGAACAAGACGTTCTTCCGCCCCGAGCTCCGGGAAATCGGCGAGGAGATCCTCGCGAAGGCGGAGAGGCTGACCACTTTGGTCTGGAAGTTTGTTGACTCCGAGGAGCAGGGCGATCGAGAGTTTCAGACGATGCTGGACCAGAAGATTGATGTCGAACCAGGAGCGGTCTCTCGTCCCCAAAAATCGTTTAAGGACACTACTGGTAAAATAAACCCAGCCTACCTGCAAGAAGAACGAAATAAACGCGGCAGAGAACCACGCAGCCGCAAGAACTTTATCCGGGTGCGCGACTCGATGTTTAAGCATTTGAAGACAGCCAGTCTTGAGTTCCTGCAAATCGCTGCGGAATTTCACGACGAACAGAAAACAGCAGAAGCCGATGAGAAACGAAGATTACAGAAGGAGCATGATTTAGCCGATCTGGAATATGTTGGAGCAAGAACGCGACGAGCAGCTGCAGGATGCGATAACGAACCAGCAACAGGTAGTACTAGTTCAGCACCTGGTGCTGCGACTACTTCCTTGCAAGAACAGGAGACTAGCGGTGCTGCGCCTCATGCGCCAGCTGATGTTTTACTTTCACATGGGGGTCGTCGTTCTTGTGGTCCCCCGACGAGCTTGGACGAGCTTTTTATCGCGGACGAGCTCGGACGCCGAGTGGGCACAACAAGTGCCCCGCATAACGCGGACGATCACGATTTGGCCCCGCTTTGTTCATCTCCGAAGACGTCGACCATATTGGAGGCCCGGAGCGCCGCCGGAAAGAATTTCAGGCGATCTAAATATTTTCACAAGGACACCACAACGAGAACCTCTAGTACTGCTAGCACAGCTCCGTCGTTGTACGATCCTCTGCAGGAGTCTCAAAAGCTGGCCAAACAGCTGCAGATTTACGGGGCGGTGATCGCAACGGCGTTTGTCTACCGTTGGATCACAGACCCAGAGAACCGGTCGGACGTGATTTCCTTGCGGAAAGACAAAAAGGAATTCGAGACGGTGCAGGAACTTTTGTCCCTGCTGAGGATCGAACTCCCGGAGGAGAAGAGGAATGGCGCAACTGCTCGGCAGGACGACCTGCGAAATAGCAAATACTGGTTTTCGGCGGATGCGGTTTCACAGGTGGAAACAAGGATGTTTCATGTCAACAACTTGAAGTTGTTAAAACACTTGCAACAGCGAGGTTACCTCGGTGGACATCATGATGGAAATGAAATCACAGCGAAACAAGGAACGGCAAGTAGTAACCGGAGCCTCATTTCTCCATTCCACCTGACGAAGACGCTCCTTTTGGAACGCACGATTTTAGAATTCCCCGTGGACTACAGTATATCGGGACGGGATACCTATTCCTCAGCCAACGGGCAGCAGCTCTCCGAGGCCGATTTGGCGCTGGATGTCGGCGGGTACGCGGTGAGTGCGCAAGTCTTGATGCGGAAGTGGGAAATCGAAAAGAAACGGCTACAGCGGGAAGAGCTCGCACAGAGACGGACGTTGCACGGGGATGTTGAACAAGATGATTTTCATGCCGCGGAAGATGCAGTGGCGGGAGAAATTCTAAAAGCGCCTATGACGACGTCGACCCAAGTAGAAGAGCATTACCTGAAGCATCCTCTGCTGTTTGAGCTCGAAGAGGCGGTTGCGATGCTCGGAGCGTTTGAGGTAAAAGACCTTGTTGGCAATAAATCTAAAGGCAGCATGTCCTCGTCCTCCGTCCTCGGCCGCGCTGCAGGAATGAGACCACAAAGGACATCAAGAGCAGCTCCTCCACCGATGATTGCCGTCACCAACCGAGATTACCACAACTGGCTCCTTCTCACGATGCGCGCCGCCTTCCCCCCTGACCTCGAGCGCACTTTCAAGCGGCGGAGGTTTCCGGGGCGAAAGAATCCAGACGGGTATCCGGCGATCTTAGTCGGGCGGCAATTGGTGGCACGCAGACTGATTCAAGTCGCGAATTTTGAGGCGGAGCAGGCGGTACTGTTGATGAGACCAAGTGATGTTGGCACCATCTCCATGCCGGAGATAATTTCTCCCTTCCTGAAGGAGCTGCTGGAAAGTTTGGTGCTCGGACGGGTTGGCAGGCGAGAAGATTGGAGGATGGACAAAAGCTACACCGTCCGTGAGCAACTGCAGCGGGCGATGCTGTCGGAGTTTCTCGGGAAGGAGAAAATGCACGCGTTTGGTGCGTCGGGGTACTTGGTTTTCGAGATTCTGAACGGCCTGCACAAAAAACAATTCGAGCTGGTGGAAGTTGTTGTCGACGACGCAGTTGTAGAGATGACGAGTGCTGCAGCAGCCGGAGTTTATCCTCGTGGTGCTTCAGCATCCTCGAAGACCATCTCTGGAAAAGAAGCTGCTGGCAGAACTAAAGAACACAGCACAACTTCTAAGACCAGAAAGTTTTACGTGCAAGGCCGAACGAATTTTCCCCTTCTCGCGTGGGACCACTTGGAAAGCCTGTGTGGGGGCGCCGGAAACATCAAGATGGCGTGTCACCAGAAACTCGTGCCCTTCCTGCGAGCGTCCAAGGTGCTGACGGAGGTCCTTCTGTCAACATCTTTGCATAATTCTCCCCCGGTCGACGTGGTTCCTGCTAGTAGCACTGCAATTGGAAGTAGAACTACTTCTGCCCATCAAGAGCAACTAGTACAAGTACAACAGCAACCGGGTGGTCTGCTTGTTCTACCACAACATCTGCTGCATCAAGAACAACAACCTCCGACGGGAAACAAAGGACCTGTACTGGTAGCGGCGAAGTCCGCTGAGATGAAGCAAATCCATCCATCGTTTTTCTCCTTCCTGAACCGGCTGCAGGAAAAAAATGCGCTACAACTGTTCTACAAGTCCTGGTTTACCGAAAAACACGTCATCATGATCAAACAAGACAGGAACCTGAATTCCCAGACTCGTGGTCGCGTTGTGCAACTGCACGCAGACGTCAAGGGGCCGCTCCGGTGGCAATTGTTTTGGATTCTCAAGGTGCACGGCCACATCCAAAGAAGTCTCGGAGCACAGGCAGCCGCCGCGCACGCTGCCTTCTTCAATATGGAGCTCGAAGAATACCACGTCGGGGGGGCTGCTGGTGCTACTGGTGCAAGATCTGCTGCATCGGCTGCATCTCCACCTGTGGCGCAAATGAGGGACTTGTTTGCTGGTACCAATATCTCGACTGCGGGACAACTACAAGGATCAGCATCATCGGGTTCGTCTTCGGGGACTGGCGTCTCTGGGTCGGGAGGATATCAAGTGCAAGAACTACTACGAGGGAACAATACTATGAGTTCGTTGAACACAGAACAAGAACATCCACATCAAAGCGCAACGACGACCACAGTCGGGGGGGATGAAGCTGATAGCGACGACGCGTCTGGCTCGTCTGGAGGAATGAATATGGAAGCTGAAGTAGACTCTGCTACAGGACGACCGGAACTCCTACAAGTTCTTTTCACCGGCGCACAGCCAGTACTAGAATCTCAATCTCCTCCCTTCTCTCCCGGACTTGAACTTGTTCCCTTGCCCACAACGGAGGTTCTGGCGGCTAGTGATGTTGAGGTGGATATCGACGACCATAGTACCGATGATCTCCTTCTTCTTCCTCCACCGTCTGTACTATTAGAAGAACCTGCAGAACGCGACTCGGATGATCATGTTCTTGACGTACTAAGTGACCTGGGTACCACAGATGAAGAAGAGTTCCCCCCGATCGAAATCATTGAGCGACCGGTACGGGATTGGGCACGGGAGTTGCTGGGTTCTTCAGGTGACTCGTCTTCTTCATCTTCTTCCGGTGGCGAGGGCAGCGGTACTAGTACTAGTTTGTCTACTTCCTCGGAGCTTCAGGACAGTGTCGGAGAAAGACGTGTGCGACGGCGTCGCGGGAGGAGAAGCGAAAGCCTTGCAGGTCGTGGAAGAGCTACTGTGCGGCCAGGACGTGGTCGAGGACCACCAACGGGAGCTCCGCAGCAGGGACAGCAGCAGTCTTCGCCGCGACCACCTCCCCAGATGCTTAGCAGAACTCCATCACCCGCGCGTAGAAATCGGTCTCGGTCTCCCGGCTTTAATACTCCACAACGACCGGCCAGGATGTCTCCTTCTTCCCCGCGGCCCGCAGGAACAGCAGCAGCAGTAGGACGCCGCCTCGGAGTTTCACTCCGTCCCCGCGCCACCGTATTAGTTTAGTAGTCCGCGGACGACGAGGACGGCGTCGTTTTCTCCACCAGTTCGTCCAGGTGCTACGGCACAACGGACGCCGCCCCGCACCCCATCGCCGAGAACAATTCCAGGAGGACAGCGGTCGCCGGAGATTGCTTCCCCAAGTACAACAACTAGAACCCCCGACGTGTTCATACAACAGCGACGCGCCTCCAGTTCTTCGCCAGGAGTAGAGGAGTCAACATTGCCGTCGTGGTCTTCGCGGCCCGCAGTTCTGGTCGGTTCGTGTGGCAGTACCTCTCCTAGAGCGGCCTCGTCACAAACGCCGCCGCCGCGGCGGGCGACGATGGGAAATGGAAGTAGAGGCAGCCCTGTTCATCATATCGTCTCAAGCGAAACTACAGATGAAAGTGCGGCCACAGCCACGCCTTCTAGTCGTCTCCCCCTGCAAGTAGGTGGACCCGACGAACAAATCAATCTCAGCGCAAGTAGGTGGACCCGGTCCGAGTCCTCTGATGCGACGGAGCGAGACCAGCTTATGCTGGACGAGGTTCATGAGCAGAATTCTTTTTCGTGACTTGAACGAGACGAGTATGTTGCGGCAGGTCCACGAAACAGCTTCTTCCATAGTATATGTTGCACCACTACAAAATAATTCCGAAGAACAACAATTACAAGCGCTCCTGCGAAAGATTCTCTTTTGATGTGGAACGGCGCCACTTTTCTTTGGTCAGTTTCCTACGAAACATGTATGACACAGGATAGTTGTCAACACTCTTTCGAGTCTTTTTTACCCAGTATTTGTTAGTTTTGAGAATTGTATTGTAATTGTATCTTTAGAAGAAGAAGACCCACGACGACCAAAAGGCGATTTATCCGCCATATCAAATAGTGTACTGATTGCACAGCGGTGTGCTTACTTAATCGAAGTCGAACCATTTTGGGAGAGGCGCTTTCATATTACTTTCCCGTATCTAGTTATTCGAAAATATCAGAAGATGTCTACTTGTTTTGCCAAAAATTTATAATTAAAGTGGCCATCGGGGGTTATTGTGACACCATAACTCAGCCTGCATTCCTCCATATTAGCCATAGACAGTGAAATTAAAAGTGTGAAGTTGCTCTATGTGGACGAAGTTCTCTACTTTGTAGTTGTGCAGTGATTTATACCGTAGATTATGGCCACCTGCGTTGATTGTGTCACGTTCACGTGTTGTATGTAGTGAGCTCACCGAACAACAATTATACACTCGTGGAACAGAAAATTGAACCCTGCTGCGTTGCACGCGATGTATTTCGTTCTAGTGCATAAAAATTATTCCTGCAACCGAATTGGAGTAATGTGCGGCTCATGCGGTTCTCGCGCATGAAGATTTTAATCCTAGCATGCTACCACAGCAATTGCAACTGTGGAAACTACCGCAAATGCACCGAATTACTTATGCAATCAGGGAGGTGTTAACAATGGATCCTGGGCCCGGAACTGGTCCTCTTGCAGGGTAGTAACGACAGATTGGGTTTGTGATCTGGCACAAATAATTTTTTTAAGTGCTGGCCTAGGTGAATTTTTGCAAGAAAGCTTTAGGCGAAAGCCTTCTTATGTGGTACTTTTCTTTTCCGATGGGTTTTCACCGCACACAAGATGAACTTAGAAAGCTACCTTCTATATTTACGTACTCTTACAAGTACGTCATTCTACACTATTCCAAGTACCTGAAAGACAAGCGTGATAAGGTCCCCTCTTTATTGTGTCTCCGGATGAAACAAGCTCATGTTGGTCTACTTCTGGCTCTGGCGCAGCGTCGCGGAGTGAAAATGAACATTGGATGAGCTCTCAATTGTTAGATTGACCGGGCATCAACAACGGAACTGTGGTCGAAGTAGTTTCTGATGAAGGAACTACAAATTCCAGCTAATTCCTTGGCCACGGACGCTGACAACATGATGAAAATGAACACCCCCTCGATGTATGCCATGTCTATTTGAAGACATTTCCGTTTCCCTTTCGTACACTGAAGCGTAAAATTGAAAAGAAATGGAAAGAATCTTATGGCTCAACTTCTGTGTGCCTTTTCTCCTTGGGAGATTGCGAAAATATCGTCCGGTCTGTTCCACTTGCAACGTCATGTATTTATTTTTTCACGAAAGAACGATGCACGCAGCAGTCCGCCAAAGGGCACACTGCCAACATCATCATCGTCAACGATGAGATTTATATTTTTATTGTTAGCGGAGTCGTTTAGCAAAATGGTTTTTGCGTGTTCTTGTACTTTCTCCAGCAGTTTCGTATGAGGAGTTTCGTCCTGGTGAGGAGAGAAAAAACTGGCTTGCGTTGTTATCTCTTCATCGAGAAGTTAGGTGAGCTGCGAAAAAAAAGCGCGACGGCGCTGACCGGAACTTGAAGAGAAAAGAAAACATAAAAGATTGCAAATTTGTTGTGTATTACATCTTCATGGCTAGTGGTTGCGTCTTTTCATTCATTTTTTTGCCCTCCGGTCGATTTTGGCCGCGTGTGAAATCGGCAAAAATAAACACTCTGAAGAAAAACTTTGACTTCAACATCTTCTAGCGGGTACTATAGGACACAGACCAAAGAGTCGGTCCACCAAGAACGATTTACTACCTGGTGAGAGGTCGTAGAGAGCCTTAGTCGAAATTATGACCTTCGAAGGGAACAAAATGATGAATCCCGAAGCCACAATATCCTCGAGAAATTCAAAACGGCGCGTCGTGGCGAATCTAGCTAGTGGAGCGAGCTACTGCAGAGCCGCCGAAGCCAGGAGAGATTCCTCTGATCGGAGCAGCTGCAACAGGAAGTCTGCCCCGCCTGATCTTGTTTCGGCGCTGCAGCCGGACCACCTCCAAGGTCTTCTAACTTCTACAGCAGGGTTGGTTTATAATTTTCTCGGGCGCCAGGGCTTGTAGAAAGAGGGCAAGAGCTACTACTTCCATCTAGGTGGAACCACGACTCCGGAGTCGAGAGGCGAACGACGAACAACGGCATCAAAGAAGCTCCAGGAACAACAAGAAGTACTTCTAGCAGACCGGACTGTGAGTAGTTCGTGCAAGAAGAAGTACGTAGAGCGAAACAAAAATGCTTACCCCAGTGAAAGATGTTGCAAAAGAGCCCGCTTTCGCGGAGTTCGCGACACAGGAGTCCACCAGCGAGGTCATCTCGGAGGTGCTTCGCGTTTTTTTCAAGAAGCCGGAGCAGAACCAGAAGCTGAGCGACTTGGTCGATGCGCATGACGTCGTGCTGCCCCGCTTCGGGTTGACAAATACCGAAGTCGGACTGCAGATCTACCGCGCGCTGGTGAAGTGGTTCAACGACAGCAGTGCCGCGGAGGAAAAGAAGCGTGTCGGCGGCCCCGCGACGCAGCGGGCAAGGAAAAATGCCATTGGCGGGCAAGGAGCAGGAGGTTCTCTGAACAATCATGGTGGTAGCATTTCTAGGGTGCCGCAGCAGAATTATACCAAAGCTGCGACGACGAACAGTTCCTCAACTGCTTTCAAGCCCAAACTTGTTTTGGCGGCACCGAGAGCTGCAGGGTCTCCTGGACAGTTGTCCTCATCTTCAGCAAGAACTACTGCAGTAGGAGTACAGCAGCCTTCTTCTTCGCGCATCAATCACCAGAACTTCTCAAAGAGTACGAGCCCACGGTTACAGTCTGCTGCGGACGACCTCCCGAGGCGGCCCCGCACCTATTTGGGTCAGTTCCTGCACCACCAAAACTACCAGCAGGGAGGGAGCAGCAGCAGCACGTCGCCGATGGTGCGACTACATTCACATGGTTCTACTGGTGCCCCCGCGTCGAAGAGTACAACAAATTCCGCGAGTCCGATGCTGCTCGAGTTCTCCAGCCCGGAATTCGGCGGGAGGGGGGGAAGGGCCAAGTTGATGTCGAGGAGCAGTGAGGATTTAGCGCGGAGTGCCGCCTTTCATGATGGAAAAAATAATCTCCATCTTTCAATACGAACGCCACGGTTGGGAGAAACATGTAAAGGCTCTTCCTCGACAGCGACGTCCGCCACGCACCAGCAAAATTCATTTCTCTCGAAGAGTTTCGATGGCTCCACGCCTCGCCGAACTGTTCTATCGCCCCCCTTTCCCGAAGCGGTAGGACCACGACTACACCTCCAGCAAGACACCGGCGAGGACCAGAGCAGAATAAATTCGAAGATGAACAGAGTGGCGGACGATGTTCTCCGCGCTTCGTTCGAGAAGAGGTCCCCAAGCCACGCGGACGGTTTGCCGGTGCCTGTCCTCATTCCGAGTTCTTTGAGGTCATCCAGGGAACTGTCGCCGATATTGCCAGTGGTTCGGGATCAATTACAACACGACGAAAATCCTGTTGTCAATGAGGCACAGGATGATCATCATGATGTCCCGCGAGCGACCTCCCCCACCCCAAGTAAGATCTCCTCATCGACGACCAACGGGATAACAAGTGGCGCGGCAGTTGTACCAGGCAACTTCGATCCGAAACCGCAAGAGCAGTTAGGTCGGAAGTCGAGCGGCTTTTTTGGAGATGATGGTAAACAACATGCCAGCCCGACGAGGAGAGCTGCACCCTTCAGCACTGCAGCAGCTGCGACAACGACGTCGAGGCCGATTGGGGCTTGGTCCTCGGAGCGCAGCGTGCACTTTAACGAGCTTCAGCCCAAAGGCCAGCACCAGGACGACCCTCCTGCGTCCTCGCTGCTTGCACCGCCACCGCCCCTGCTAGTCGGGAGAAGTGGCAGCAGCAGCAGCACTGGTGTGAGCAGCACCCGAACTGGGCAGCAACTGCAGCCTCCGCACGCTCCGCCCCCAACAGCGCGGGCGCTAACGCCGGAGCCAAGTAGAACCTTTTCGACTTCTGCTGGGACGAGCCAAAAATTAGGTTTGTTTCGGAGGTCAATTCCCAGTGCTACGGTTGGATATACCACCACCGGCTTAATTTCAGCAGAAAATAACCAAACCAATCCCGCTGGTAGCAAGCTCATCGAGGGTCTGGGCTTGTCCGACGAAATTCGGGAGGCATTGTCGAAGTCGCTGGATATCTACGACCGACATGGGACGAAGAAGAGAAGGATCACTACTGGTAAAAGCCAGGCTTTGAATGCAGACGAAAGAACGTCAACTTCCAAGTCCTCCAGGACGAACCATTCCTTTGCTCCCCCCGACCTGGTCGAAAGTTCATTCACAACCTCTCGTAGAGAGGGGCGCGATGAAACGGCAATAGGCGTCGAATTATACGACCCTCGGACGTCCTCATCCCAACAAGGGTTGTTGTCCACCTCTGCTGGTGCAGCACAGGAGCTACCTCCTCACGCCTCCCCCGAGCGTCCGTCCCGGAGCAAGGTCCGCGAACCGCCGAAAACGGGAGCGCTCCTGCTGCATGACCACCATCAAAGGGTGAAAATGATGTCCGCCGGCAGCCTGCAGTCCAGTCCCCGAGAAAGACTAGGAAAGCGAGATATTAAAGGGGAGGATCCCGATGATGAAAAGCGGTCCCCCGGGGAGATTTCCCTCGCGGACAGTTGCTACATTGTTTCGAAGTACGAATCGCCCGGCGCTTTGTCGCTTCTGTCCGAGGATGAGCGGGTGTTTTTGGAAGCGAAACAGAGGGACCAGTTGCTACCCGCGACCAGGCTGATCGACACGGTCGATTGGGGCAATTTCGACAGCAACGACGTGATCGCGCGCGCCTTTCGGTTCCGGCAGCTGCAGCGGATCCACTTCGTCAAGTGGCAAAGGTGGCTCTGGGATTGCTGGAAGAAAGAAGGGGTAAGTACTTACTACTACGAAGGAATTTTGATAGATGGCTGCGCATGCACACACTGTCTTCGATATGTTTGTTTCCGCATGACAAATAGTGAAAAAAGTACACTACAACGACCTTATATACAATTCTGAGGTCGCCGAAGCGTTCTACGCGAAGCGGATCGGCCCGCGGCGGTTGCCCCGGTACTTTCGGCACTATCTTGAGGGGATCCAAAACGAAAAAAGGCACCGGGACGAGGTGGACGACTTTTACACGACGATCTGCCTGAAACTGTTGCAAAAGTACTTCCACAAGCTGCGGCGCTTCATGCAATTTTCCCAGCGGATCTCCGCGTTCATATCAAGTGCAAAAATGTCTGGGTCGGAAAAAGTGGAACTTGTCATGCTAAATCTGAATCGTGTAAGAATCTGTGTTGCATGATTACCAAAAGCTGTCCATTTTTGACCTTAGTTATCGAGAGGCAGTTTTTCATGCAGGATAGGCATGATAGAACTCTCAGAGAATCTGTCATGCTATGTCCTACATACCAGACCTCATGGGTCATGGAAAACCTGCATGACACGTCCGGCATTCTTCCAGACCCAGACACTTTTGCATTTGATAGTTCACCGAAACGAACCAGCTGCGGGTGCAGCGGCTCTGCGTGCACCGGTGGAAGCGGTTTCGCGAGGAGGAGCGGGTGCGCAAGTCCTACCGGGTTTTGGCCTGCTTCTACGAGTGGCGAAACGTGTTCCTGGACAAAAAATTGGAACATTTACGTGCGGAAACCTCCCGGCTGGACAAGCAGGTGGCGGAGAAGGTCGCCGTCACCGCGAAGGGGATGCGCGAATCCGAGATTGCGGAACTGTTTCTGCCCGACTGCCAAATCTCCGAGCTGGAGCGGCAAGCCGTGTCGGTCATCCAGAAACTCCTGACGGCCCCGGCCGCGGTGGTGCGGCTGCTGCAGGGCCACAGCAGTTGCCAGCTCGCGGTCTTCGGGTCGTCGGCGGCTACTTCTACTGCGTTGGGCGGTCGTTCATCTGTGAGGATGTTGAACAGTGGAACAGGAAAAATTGTTCCGTCATTTCGCGGCGCCAGGTCGCAGTCTCCCAGCACCACGACTTTGGGCGTGCTTCGCAGAACGCGGAGTGCCCGGGAAATGGGTGCCAGTGCAGCCGGACAGAACAACTATGCGTCCTCTTTTGCCCCGGTCAGTCGAAGCAGCAGGATATTGCCCGGAGGAGGTGAGCCGAATATTAACGCAGGCTCGCTACTTTCTCCCGCCACCATAACCGAAGGCGTCCCGTTCTCGCCGCAACACGGCTCCGAGCACAGACTCTTGGCACCTATCGCTCGGCCCGGCGGTGGTACAACTGCAGCTTCACGTCCGCCACAAACCAGTCCGAGAGATGAATTGGTCGCAGACGAGACGGCGAAAATGTCCTCGCGGAAGGTCGATTTGGTACAACCAAGAAGTCCAAGATCCGCTCGAGGGAGCTACAGAAACAACAACAAAAATGCACGCAGCACGAAACTTCTGCAGCGGGGTCTATTGGGAAATACTGCGCCAGCATCCGCTTTCGCCGCCGCGGCCAAGAGTGGCGGGAAGATGCTTCTGCTTGGAAATGTGTCCGGGAAAAGGATTTTGAACTCCGCGCGAGGTGCTGCAACGTCAGGAGGTCCTCTAGTAGCTAAATCGAAAATCGTTACCTCCGCGGTGGCGAAGGCAAAAACCAGAATACGAAATTATCGGACCGGGGGCACAGGGGTTTCTGCCGGTGGTGCAGCTGCATTTGGCCAACAAGTTCCAAATAACGCAAGCGCGGGGAAGACAAACACAAACGCCGCTGCACAACAAGGTACTGCCCAGCACCGCCCCCGTGCCATCTCCTCCGAGTCGTATTCGCTCTTGCAGGAGCGTCCCCGGAGCAACAGTTCGCTGATCGTGACCAGCCCATCCCGGTCGGTGTCCAGGTACCAGTACGACGTAGTCGAAAGTGAGGTGCCAAGACACCAAAGGTCCACGGCCAGCACGCGGGTGCGAAATTACAGTAACGACGGATCGATTTCTCCGATGCGATCAGCAAGAAGTAGGAGCGGGACGCCGAGGTCGGCAGCGGGAGGAGGTGCGAGTAATTCGCCTGGAAGGTCATCGAGGAGAAAAAAGCGGAGCAGGAGCTTTTCTAACACGGCGAAAAACGGCGCTCTTGCTGTTGTGCCGGATCATGATGTACTTGATTATTCAGCTGCTGCTGCGCACCAGTTCTGCTCTCCCACTACCACTTCCCTCGCCGGCTATCTGTCCCCCCGCCTGCACTTCGAGGTGCTTGATGGCCGCTCGCAATCCACAGTGCCAACACCCTTGACCACTACGGAACCGCCACCAGCGCGCGCGCGGTCCTCTACCGCGTTGTACGCTGCGGAGCATTTGAGGAGCAATTCAAGGTCACGTGTCACGGTCGCGGAAGCAGGATCAAAAAACGATCGGAAACGGTCCTACAGTGACTACGGAACAAGTGTCGGAGCAGCCGCCGCGTATCAACATCGAGAGGACCAGGCGCCCAGCTTTGCAGATGATGATCTTCAACATTACAAATGCAATGCGGACTTTGGTTCCAACGAGGCCGAGATATTGGGCTTTGAGCTTGAAGAGCAGCCGAAGGATCTCTCGTCCCATCTGTACGAGCAGAAATACCTCCACATTGCCCCGGGACTGAAGTCCGCTTCCTTTTTTCAGGACCACCCGTTGCTATCGTCCACTTTGCACAAATGCAAATCTACAACGAGAACGACAAGTTCAGCAACTTCTGTACTAGCGCCGCCACAAAATAACTCGGTTTTCGTTCCGGACGGCGGCATGGTGCTCCCCCTGATCGAAACCGCGGCGGCCGAAACCTGGAACGAGAGATGCAACCTGGCGTTTGCGTTCCACAAAACGGCCAAACTCCGCACGTCGTTCCAGCGGCGGGTGCTGGCCGGGAGTCGGCGGGCGCACGTGTGTTTGAAAACCGCCTTCACGGCCTGGAAACAGATGGGGTTGGTTTTGCAGCGAATTCGGCTCGTTTCTTCCCAGATCGAGCTGCAGTTTCGGAAACGGTTCTTTTTCCGGATTTTCAGCCGCATCCGGATCCCCTTCTGCGTCAACCAGCGGCGAAAAGAGCAACTTTTGCGAGAAAGAGGAACCACTTGTGGTCAAAGACTTGCGCTGCGAACGTTTCGGAAGTTCACTGTGCTCGCGAAGAAAACGAAGTTGATTGAGGAGAAAGTCCAGTTGTTCAGCCGGAAACTCTTCCTCTCCCGCTGGTTCGACCGTTCGGTGGAACAGAAGCGCTTGAAGGTCCTCGCGTTGCACTGCGCAACGGAGATCCGCTACCGACACCTGCAGCAGCGCACGTTCCTGCTCTGGCGCGGCTACTGGGCGTTTTGGCGCACCGGGGTCGGGATCGCGTTGGCGAAAGCCAGCGTGCTGCGGAAGAAGCGGTTCTTGCTCAAGTGGGCAGAGAACATTCTAGAGTTGAAGCAGCGGAGGCAGAAGGTGCTGCTGTTGGGGAAAAACCAGGATACCATCGCGAAAAAGAAGGCGCTGAAGGGGTTCCAGCTGTCCACCTTCGGTGTTTTCGCCGTGAAACCGATGAAATTCGAAGAGCAAATGTGGGCGTGCTACTGCTGGATGAGACGATACTGCCACTTGTACCCGCACCACTGCGTGCCACACCAAATCGCGTTCAAAAACCTGTACTTCGACGCGGTCGTCGTGCAGGAGAAGAAGGACAGCTTCTCGACGTCGTCGGAGAACTTGTCAGTTGTTGTACCACTATCGTCCGGAGTTGTCGGTCAACATGATGAAAACCACTCCAGGTCGTTGTTCTCAGCTCCTGCACTACACAACAAGAACAAAAGAGGACTCGTGATGGACCACGACGACCGCGCGAAGATCCACCTCGTCATGTCAACCGACTCCTGGAACAGCGACGACTCGGTCCGGATCGGGGGGCCGAAAAACTACGGCGTCTCACCCATTGCAAGTTTAGTAAGTGGAGGTGGAGGACCTGGACCGAAATCCTCCCTACAAGGGGCGACGGTGACGAATCCGAACAGAGGAGCAAGAAGCAACAGTTTCGGACAAATCAGTGGCAGTCGCACTGCAGGAGCAGCTTTCTCTGGACCTCCACCTCGGGGTGCTGGACCTGCTCCGTCATCTTTGGCCTCCGGAGGACCACGAGGAGTGCGCCAAGAACTACATGAGCTGCAACATTTCTCTACCTATCGAGGACTTGAGCAGGAACAGAGCCTTCTGCCTCACGCCACCAATTCCGCGAAGTTCGAGACGGCCAGGGTGGTGAAACCTCTGATCAATCTGTTTACGGCGCCCTTCGCCCTCCACCCCCACCGGTTCCGGAAGAGTTTTGGGATGATTTTGAGCCTCTTGCGCTGTACGCTGCTGCGCAAAATGCTGAAGGCGTGGCGGCGGAGGGTGCAGCAGGAGCGGGTTTTTCGCTTGAAAATGAGGTTCAATTGCATCTGGGATGCCTTCGTCGCATACCGGGACCTCTGTCGGAAGAGAAGGAGGATACACAAGGTATGAAATCTGCGAGTATAATGTTTGAGTTTGTCGGTTCTTCGTAAAATACCTTTGGGTCTTTTCGCGCATGTGCAAGGCGTGGTTTCACGACCTCGTTGTTGCGTTCTATTCAATCAGAAGCACTTTAGTCCATGCAAAAAAAATTATCTATAATCTCCCAGGTCTTCATCGGGCTGTCCGCCCGAACCAATTTCCGTCGGATGGCCCACGGGTTCGAAAAGTGGGAGAATAAGTACGCGGGCCACAACTTGTTTCGACGGAACTTTGGCACCTTCCGGCACCGCAAAATGCAGACGGAGCTGCGCAGGTTTTTTCACGTGTGGCGGCGGCTGATCCGGTTAGAGCAAAGTGTGCGCCGCGGGCTGATGGACTTTCTGAACGAGAAGAAGCGGAGGTTGCTGGCGATCTGCTTCAACACGCTAAAACAGGACAAACAGCAGACCCAGCGCATGCTGATTCTCCACGACGTGAGTGATTTGCACTGGTACAAGAAGCACGGGACCCGGGCGCTCGCGGCGTGGCGCCAGTACCACTTGCGGAGCCAGATTGTGAGCTGTTTCATCCGTTTGCGTGGGCGGAAGCAGCTGTTGCACTGCTTGCTCTACTGGAAAATCGAGGTGGAGACCGCAATTCAAAACCAGTTGAAAATCGAGCGAAAAATCGCGGAGAAGGAACGGCAAATCGTTTTCGATTTCTTCCGCCAGTTTCGGTTCGTGACGAAGCGGGTGCGGAGGATAAGAAACAAAAGACTGCAACGGGAGGAGCAGGAGCGATTGCAGTTAAAAAAGAAGAGTCTCCGGGGCTTCCGCTGGCACGCGCACCGGGAGAACTACTTGAACCGCAAGGAAGAAAACGAGATCGAAAAGTGGCGGAGCTTTCGTTTGAAAACCGCCTTCAAAGCGCTCGCGCAGTTTACCGGATTGTGCAAGGCGATGCAGTTTTTCGCGAAAACGGTAGAGAAATCCCTCCTGCGCCGGCATTTCGCGGAGGTGCTGCACTGGAACCGGGAGAAGCTACTCGCGGACGTGCGCATTTTCTCCACTTTGCTACAGAGCAAACTGCGGAAGATGGTGCTCGCCTGGAAACACCTGTCCGGGCTTTCGCGAAAGGTGAAACTGTTCGGCCCGCGGCTGTTCCACTACCGACTGCGTTCCTGCTTCGCACACTTCGCCTTCAACACGTGGGTGCGCATCGCCGTGCGGAGTAAGCGGCAGGTGGTGCACCGGAAACTGCTGGCGAAAGTCTTGTTCCGGTGGCGTTTTGGCATGGAGCGGGAGCGTTTCTTCACGAAGGCCGGAGCCGCCGTGTCGCGGTCGATGCACCGGCGGCTGGCGTGCCAGGTGCTGCGGAGCTGGGGGAAAGCGGCGAAGGAGAGCAAGAGACACCGTTTGATCGTCTACGCCGCAAGCGTTCGCCAGAACGCCATCCTCCTCACCGACGCCTTCTCCCTCTGGCGAGAAGCAACGACGCAGCAGAAGCGGCTGGAACGCCTGAAACTGCGGCGGCAGACGACCCAGGTGAGCCAGATGCTCCATCTGTGGTACAAGTTCACGATGGTGCAGAAATGTATCGCCGTGTCCGCCACGATTTTGCGGCAGATAAAAGCGAAGAACTTCCTCCAACAGCACCTCGCCGCGTGGTCCTTTGTTTTCACGAAGCGGGTGTTGTTCCGGGAAAACCTGCAGAGCCTGCAGCTGCGGAAGCGTCAGGGGTTGGTGTCGAAGGCCTTCTACACATGGACGAAAGAAAAACGGCGGAAGGAGCGCCAGAAGACCGGGGTGTTGGATCTGCAGCGGAAGATGCTTAAGAAGACGCTGAAATTCGGCTTTCAGCATTTCGTGAAGTTCACAAAGTTGAAGCTTCGCGAAAAGACCGCGGCCTTGAAACTCGGGATGGGGATCCAGAAGGTCCTCACGCGCAACAAGTTTCGGCACCTCCGCTACCAGTGCTACTTGCAGACCAAGGCGGAGCAGAAGCGGAAGAACTGCGTGGAGTTCGTGCAGCGGCGGATTTTGAGGCCGGCGTTTGTGCTGTGGAAAACGCACTTCAACGAAGTTCTGCTGACGGAGAAACAAACGCAACTGGCGGACAAGTTCCGGAAAACAAAGTGGTTCCGCTCCTGCCACTTTGCGTGGTGCGAGTATGTCGTCCGGAAAAGGAGATGGCGGGAGAAGACCGAGCGCGCGGCGGAGTATTTGGTCACCGTCGCGAAGGCGAACTACGTTTTGAAGTGGCGGAACTGGCAGAACAGCCGGAAAAGGGACGTGCAACTGGAGAAGTTGTCCTTCCTCTTCGACAAGACGCGAAGATTGAAGGCGACGTTTCAAAAGTGGCACGGGCTGAAGAACGGGCCGCGGGTGCTGGCGAAAATGTACGAAAACAAGATCTTGGACCGGTACGACAACGTCCTGCAGCTCTTCGACTACTGGAAGCTCATCCAGTATTTATTCGCAAAACACGAACACGTGCAACAAGAAGAAGTGCAAACACATGATGCTGGGGCAGAAGAGAACGACAAGGGAGATGAGCTACGAGCAGGAGAACAACCACTACACGCCTCGAGAAGTAGGATCATCGGCGGTGCAGGCGCAAGCACTACTTCATCTACCTGCGTGTTTTTGGAAGATTACTACTTGGTCGGCAAGAAAAGAAGGGAAAAGATGATGACAAACAAACCCAGCAGCAAGCAGGACAGCTCCAACACAACACACAGAAATAACAACTCCTCGCGGGGGGTCGTTGAACATGCAACTAACACAAATGAAGAGTCGATGCTCTCTCTGATTGCCAGGGTCAGGACTCTGTCGCAGGAAAACCTCTCCGAACCGGCGGCCGGTGGTGGCCGAAGTGGGTTCGAGCAGTCGGGTCTTCATACAGGAGGAGGTGCAGCGCAAGTAACTCGTGAAGTTTCGCCAACCTCGTTGCTTGTCACGGGCCGATATTCTCCGCCACCGTTGTTGTTCTCCTCGACGCAGCACAATCGGCTCGTCGCCCCGCAAGACAATTCATCTCTGCTTATACATGTTGATGACTTTTCAGGAGAACAAAATCAAAATCAAAAGGAAAACCAAAACGCATTACACGCAAGCTGTGCAACTTCTTCTTCGACGAGGCAGCGTGAAAGAACCCGTTCGCCGTCCCGGAGGCCGAGGAAGCTTCTGTGGAAACCGACGAAGAGGCTGGAACGGGCAGTGATTCTCTTTCGCGTGTTCTACACGATGCGAAAGCTCCAACACATGCTCCACGCGTGGACGAGGCGCGTGAAGGTAGAAAGGAATTTCCAGCGGCTCGCAGCGCAGAAAAATTCCTTCCGGGCCAAGTCCACCGCGGTGCTTGCGTGGAAGACGGCAGTTGTGCGAATGATGAAAGCGCAACTCGAAGTGCGAACGAGGAGACGAGAGAGGGTTTTGAGACACATAACGCGAACCTGGAAGACAAAATGGTTCAACGCCCTGGATTTAGAGAAGAAAAAGCAAACCTTGGTAACCCGGACCGAAAAAAGCATGTTGTCGCTTTCCCTGCTTTCCTGGCGGAATCTCACGGTGAAAGAAGCGCTGTTGCGGGAGAACTTTTTGCACTACTGTGAGAAGGTGCGGCCGCGAATCCACTTGGAACTCTACAACCGTAGATGTTTCGTCGCGTGGGAAAAAGTCACCTTCTTGTCTCGGCAGCTCAGGACCGGGAGGGCGAACCACGCCGACAGGAAAACGCGGCTTTTCTTCCAGAAATGGGAATTTCTCCTCCACTCGAAAAAGCGGGGAACGCTTTTGACAGACGTCGCCCGGGTGGAAATCAAGCAAAAGCAACTGTTCGAGCGGTGGCGACTGGCGTTTCGATTGCGGCTGGTCGAAAACAGGGTGCCGGTGAGCAGGAGGGTCGTGCCGTTTTCATCTGACAGCCGGAATGGAACTGCATCGAGTTCTTTTTCTACCGTAGTACAAGGTTTTGTGAAACAAGACTCAGAAGAAAAAGAACAGGAAATAGGACGTGTTGAACAACAGTTGTCCCCCGAAGATGCAAGAGCAGCAGCTGTTGAGTCCTCATTTTTCCCAGCATCGTCGGACGCAGCGACAACACGAGGTGAACTCGCAGATGAGACTGCTGCACAGCATCACCGCGTCGTGGCAAGCAAAGGTAAAAAATCTAGGATATTGCAACAACCACAGCATCCCGCAACAGCTTCTGCCCAGCAGGACCTCCCCCCGCGCCACCTCGGCGGCCTGTCGTTGCAGCGGACCTGCCTGCAGCGGTGGCACTCTTACATTCTGCTGAAGCAAAGCGAGCACAAGCTGGTGGAGGAATACAGTGCGAACCGGTTCGAAGTTACCCGACGGCGGCACTTTGCCCACTGGTTATCCACGTTACACCTGGTCCGGAAACATCGAAGAATACTGCAGATGTGTAAAACCGGGAAGATGGTGATGCACGAAATGGACTTCTGCACGTCGTCGTCGTCGTCGTCGAATACTCATCAACGAAATCATCCCGCAACATCAAGCTCTTTCGGAACCGTTTTGAAGAAGAAGTTTTTCGCGCTCTGGTTTGCGGAGCTGTCCTTCAAGCAGCTGTGCACGGAGTGCGAGAAGAAGATCCAGACGGTGCAAAAACTGCAAACGCTGAAGAAGTGGCGGTCTTTCTCCAAGACGAAGAAACGGAGGAGTTCAGCCGCAAAACACCTCGTCGACCGGTACCGGACCCGTGTGACGGGGAAGCATTTAAGAGCGATGAGGCGGCTCTATTCCGCGACACACAAGCGAAAACGCTATTTACTGCAGAAAGTCTGGAAGATTCTGCACACCAACGCGAAAAACCGCATGGCGACGCTGTTCTTTCTGCGAGCGAAGCTGAAAACGTGGAAGTCCCACGTTCAGTACGTAAAAAAAATTCTCTCCGGTGCGGGAGTTATCGCTTTGCGGCGGATCCAGCGCGCGAAAAAGGCCGCGTTTGCCGGCTTCCTCGAGGACTTTGACGAGCGGAGGAGACAGAACCAGAGGGCGCGGGTCTTCCGGTTAAGCGGGACGCGAACCCCGTCCAGGTGTTTTCTCCTGTGGCGCCGCCACTGTTTTGGCCTGCGGTTCGCCAAACTGCTCGGCGAAAAAATGGACTCGCAGCTGCAGGCAACCTATGAAAGAGCGTTCACCTTCGGGCTGCTCAAAGACTTCCGCGAGCTGCAGGCCAAAGCGGACCAGATGCTGGCCGGAGGGGGGGCGGGAGAAGCAAACCAAGCGGAGCAACAGGCGCAAACAGGGAACTTCTACAGGGATGTGCGGACGGGAATTTTGGATATTCGCGGTGGAGGAGGACCAACTACAGCGCGACAGACTGCCACGACGGGTGCCCACGAAAGTCGGATCCATCAGCAAGTACATCTGACTGCGACTAGTTCCAGCTCTAGTTGTACTTCCGCTCCAGTTGTAAATTTGGTTTCTGGCGGAGGTACGACGACATCAAAACCCCGGAATATTGGTGACCCTTCTCTTGTTTCCGCACAACACCCGGACTGGTCTAAGGACACTACGGCGGGCCCTGCGGACTCGAAATTCGTGACCGATGAGGAATTGAGCTCCGTTACCGGAGCAGAAGACGAAGCGCTGCACGACGTTGGTCCCAACGCTGCGCCACACGACCACCTGCACATCGGTTCCTCTACCGCGAGAATAGCAACTGGATTTACTTCACAGCACAACAGCAGGGGCCCTGCAACTTCTGCGAAGACATCAAAGGCTGGTCCCACAGTCGTGCAACTTTTGGACAGCAATCTGGTGAATTTCCGGCCCCGCATCCTGACCGAATACGTGCACCGGTGGGTCGAGGTCGCGCAGTACAAGCAAAATTTGAAGAAAAGCCAGCAGCTTTTCCGGCAGAAACAGCTCGAAACGCACTTCCGCGCTTGGCGGTCCAGCTGCCTAGACGAGCAGAACAACCGGGTCGCGCGGAGATTCTTTTTGAAGAAGTCCCTGCGGGAGTTCAGGGAAGCCACCGAAGAAATTCTGGACGCGAAAGTGCAGTTGAACCTAAAGCTGGCGGCCCGCACCCTCCGCGCCTGGAAAATACACACGGTTGAGAACGCGAAGCAGCGCGCCCTCTTCTTTCGGGCGGACCGGTTTTTCCGCAGGCGGGTGTTCCAGAAATTTTTCCGGGACTGCTGGCTGCACCGCTACCACGCACCCCAGATGAAGCTGCTGAAGCGGCAAGTCCCCGCCTGGATGAAGGACACGGTGGCGAAGAGGGTACAAGCCGAGGTTTTCAGCCATTGGCGGGACGAAGCGAGCACGTACGGGCCGATTCTGCGCCAGTTCTGCCTGTCCAACACCTTTCGGAGGTGGCGGACTTGGGGGCGGAAGAGCAAAGCAAGACGGGAAGCGTATGTAACGAAAAGCAGAACGCAGCGCTTGCAATCATGCTTCGCGGCCTGGTTTCTGCAGAGCCCGCTGGCGACGAGGCTGCGGAACGTGGTTGCGGCCTGGAAGATGCTAACGCACGAGCAGGGGTTGCTGCGACTCACGCGCGGTGACACAACCAAGTTGCGCACGCTGTACGACGAATCGCCGCGCAAGGTGCGGCGAGCGGCCGGAAGGACAAGGACCGACGCGGGCGGCTGGGGAGGTGCGGCCTCCTCTAGTAGTACTACCGAAGGCGTTAGTAGCGGTCGCGCAGCGGGTGCTCGGGGAGTACAAGTTGGTGAAAGCAGGATCCTGTCGTCCGGCATTACAGCTAGAGCAGGAGCCAGTGGCTCTACTTCCCAGATGAGAGCGAGAAGCGGACGAGCAGTAGATCGAGAGCGGCCGCTTGACCGGTCGGTGCAGAATTTGTTTTCATCTTCTCGCGAAGATTTTTCGATTACCTCGTCTCTCGACAGCTTGTCGCAGAGTCTGCTACGCGACTCCGCGGACCACCTGTTCTCGCCAAAAGCACTGCGGAAGTCGCGGATTCTGGCCGAGGAACGGCGGGAAGCGCTCGCGCAATCGGTTTCGCTCTCGTCGGATAGTGGAATTCTTCTTGCGGGGGTGGATCATCAGCAGGAACCTAGCAGTATGGGGAGCCAAACAGGCTCGCGGCTTGGAAAAGCCACAGCAGTTCCTCCAACTTCTCTGGGAGCCGGGCCAACCACCGGAAGCTGGATCCACGGTGGCCCCACGTCCTCCGTGGTCCGCGAGGCCTCCGCGCCGGTGCGTCTCGGGCAGGGACTGCAACTGCCGAAATTCCCGGGGTTTCCGCTGCAGAAGATCTGTGCGCCCACGCTGGGGCCACTGCCCGCAAACCCCTTTGGCGGCGGGGGAGGAGGGGGCGGTTTTCACTCATGATGAAGTGCCGGGGTAGGACTGAGACTGTGAGCGGTTTTTTCGAAACGGAGAGGCTGGTTGTGATGGGAACAAAGAGAATATTTTGTATACCGAACAACTGTTACTGTTACAGAATTGATAAATGATTGACCATTGACATTGCTTTTGCTATCATACCCTTTTGGTGGAAAATAAAGGCCACTTGATTCTTGTTTTCAGATTTGATTGATGAACGACATTACCAGTTTGGTTTGGTGTTTCCTTCCGTTTGCTTTGCCTTATTTCAGAACACTTCGTGGTATGACCTTCCTGGGCCACGCCCACGAGAATACTTTAGGTTTTTGTGTAATGTTACTCAAGTTAGCTTGGATTTCAAATTCAACATCAATTTCTGTAGTTACTAGAAGTGGAAGAGGCAATCCTTTGTTTTTCCTCTGCGATTAAGTAGTTGTGACGAATGGCTGTATTTCGCTAAATGAGCACAGTGTTGAATCAGTATCAGATGCAGAACTGTGTTTCGCGGTCTGAAGTTCGTGCAGAAGCCCCGCGCTCGAGTAATGGGTAAACGCTGGTCCTGGTCACAGCTGTCCAATGGAGTTGCGGCTCAGCGACTTTTCCTCATTTACATTTTTTTTTGTGTTTCGTATGTTTGTCCCATACTAAGTTGAACGCCACTTCGCAATCCTCGTCGTAGTCGTACCAGAAGCTTTTTTCTCCCTTCTTCGTGTCCCTCTGAATTATGATGAAAAGTTGGACAAGTACTAGGACAAATCGTCTTCGTGCACATGGTGCTCCTGAAGGAAACTCGTGCACGTGTGAAAGCTCACCTCCCTTTCTCGTTGGCGCTAAAACAAGAAACTTCGTTCGTCAACAAAACGTCTCGCTGTCGTTCAATTGAATTCTTGAATTGGAGTCCTGACGGCGCATAAGGAAAAGATTTTGACTACTTATTTTCAGGTCCCAGATTTTAATTTTTTTGCTCAGCACCAGGAGCAACAACTTCGCCAAACAAGTAAGTACAAGCTGTACTAACCTATTTTCGTCCAGTCGCTCGACTCATCTTGCCCTTCAGGTTGAGTTTGCACTAGTGCAAAAACTAGAATTTCTTTTCGTTCTATCGAATTCAATTCTTTGTCTTTCGGCAAAGGGGTAAAACTACACCAAATCCAAATCTCGTGAAATCCAAAATGAAGTAAGGCTTCCAGGTGCTTGCGATCGCCGGCCAAGCCGGCGCGGTGACACGCCCCCGCGGCAGCGGCAATGAGTACACTCACTCGTGTATGATGAGAAACATTCCACCCTCCAGCATATATCCGAAGATAAGTTTGTCGTGTCTGACGGTGTCGCGTCAAGTGTCTGTATGCCCAAGGTCAGGCTCTCGCGTTGAAAGATATACATGCTTTCTATAGAATTACAAATACAAATATTTTGACTGAACTTCTAAAGAGCAGTAGCTGTAGCATGATCGGTCCCCGTCGATCGTCCCAGCATGTGCGTAAATGAAATACAGCAAAAGAAATCATAATCATTCTTTTTGAAGCTTGTTTAAGTCGCTGGGCGGAATGTTTCACCTTGATAACCCGGGAAGGAAGTGAGGAAGGCGGGGCGTTCGTGGAGACCCGGGTGAAGTCGACGATGGTTAACAAAAAACAACGCACGAAAAAAGAACAGTGCTCGTGGGAGAAGTCGCAGTTGGGTAAGTCGCTTACCTACGAGTATTTGAGCGGCCCGCCTTGCGAATGCGATGGGCCCCTCGTCAAGGTCACGATCGTAACTGGCAGTACTGCGGTGCTGTATTGCTACGGTGAATGCCTTGCGATTGGCGAGGACCAGTGCCTTTCGTTTACGAAGAACCGGAGAGACCACAACAATTGGTCCGGCGTGCAGGAGCAGCTGAAACAAGATCAAGACGGTGAAACTGAAATCTTGTCGTGGTGCGAGTGGGACAAGGGCACACGCACATGCAAAAAAGAGGAGGAGCCGCTGAAAGACGCGTCGACGTGGTGCGCGTGGAATGATGATGAGAAAAAGTGCCACGAAGGCCCGGGCTGGTGATGATATCTGCACTGTTGCACCAGCTGCTGTTTTGTCACCGAAAAATGTATATAAATATTCAGTACTTGCCACATCATACATTCGAATGGAACGATAGTCGTCTTCGTGTCACATTCACATCGAAATTATCCATGTCAGAAAAACATACGCATTCTGCACAAGGGCACAAAGTAGATTCTTCAGAAAACCTCACCCACAGTCGAATTCATTATAAGTAGGTAGGAGCACCCAGCATCCAAGCACATGCCATACGTACAAGTTGTTCTTTTACCTCTAGCATGATAACCAAAAAATTATCTGTGCGTCGCAGACCAAGAAAAACATCCGTGCCTCCAGTAGTTAAACTCATAATAGTAAAAAATGAAAAACGCAAAAAAATAAAAAGCATGCACGAAAAACACGAAAAGCTACAAGTAACGCTATAGCATATATCTACCCGAGAGATCTAGGTGGCTACTACTCTGTTGACGCTGCCCAATCACGCACGTAAGCTTCGGGCGCATATCCTGCACCCTAGGGAAAAGATAGAAGAGCACAAGTACTGTTCTATTGCGATTACCCCCGGCGACACAGCAGAAAAATAGCAAATCCATCGTAGTCGACGCACGGTACATGAATTCTAGCAGACGATGGAGTGGATTGCTGCACCGAGCAAAGCTACTTTTTCTCGCATATTACTTCTTCCCCAGACCGTGTCAAAGCCAAGCGCCTACCCTCCCTCCTCATCTATCTTTCGTTTCGGAAAAAATGTTGTCCATTCACTTTCGACCCCCTTCGACAAAAAGTATCAAATTTTAGCAATTGCGAGTAGTATGCTTGACGCATCCCAGCTTCTGATTTACTCTGATACATAGTCTCGACTCGGAGTGCTGCACGCAGCTGGTGCGAGCGCTGTAGGCTTGAAGAACTACGCTGAAAATATGAAAAGACCACTACAACTAGATGTAGAACAGCTCAGGTTCTTGCACTGGCAAGATTCCACCTGGACGCGATTTTTCTGAACTTTTTGTCGATCGAATTGGAGTCAACATCAAAACAACTTCCTTGAATGGAAGAAAGTCCGGCTGCCGTCGTGTTTGCGGTGGTTGTAACCAATGCGGCATATCATGACAAGAAGCGTCGAGTTTATACCTTGTTCATGTTGTCGTGAATTTCCATAGCCGTTAGGGGCTGCGTGCAGGTTGATGTTGCTTAGTGGTGTGCCTGCAGTTCTTGTGTGACAAGAACCACACTGTTGACTTCTTTTTGTTTCTTTTTTTCTTTCATCTGTATTTGTTCCTAGGATAATATGTTCCTTTTGTTTTTCGACGACAATGCCTTATTTTGGAAAAAGCTACAAAATAATTGATCAAGTGTGAGGACGTTCTCACCGATCGACCGATCGACCACATGAAAGCAAACGAAGACGATCTTGGAAAGAGGGTCGACAACCTACGTGGTATGTAAGTCAGTAACTCCTTTCGTGCTGTCCCTGAAAAACACGTCGGCTGTGGCACTTGAAACAGCGCGAACACGAAAGGACTTCGAGTAAGACGGACATCAGCTGGTCTCCTCGCTGGCTGGTTTCACGTTGCTCGGCAATGCTCTAGCTTATGCTATGACTATAACTTTACACTTTGACTTGTTTCATTCATGTGCAAACGCTGTGATAGATGATTTGAATTTCTGTAACAACGTTGAAGTTCTAATGCCGTTGCTTACTTGACATATTCTTAATCTTTTTCAGCACGAGTTTCCTACATCCAAAAGCATCGCTTCGTCCCGGGTCTATTTTCTTACGTAGATTCTTCTCAATTTACCGCCAAGAAAACAGCAACAGCTTTTATTCCAGATAGCACGAGGACAAATAAAAATGCAGCGCAAATCCTCTGCCTCACCGGGCAAGCGGAAGTCGACTTCCCCCAAAAAAAGCCGTGGCACCTCGCGGTCTCCAAAAGCACGCGCCACGTCTCCGAAGAAGAAAACCTCGTCCGCAGCTTCAGTCGACAACTCTCGCGCGGTGGTCGCGGTGGTCGACGACAAGGAGAAAGGGGATGTTTTGGACCGGGTGATTGACAAAATTTCCATCCTGGGCACCCTGGCGGTCTTGGTCGCCGTATGTGCGGTGGGCGCGGGAATCTACGGGGTTGCGGACGACCTCTCCCTGCACATCTGCTCGCTGGTGCTCGGGATGGGTAGGGGGGGCGTGCCGGGCTGCGCGACGGTGGCCGGGTCGTTCTTCGTGCTGCTAGCCCCGCCCGGCAGAGTGAATCAGGTGGGATAAAGTAGTTTACCGGTGGGCTAAGAAGTTTTGCAAGTAGAGTTTTTTTAGACGCAAAGATTAATAAAAGTATCTGCAACGGTCGTGGCCCCACTGGAGAGGCACCTTCACCTGTATTGCTTAGATGCAAAATCATCTTCTCCGACGAATACTATGAAATTCGAGTTGTATTCAACCTCACCACCTCCTACTACAGATGCTTTCCCTGATGACGGTGGCGGAGTCGATGCCGAATCAGCTCGTGGGGCTGGCCTACTTCCTATCAAAAGGAAAAATCCCCCCTTCCCATATCAAAACGAAGTTTCTGATGCTGGATTTGCGTACTCAAATCAGATCTGTCTTGCTGGCGAGGACTGCAGGCTCCTGCCCAGCCTGAGTAGAGAGCTTTTGGCCTAGGCGCTTAGCATGAGAAACATCTATGCTGTAGGCCCAACAGCATGACAAACCGCCTACATAGTGCGGCAAAGCCTGCGGAGTTGTCTTCTTGCAAGACAGACTTGATTTGGGGTCTCAAATCAGCAAGACAAATTTTCGGAAACATACCTTTTCGATATGGGGAGGGGAGATTTTTCCATTCGATACTTCCGGTCCGCGGATTGGCTTTTTGCCATGAAATTGAACATGTTCTGTGTGGTCGGGCTGGTGTGCGGGCAGTATGCCGTCGAACTGATGTCGGACCAACTGATCTATCCAGTGCAAAAGTGAAATTATCGTACCCGCACTAGTTCTGGCAAGAACCATGCATGTTGACAAAGTAAGCGCTCTCCTAAGCTGAATAACCCGCACTACTTACACTCTTCCTCTTCGTTTTTCCTTCTAGGAATATTTGTGATGGTGCAAAAAATTATCCGTGCGACCGCGATGCTTTTCCTTTTGCAGTGCATATGATCCGCAAGGTCGCGGGCGTCATCCTGCTTACCGTCGTGGCCCAAATGACGGTGGAGAAGATCCTCGCGGCCCGGCAAGCGCGAAAGACCGGGGAGAAGCTCTCGCTCGCGGAAGTGGAGGCTAAGGCGGCGTCGCGGGCGAAATTCTTGCGGTCGCAAACGGTCATGCTACCGCTGGGACTGGTCGGCGGGATTTTGTCCTATGTGGCGGGCAACATGGGGCCGCTGCTGAACGTGTACATGGTGTTCTTAGAACTACCAAAATACGAGATGGTGGGCACGCGGGCCGCAATCTTCATCCCCATAGACGCCATGAAGCTCGGGCAACGGGCGTAAGTAGTTTTTTTTTGATAAAGCTTGGGATGCCACCTCGTGGTGGTTTGTGAATGAAGTTGAGCATCAAAGCCCCGAAGTGAACGAAAATGATCTTTTTGCAACAGGTATAGTGGCCATCTCTCCATGGACAACGCGATGTTTGGGGCGTAACCAGCGAAAATCTTGAGCCAAGTCAGTTGCGTTTTCTATGTGGCACTACATGTTCGTTGGGAACTCCATGCAGAGCTAGACAGAAAAAATTCATCAACCTGTTTGCAACCTGTATTTCTACTTAGCAGCGGTACCACTACCACATGATCTGCAGCTATAGTTGCACAATGAAAAATGGTAGATAATGATTCATGATGATGATCTTGGCGAGACTCTCGATTTTCGTTGCATAATGTTCGATTGGGCATTGTGGGCATCATGGGCGTAATTCTCGCCAAAATATGGCTCAAAAAAGCCAGCAAGGAGGTACGACCGCAAGAGCACACTCTTTATTCTGAAATCAGTTTTGCTACGGTGATGATGACTGAATTCGTGCTTTGCTGCAAGCATCAAGAAAAAGAAAAATCCCATATCTATCGCAGCTCTTCGCCTTTGTTTATAACCGCGTGACGTACGTGATGACAATGCTGAGCGGCGTGTTGCTGGTAACGGGTATGGACCTAAAAGAAATCATCAAAATGGGAATGGACGCCGCGAAGAGATGACGAGGAGCTGGGGTTTAGAAACATTGTTGTAGTAAGTAGGCAAGTTGCGCTTTCTTGTGTAGTGTGATGTGGAGCGAGACGCTTTGCAATTGTAATTGAAAACCCAGAGGAACATGATGTTTGTTCATTTCAGATCATCTTCATCTGTGGGAAGAAAAGAATGGAGAACAACATGAAACAAATGGAAATCGCACCATCAGAAGAACGAAAACAAGTAAGAAATTTACACGCCCACGCGTCCGCGGCGGGGTAAATATGTGATTTCCCGGAAGAGCTTGAAGGCGGGTCGGGTTCTTGTTCCCGGGGGTCGTTCCCCTGAACGCGATGCTTGTGGAGGCTAAAGCGATCTTCGCAACGTCGTGAACATAGTGCCCCGTGGCGCAGACCCGCCGCGCTGTTCGATGTAGTTGACCCGCACTTGTCCATGTTGGCGAGACTTTCTTGTCTGTTACTTCTTTTGGTTTATTTTCGTTCTGACATACGTACATCTACATCTTATGTTCGTAGTCGTACTTTGGTACTACATCCGTAGTTTTCGTTTTGGACACAAGAACATCATGAAGCGCAACAACAAAACGTCCTCGACGTCGCCGAAGAAGCGGACCACCCGCTCTACTTCGCGCTCCCCGATGAAGAAAGCGCCCGCAGGCACCAGTGCGACGAAAGCGCATCGCAACGAAGAAGCAGGTCGCCACGTCATGCCAAAAGTAGCTACCGAGGTGGGAGATAGTAATTCCAACGCCGCAAGCGCACAACAAGCACAGGAATGCCTACCATCACCACATCAAGTCCCGGACGGAAAGAACGTTCTTGAGGCGAAAATAAGTGCTGCCATCAAAACTACCAACCCTGAGCAACTGGATGCCTTCGACCGTCTCATCCATTTCTTCACTGTTCCGGGCGTCCTTGCAATTATTGTCGCGGTTTACGCCTTCGGCGGCGGTTTGTTCGGCACCGACAACGTGGACATTCCGATTCACTTATGCGCGCTAGTACTGGGTGCGGGGCGAGGTGGTGTCCCCGGCGCTGCAACGGTGGGGGGTTCGTTTTTCATTCTATCGAAGGGAAAAAGGTTGTGCGATCTTTTCATGTTTCGTGTTGTTGATTGGCATGTACTAAAAAATTATTTCTCGCAACTTTTGTACTGCGCGCATGTTGATGACCTTGACCCACATAAAGACTCATTGCTCGCCGCACCGAAACACGAAGAGCTTCCTTTGCAGCTTCGAATTACGGAATGCCAGTGATGATCTTGTCCACAGCAAAACCTTCTCAGACGCCGACTTTTTTCCTTCATACGCTCTCCTTGCACCCCCCGGCAAGGTAAACCAGATGCTGGCACTGATGACGGTGGCACAGTCCCTCCCGAACAACCTTGTGGGTTTCGTATACCGAAAGTCGGCGCACTGGCTTCTGGCGCTGAAGTTGAACCTGTTTTGCGTGCTCGGGTTGGTGTGCGGGCAGTACGCCGTTGAGCTGATGTCCGACGACTTCATCAAGAAATTTGCTGGTGGCATCCTTTATGAATTTTTGCAAAAGTATCCCACACGACGTAGCAGTTGCAGTCATGTGTCGTGACCAATCTTCCTTCTTAGGAAAAACAGCATGGCAAAATCCACTTTTCCACTTCAGAAAATTTGGATAAATGCAATCTACACAACTAGTGGGATACTTTCTTCAAAATGCATATCCTGCTGTTCATGGTGGCGCAGATGACGCTCGAGAAGGTGCACGAGATGAGAGAACACGCGAAGAGCAAAGGTGCTGTAGATCATCATGTAGACGGAAAAGCGGATACCAGCACTGTGGAAAAAGGGGATCTTCACGAAGAAACAGATGCAGAGAAGCTACAAAAAAAACAGGAATTTCTCCAGTCGCAGAAGGTTCTTTTCCCGCTGGGGTTCGTCGGCGGCATTTTGTCCTACGTGGCGGGCAACATGGGCCCCTTGCTGAATGTGTACATGGTGTTTCTGGAACTTCCCAAGTACGAGCTGGTCGCGACGCGGGCGGCGATTTTTATCCCCAACGACGCGATAAAAATGCTGCAACGTTGGTACTCCGGACACTTGACGCTGGGACGCTTAGGGGACAGGGGGGGTGTTGGTTCATTGTTATTCAAGGGAAATAGCAGAGCGCATCTGGAGGTAGTAGTTGATTCAGAAACCACAAGAGTGTGGTTTACTTTGCATGACTCGTCCTCGTCGCGCGCTTCTGTTTTTCTTTTTCTGCATTTAGGATCTTAATTCAGCTACCGGTCCTCGGCCGCAAGGACGCGGTTTCCGCAACGCTTGCTGCAGAATGAGGATTGTTTTTACGTAGCCTTTTCAAAGCGGGCTTTTTGTTTTTGTTCCCCTATAGCCATACAAAGCTCAATAAAGTCGTCTCTCGCTGCTCCTGCTCTCCAGATGACGCGTGGCTTTTTCCCACCGCTGCATATTGAAGTGCCTTTTCGGTCTCATCATTATCCACCAGCCTCGCCGATTTTTTCCGACAGAACGACGGAAACCTGTTGCCCGGTATCCGGCTGGGGATTGTGGGTGTCTTCGGAGTGATATTAGCCAAAATTTGGCTCAAGAACGCGAGCAAGGCGACGTTCGCGTTTGTGCACGACCGGGTCACGTATGTCATGACGCTGGTGTCTGGTTTGTTGCTAGCGACCGGTGTGGATGTTGGGGAGACGGTTCTACGATTGATGGCGCTGCTCACGGGAAAATAAGTACTAAAATCCAGTCGTATTTTTGAACAAACAATGACGTCAAAGCTGCCACCGCCGCTCGGCTTGCAGCTTGCAGGGGTAGTTCTTCGATTGGAAGATCTTCCTATACGGTGTCCCGTCCTCCTGAGACTGCTGAACCACGACCCGTATCATTGCGATGCTACATCTGGTCATGCGAAAGCCGCGGCAAGCTGGAACTACCTGCCTTTGTATGAGAATGAGAAATAACGCGCAATAAAGTAGATGAATAAAAGTAAAGGAATAAACTACTAGCTACGATTGCAATGGTCAGTGATCACTAGCTATAGCTGAAACAGTCTTCACAATTCGCTGCTCCACGGTCGTGGAGTGGGGAGTGGGGAAAATGCTCTTGCTCCGCGTCATGATCGGTCATCGTCCTCACTGAGTCGGAATCTTTGTCTTGCCGGCGGTCAATGCGTCGACAACGAATAAATACAACGAGCGATGCTGCTCCTTTTCGGTCACCAGTGTTGCTTCTTCTACACGTGTCGGATTCGCTTCGGTTCTAGATCTTCTACTATGTGTCGTCCTCGGTCTTCTTCGTCCATGTCCTCGTGCAACTTTTCCAGATGGAAAATCGTCCAACCGCCCTACAGATTTGGTTTCTGGTCGTCCTTATGAATGTAACTAATCGACGTCGTCCTCGTTGTTGTAGTACTAACTGCTAGGCAGTAGGCACTGAAAAGAAGTTTCGGTGTGCATCGTCGTGAAGGTTTCTTTAGTACTCGGACACTGGTCTGAGAAATTGTACACTCGTATTCACCGAATTCCGAATTGGCTTCTCTTTCTCCAACTCGCAACAGGAAAAAAAAATTGGTACGTGCTCTCCACGCGACGACCACCCCAGCGGCTTTCCGCCCGATTTCAAGACGCAGGTGAGAACTCGAATTTGGATTTGCATCTTTTTCATTCCGAAATTTGATTTTTTTACCATCGGTAGTGGCGTAAGTTGAAAGCATTTTTGGCACCTGAAGTTGCACAGCACTACCCTACGACTAGAACGAGCGCTATTATTGGAAGATAGAAAGGGAATAATCACAAAACCTGAACCGCCCATATTTTCTCATCCACTATTAAGTAGCAGCTATCGTGGACGCCTGCAAACCCACACACAGAAAATGATTGGCACACGACGGAGAAAAGCAGCTGCAGGCCTGGCCTCCGTTGGCAGCTTCCTCGTCCTCCAATACGGCCCCGCTTCGATTGTCTCTTTGACGACGCTCATCTTCACCAGCAGTGTAGCAACTTTTGCATCGGCCGAGTTGTCCACGGGGAGTCAAGACCAGAACACCCGTCTGCCTATTTCCATCGACGAGCTTGAGAAAAAGAAGCAGGAAGCGGTGAATGCCGTCCGAAAAAACTGGCGCTCGCTGCTGGAAAGCGAAGACGATGTATTCGATGTTTTCTTACATCCGGCGGACTTTTACAAGCAGGGGGATCCTGACTACAACGAAAAAGTGTTCCAAGCGGCTCTGGAAGTGATGTGCCAGGCAATCGGCGGGGGGAATGTTGGCTGCGGAGCAGCTTATAAAAGCGAAGAGCCCCTCACCGAGGATTACACCCGCTGGCAACTGTGGCAGTACTGGAGTCCCCCTCCGCTGCCCAAACCGCCGCAAGGTAATTACGAGCACGAGGCGGATGACCTGTTTGAGAACTCGCAGTACCGCGCCGTGGTGCAGTACTACGTCCGCGCGCTCGGCTTGGGCAACTGGCGGATGGTACAGAAGGGTCACCAGAATGGCCCAGAACAAGCAGGAGCCCTGGTTGCACCAGGTTCCCCGGATGACCAAGCGAAGCTGCGCCGGGGAATCTTTTTTTCTCGGCACGACGTGGAGAAATGGACGTGGCAATTCGCAGGAATCGCCTTGCAGCGCTGGCTGATACAAGTCCGACCGAAGCTGCAAGACAGCACGACAACAGGCTTGGGCACAGATATGAACGGAAAGCTGCGGCATGCCCCGGAGTACTACGATCTCTTCGTTGATCTTCATGAGGACGAGGGTCCTTTGCAGGACCTCAACAAGGCAGATCGGGGCTCTCAAGATGACCCCAGCACCAGCTTCCGGCGTGGTCACGGGTTGCCGAAACATTTTTTCACGGAGGTAGTCAATGAAAATGCTGGCTCCACCGAGGACGTCGCGAAGATTGTGAACCAAATGAAAGATTTTGTGCAAAGGGCTTCAGACCGAAACGGAAACGATCGAACTGAGCTGCAAAGTGCCGAACTACGCCTGAAGCAGGAGATTTTCAAGGCAATCACCGAGTTTCAAGGAGCGGGCGCCAGCGCACCGGAGCTGATGCAAAAGCTGCGGCCGCTCTGCTCTGACGAGGAGCTGCGTGAGAGGGACGTGGGCGAATGTGACGAAGAGAACCTTCGTGAGCCGTGGCTGTTCTGCGGAGGGCCCCGAGGCAGTGCAGACGAGACGAAAGCCATCATAGAAAAGGGTCGAGAAAAGGGACGCGATGTCGTTCAGATTCGGGCTGACGGCACGATGAGAGAAAGTGGTGTCATCGCAGCACCAGGCGACTCGAGCTTGGAAAGTGTGCAAGCAAATTTGGCTACTCGGTTCGACTCTGCTGCCAGTCCCAGTAACAGGGCCACTCCCAGTGGTCATGTTCGCCGCAATTTCATCGCACCAGATGGCGAGCTTGCGGCCGCAGCAGGAGACGATTCACCTGCTGTGATATCGAGTTCTGTGAAGATCGACAATCACATGCACATTGACTCCTTTCACGTGACCAATATGGAGGTTTTGATTCTGAAGTGGGCTCTACCCAAAGACGCCCTCAGACTCCTCGACACTCCGGCTGTAGCGACAGGACAGGCCGCGGAACTCACCGCCGACGGCGAATCAACGCCGACCGGTCAAGTCATTTCAGGCGCAGAAGACTCTACGTTTGGTTTTACGACTCCCGTGCAGGACAAAATGAGACGACCAAGTGAAGACATTTCCACTTTGGGTCCGGTGGTGAGCAGCCTGCGCGTAATTGATGCAAAATCCGGGGCAGCGACAGCGAGCCGTCAGGACGGGGACCACGCCGATCGAGATGGTGACGGAGCGGCAAGCCCAGCTGGGAGCGAAACGGACGCCATGAGCAAGCGGCAGTCGATCACCAGGGCGGCGGATGCCCCCGTGGTGGCCACCAACGGCGCCTTCTGGGACGCGGTGTCTGCGGGTTTCGCGGCCTTGTCTGCGCAGCTGATGACGGTGCCGCTAAATGGTGGCCGGCGGCTCTCGACTCGCTTGAATGTGATCATTCGACCCTTTGACAAGCGCGACGTGCCAGCGGCGTTGCAAGAAGCATCGACTGCCGATGAAAAAGAGCGGGAAGAGGCGTTGAAGACGTTTCTGCGCTCCAAGATCCTGTGGCGCACGGAGCTCGGGAACATTTTGCCGCTCTCGCAGAACGCGAACAAGGGTCTCCAGGTGGCCTTCTACACCGTCAAGGAAGGTTCCGACACCGTGGAGGAGGTGGGTTTCGATTATGGAGGAAAAACGGACAAGAAGGTTCTTGTGCTGGAACACGCGGACTGTTGGGATGACGATGAATCGAAGAGGCCCGGAAAACAAGAGAAATGCAACGAAGCCATGCACGCAGCCGCTTTCGATGTCATTCGGAAAGTCAACTCAGGGCTGAATTTGCCGAAATTGACACCGGCCCAGCTCAAAGCATCCTATCCGACAATCACGGAGCTGCAGAAAGCGTGGCCACCGAAAGAAGGGAATGCAGTCCGGGCCGGTAAGGAAGGGCAGCCACTTTCACTTGGCGAAGCGGTTCCCAAAGCACAAGGAGCAAAGCCGGCGGCATCATCCTCCACCGCTTTCCTCGAGGAGCATGACAGTCCGCAGACGCAACCGTATCCCATGATGACGGTGTAAGACGGAGTTTCAAGTTCACAAGGAGAGAAGTAGTCTTGTAACTCAGAAAGTAAACGAAAACGCGGTAAAGCTTGAGCTTCTGTCCATCACAGAAACGAAAAGCAATTTTTTTTTACATTTTCATCACAGCATGATTTATGTATTTTCTGTAGATACACCCTTTCCTGCTCTGACGCAAAGAAGTAGTAGCACCCCGCCTGCACAAGAACAATCTGTCCAATGTCCCGTTTCCTAGTCACCCAGCACTATTTTTTTGATTAAAAATCTTCGATATTTTGATTTTTTTGAGTTCGCACTTGCATAAAGTTTCTAGTAAATGTCCCACACCTAACCAAATTTTCATGTTTCATTTCGAGCAATATTTTAACAGTTGAGTTGCACGACCACCCCCTCGGTCTGTGCCTAGTGTTTCCGCATCGTCGGGCACTGTTTCTTGTTTCTTGCAAATTTTCGGATCGAATTGCTAACCCACCACACCGATAATTTATCCCGTTGCCTGAATATCGTCGCAAAAAATTAACCTTCGCAAGTACAGGGAGATCATGGAAGATGGTGCAATTAAAGGTCTGTGGTCTCCTTTTTCTGTTCGCTGCAGCTGCACTAAATGTTCTTCTACGTTATTCATTGGTGGCAGCACATAGCATGGAAATCTTCCATGCAGGAGGTGCGAAAATTTTTTTTTCCTCGTCGTCGTCATCGTCATCGTCGTCGTAGGTGGAAAGAATCGTCGCAAGGACGAGATGCAAGAGAGCTACAAGTGAAGAACACGAGCGAACAGTGCAAGGAGATTCGACTGTTGCAGTTCCTCTGGTGACATTTTCGTCGAGCTCTGAGTAAGAGAGTGACTTCGTCAGGTTGCTTCATGATTTTTGAGCATCGTGTTGATTGTTCTTCTTGTGTTTTGCCTTCATCGATGTTGGACGATAGCATGTACACGAAGATCTGGTGCATGACTAAACGACAGTAGAAATCCAGACAGCACGACGACAACACAAGCAGAGCTGTGATAACATCGAACAGGCCCGATCAACAAAATGGCCGACGACGCCGACGCAGAGCCCACTGGGGTGTCGGTCACGTTTGAAGTTTCCGTGACCAAGGTCGGCCCCTTCCCAGCCCCCGTGCAGCCCACCGTCAAGCTTTCCGGTGCGTTTGTCGAGGAGGAAGTGTCTGGACCTTCTCCCCTGCCCGAGGCAAGCGAGGGTGTGGAGAGTCCGGGGTATGAGGTCCTCACGTTTCCGTCCAAGGCTTGCGCGTCCAATCTGGAACTCTGCGACGCGGCCTGTGCGGGCGGGGGACTGAAGTTAGAGGTGGGCGTGTTCTTCTTGTTGTGTTTCCTAGTGCTAGTCGTTTCTGTTGCACCATGCCATTCATGATCGGTAATCAATCGTTGTAGTCGGGCTTGTCAAGTTCAGACTCCGTCCCTTTGGATGGACAAGTAGAAAGTCCTCGTAAACCAATTTCAACATTCTTCATTTGCCTTGCACCTACGTACAACTACAACTACCCACTGCGCAATCAACGAAACAGCTCTTCGATGCCGCGAACGGGGATGCGCCACTGCTCGCGGAGCCGCTCGTGGTAAATTTAGAGGCGCTGCTGCAAGAGACTACCGAAGTTACGGTCGAGGCCGCCGTCGTTACCCTCAGCGCCGATGTGGACGCAAAATGGGATGACGAAGAGGCGCCGAAGGTAAAAATTTGAAAAGCAGTTGCATATCACGTAGCTAGAGTAGAACTAGCTCACTCATCAGACTGCGCATGCAGTAGTTTTATGACAAACAGCACGAAATAAATAAAACAAGCTGCTGGTCGCACAGAAGTGACAGCTCAGCATCCGTTTCCGGCACTTTTGACCAAGAAGTACAAGCCCTCAAATGTTGGTCCTCAACCCTATGTCAACATGATCAAAACAGACCCGCGTGCCCACCACCGTGACGCTGCACATCAAAACCTCTTCCGTCCTGGGCTCCGCAGCCGACGCCTTGCTTTGGAACGTGCTAAAGGTGAAAACGCACCTGAAAGACCCACCCGCCGAGCTGATGAAGTGCAGCACGCCCGGGGCCAAGGACGCCCCGGAAATCCACGGGCTGTTCTACTCCATCAACATTCTGGGGGAGGAAGTAGCAGCGAGGAAAAGCATCGAGGCGGTACTATTGCTTTTCGTTGGCGGGTCGTGTTTTCGGATTCAGCATATGAAGCTATGACTTTTGTTCTAATGGAGAAGTTACAGGAGTTCTAGTTGCACACCGATCTTTTTCTTTATGTGGGAAGATAGAAAGTTAAATATTTTTGTATGCTTACAACGGTGTCGACAAATCCAACTGAGAGTAGATAGAGACCTCGGCACCCTGAAACTTATTGAAACTACTTTAGAACGAGTACAACATCTTCTACATCTACATCAAGATCAAACTACTCAACAGTTCGACGGCGGTCCGGATGGCCCCACGACGAAAGACTGGATTCGTCCCGTCGAGCCGGACTTTTGCCGGTACCGGGACGTGGGTTTCATGCGGAAATTACAAGACCTGCTGAACAACGTGGGTGGCACGTACGTGACCGTTACCGTGTCGCCGGCGGTCGTAGATGACCCCAAGTACAAACCGCCCGCGGAGGTCCCCGCGCTCTGCGACAAATACCGATTCCGGGCCTACCTGGACCTCAGGCCGCTGCTGCAGCGGGGCGCCACGGAGCTGGAGGCGGAATGTATCAGTTTTCTGGCTTACTTTCTTAAAACATTGTGGTGCTGGTGACATTTTTCAATAACATATGCCCGCCTGCGAGTACATGGACGTCATCTAGAAATAGACCATGACAAGCACACTGACGTCTCTCTGACTCTGTAGTTGGCGGCAGATCACAATACAGGAGGACACAAGTATATCACCAGGATGGTGTAGGTGTTCGTTGCTGTTCTGTGAAACGATAGCATTGATTAGCTGTGAATTTAGAAAAAAGCAAGAAAATGAAAATCGCAATACATAACTTCTTCTACAGGCCCACTAGTACAAGCGTCCGGGGATCCTTTTACCGACGGTGAGGGAGCAGAAATCACGCCGACCCTATCACTGTCGTTGTCCCTCCGCGTGCCCATTCTTCCGGCGGAGTTGCCGCCACCACCAGAAGTCGCGGACATGGTACAGCGCGTAGTTTCATATTTGGTTTACTTACTCCTACGTACCGCTAGCCCTAGAATCTAGGGCGATCAAAATCGTGCTGTAGTGTAAGTAGTGCTTCTAGCTGGGCGTCAGTGCGTCAATGATCCACTTCTAAAAGTAACGTGCGATGTTGATGAAACCGATAAATTTAAATACAGCTGACCCGGCGCGAAGTGACGCAGAAGCTCCGGAGCGCGGAGAAAGCGCGGGAGGAATTCTTGAAAGCGGTGAAAGACAGTGTTGAACCCGCGAGCAGCTCCTCCTCGGGGCGACGGCCGGAAAAATTGGTCGAAATTCGCATACGGGAGGCGTTGATGAAGCAAGTGACAGAGTACGCCAGAAAGAGCTTGAAAGTCGATCCGGATGGGACGGATGCGTTCGTGTCACAGGTAGGAGTACATAGATAAAAGCACCTGCAGCTACTTGAGCAGATTGTTTTATTGCTCATGCGAGTGTGAAAAGAAGTTGCTTTCACCACCTCGTCCTTCTACGTTGTAGTCGGCGCATGATTTTCAGGCCAAACTGCACGCGCTTGCTGTGCTCCTGAGTGTAAGAACTAGATGATCCAGCGAAAAGAAAATGTTACCACATTACCTTATCAGGTCTTCGCCGAGCTTGCCTCCCAGGTGGTCCCGGACACGCTCCGGGGGCTGAACCTGACCGCCCCCGAGCCCCCGGAGAAGGCGCACGCGTTGAAAGAAGTCCGCACGCAGCGCGAGGTCTTGGTCCGGAGTCGACGGCTCCTGCAAGAAGCCGAGCTGTGCGGGAACTGGAAAACGGCGGCCAATTTTTGGCACCAAATTCTCGCGATCGAGAAGACCGAGGCTGCGGGGTGGCTGGACTACGGGAAGTTCCTGCAGCGCGTCGGCGGGAAATCGGAAGCCGCGGAGTTCGCGGTTCGGAAGGCGGTGTCTTTAACCAGCAGCGCCTCCTCTTCTTCCTCCTCCAGTACGGGGCCGAACAACGAACAGCAGGTCACCGTCCGCGAGGGAAAACTCATGCTGGTCGCGTTACTGCTGGACCGGAGGCGATTATCCCACGAAAAAACTGTTTCACTGTGATGATTTTGCAAGATTTGCATCACAAGTTTGTTACACATGACACTGAAAATTTGTCATGCGCGCTTCCCAACGGAAAACTCGCTTGAAAATCCAGTGTCTTGCAAGTGTAGCAAGACAAATAGAAATAGTCCTGTGTTGCATTTTCTGCATCAAAAACAGTTTTTTCTTGCGATAGCGATTTCAAGACGCGGAAAAAATGCTGGTCGAGATGTCGGAGGGGACGTTGTTCGGGCGCCACCACTATCAAATGTAAAAATGTCTGGGTCTGGAAGAATGCAACTTGTCATGCTGCATTTGGATTCCAGAAAAATCAGTATTGTATGAGTACCAAAAGGAATGTAATTTTTGCTACGCGGAGAGGGCATTTGTCATGCGGAATAGGCATCAAGAAGCTCTCAAAAAATCTGTGCTGCTAGGGCATGCATCACAGACATCAGGGCTCATCCAAAACGTGCATGACAAGTGTCAGAATCTTCCAGACCCAGACATTTTTACATTTGATAACCACCAGATGGTCAACTTTCTGCGGGGGATCTGCGCGTACCTCAGCAAAAACGACGTGGAGGCGGGGCAAAACTGGTTCGTGCTCGCAACGAAGCCCAAGGAGTGGTTCCGGGGCCTGCACAGCGAGGAAAAAATGAATATGAACTGCAAAACCTCCTGGATTTTCGTACTAATTCCAATACAGCAAGAACAGCATAGGCGTAGAAGCTGTACCTTTCTCGCCTGAATCTGCATGGTGACAAAGTCCATGTTTCCGCTTGCGAAAATTTCTCATGCGATCATTCCCATTAGTACGATGGCCGATACTTTTGCAATGCATAATGCTGGAAAAGCTGCAACTCTTCCTGTCCGCCGGGGATGCCATGAGCACAGTGACGGGAACGGGGGTATAGAGGAGTCACTTGAAGAATTGCTACAATGTCCTGGTGTCCTATGTCTTTGCCCGTGAGAGGTAAAAAGTGTGAGTAGAACAAACCTAGTACAACGCTTCGCATGGTGCGCGTACTGCTCCATAAGCAAGACCAAGGAGATCAATATGATCATGAAGAGCATGGCCTGAATATTCTATATCTAAAACTCTACTTTATTTTATCAGACCCAGCTCTCCAGTCAAGCGACCGGCATTTTCGGTGCGGATTCCATTTCGTCAAGTAGTTCTGGTACTAAGCCCTCGCTGGAGGCAAGCAACCCATTGGTTGTGGCCTTGGAAAAACTTTTGGACTTCGGCTGCGCCCGGCTCGTTTTCACGATTTTGGATACGGCGGAATTGAGGAACGTGGTCTCGTTCGGCCACGACGGCTTGCGGGAGGTAATAGAAGCGGAGTGCTACATGCTGCAGCACGACCTGCCAGCGGCAAAGAAAGTGCTGCAAGCCGTGACGACCGAAGTGGTGGAGGTAAGTACTATTGGCGGGATTTTTAGTGCAGCAGAACTTCTACTCGTGGGTGGTTCATCGTCTGGATGTGCTGATGCTTGTTGATCTTGATGTCTAATATAGCCTTTGCTGAGGCTTTTGTGAGATGATCTTCTAAATCAAAGCATGGAAATCGAAATCAATACGAAGCCACTCATCTTTATCGTTTCACAGCCCGGAGTCGACTGTGCGCGGTGCCGCATCCTGGGCGAGGCCCTTTTCCGCTTGGGAGAATTTGAGGAAGCTTTGCAATTTCTCGCAACCGCAATTGAATCCGAAGCATTTCGACCAGAAGTGTTTGTCTCCGTCTTTATCAGGCTGGGGCACTGCTATTTGCTGCAAGGGGAATACGAGCATGCAAGGACGGTATTGATTCACTGAGTAGATTTGTACTCGGCTTGGAAATGCTGGAAATGCAAGTCGTGCGAGGTGAGCAACTGCAACACGACATTAGTGTTTTGCCGTACTTTAGAACTACAATAAAGCAGCTGTAATTTTTCATCTTGCCCCGGTGAATTTGCATGGTAATTTTGCAGCTTTCTGGTCTTACGGTTGTGCCGTGTGCGCAAATAGAGACGTGTGTATACAATAAAAAAATCTGCTTCACTATCCAGGTTTTCCTTCAGAGCGTGCGCATTGGTGCCACTTCGGAAGCCTGGGTTGGTCTCGCCTTCAGCAGTTACCGGCAGGATCAGATCCCCGCGGCGTACGAGGCCCTGCGAGAGGCCTTGTGGCTCGACGACGAGAGACCGGATACCTGGGCGTTCTTGACGCTGGTGCATTTACGGTATAACGTATTAAAGGCCGGGCCCGGGCGTTGATGTATGTATGTTCCACCTGTAGCTGACATAGGCATTGGAAGATGCATCGTGAGGTTCTTCGCATCGAGCTTTTCATACGACATCGGCATTTTAACTTCGGATCACGCTGTCCATGAATAATACAAAGAACCATCTTAATCTTTTACTTCTATCAGGCTCGGAAACTTGCTCCAAGCCGACGACTGTTTCCGGCACACGCTGTATTACACCAGCAGCACCATGTCGGACGAACTTCTGCTCGAGCTTGGCGTGGAGTTTCTCAAGTCTGAGGAGCACGAGTCGGGGCCGTACCGCGCGGAGTGCGCAGCGAGGACGGCGCTGGCGATTCGCGAGACAGGGCAGGCTCACGAGGTGCTCGCGGATTCGTTATCTGTGCAAGAGCAGTACGAAAAGGCGGTGCTGGAGTACGGCATCGCGATCCGGCTATTCTATGATCAGCCGGAGCATCGGCAAAACCTTGTGGACAAGGCACTGCACTTGACCGACGAGATACTGCACGACGCACCGTTGGCGGAATCGGTGCACATAGCGGAAAAAATGGCGGCGGCACACGCAGCGGACATCGCGAAAAAGATGGGGGGCGAAGGGGCCGGGGGAGACGGAGCAGGTGGTATCGCGGTGGGGGCGTGATTAAAGCTTTTTGCGCTCGTCGGTGTAGTTCAAGGTCGTAACTGCGCTTCTTTGTAAAAATGTAGCACACTTCTACGCAAATTAACAACGGAAAAAGTGTCAATAACACCAAAAGATAGAATAGAACCGAACCATTATTAACATTGAAAGTAGAAAATCACCTTGTCGTGTCAACATTTGGAAAAGTTGCAAAAATCCAAAATTTAGATATAGATTAGATTGCGCGCCATGGAAAATCCGCTCGTCACATCCAGGTTGTGATGGAGGATGTGAAATTGATTTGGTCAAGATTTGTTGCAAAAGAACAGTGACGGAAAACATGTACCAATGGCAAGAAGAAAGTCTGCTCTCTTCGAGAAGGTAGACCGAGGATGACGAAAGGTGGGACGGCGAAAGAACGCCAGGACGGGAGAGCGCCAAAGGTGAGTCTGCGCCACATCTCGTCGTCATCTCCCGTGCTGCACCACATCGGGATATGAATTCGTTGCCACGGCGTCTTGGTCTTTCTCTTGCTCTTGTTCTGGTTGCTCGGTCGCGCGTCTTACTTCCGCAGCTCATCTGAAGGCTTCGGTCGAGTCGTGGTTCTTCTTGCAGATTCAAAAATGCCAAAAAATGCCACTGTGGTGGTACTATCTATTGCGAAAGTTTTACATTGCACCATCTTCAAGATCAAACTGAAGCTCAGGAAAAGGGAACCGTATCGCAGTGCTTCCGCTTTGTAGATTTTGCTTGAAGTTGTACTTCATTGTTTTTTCTTAGGACGCTAAAGTAAGAAGATACTTCGTCAGTCTACTACTGTATTGAGAATATCAGAAGCACAAGAAGATGCAATACGTGGAGTACGAGGGTTGGCTGCAGCAGCGCTCGCACCATGTTGGCCGGTGGAAACGGCGCTACTTCGTTTTGTTTGAAACCGGTGAGTATGAATTGCAAAAGTATGAGCAGTGTCGTCGTAGGTAAGCAGCATTAGCATGACAAAGACGAAAGGAGACGATTTCGTGCGTCTGATCGACACCCTCGGGAATGAGATTTGCATGATTGCGATTCCTATGAATGGTGCGATACTTTTGCGCAGGATGGCGAGCTGTGCTACTGGCGGTATCGACCGGAGGTAGAAAAGGAGGAAATTCGGGAAAAACGGATTTCTGCAGGCTCTTCTTGTAGCGACGGGGAAGGTCATGATGGAAGTAGAGAGGATGTCGAGCAGAGCATGATGAACAACAGCACACAGTCGCAAGCAGATGAAACCGCTGGCATTGTCACAGAAGATACAAAATGCGCGGCACCAGCAGCCCGAGGTACGCATGAAGATGGAGAGACCGACAGTCGTGCTGAAACTGATCCCTGCACCAGCACAAGGAGACATCAAAGTACGTCCACAGTGATGAATGAAGACGACGAGGCTCATCTTCACGAAAACAAGGAACGCGACGAGCACACGTCGTCGACCAAGAACATCAGACCAACCACCTCCCCCACCACGACCATCGCAACCACGAAGGCCACCCTCTCCCCCTCGCTCCTGCTGGAAAAATTCCGCATCCGGCGGCAGTACAAGAAAGCGCCGAAGGGGGTGATTGACTTGCGGGAAAAAAACATCAGTCTGATCGTGCCGCCGAGGGAGTTAGCCGACACGAATCACTTGTGCAGCTTGGACAATTTCGTGGCAACCCAGTTCCAGCCGGTCAAGAATTGGCTCGGAAAAACGCTGGCGGACGTGTTTCATCTGCGAGCAGGAAAAGGGGCAGCGCGTCGCCACCTGGAGGGACGAGATGAGGTCGAAAAGGTGCTTCGGAGGACGAGGTTGAACAAAGGAAGTGTCGCAGTGCCAGGAGGTTGCAACAAAGAGAACCAAGATCCACCAGGATCGGCGACGAAGCGGAAGTCGCGGTTTCTCGTTGATGTCCAAAGCCAGGAAATTGAGCAAGCTCGCGGCACGTTTTTGCTGGAGACAGCTGCAAGAGGGAGGACCGACTCTGGTGGAGGGGGTCTTGTTGTATCTGCGCGGAATAAAAAGGCCGCGCTTTCTACATCTACTGCCGGCAAGAAGCGAGCGTCCGAAATCAAGAAGCGTAACTCCACCCAGCCGTTGCTTGTCGAGGGCGATGAGCAGCTTTCTGTACTCGATAAGGAGGTGGACAACAGAACCAAGAGCCGCGTCGATATCCCGCTTGAGGATTTTCTTTTGAAAACGCAAAACCGAGACAGCACAGAAAGTGCCACTTGTTCCAGACGAACTATGCAGAGAAACAACAAAATAGCCGGGCGTAGACACACCACCTTCTTCGCCGATCCCGAGGAAGAAGCGTGTTTTGCAGATTTGCTTTCGGAAGACGACGAAACTGACTTCGACGAAAATTCTGCAGCTTTCGATGCAGGTGAAGATAACCTCCATGTCCGCGCCGCCACTACCTTGCTCGAGGAACAAACTAGCGACGGAACAAATGCAAGGGGGACCACGACGATCATAACGAAGGCACGAGACGAAAGCAGGACCACACGACAAGAAAAAGAAATACGTCATACTTCCGCCCGCACAACCACGCAAGACGTCTGCACAACTACCAGTAGTGCGACGAGTCCCGTTGTACCAGAATCCCCCTACGCTCCGGCGTCTTGCCTACTGGAGGCGCTGGCCGAAGCGTCGAGGCAGCAGCAGAAAAGTGGTACCGACCCGGCCATGATGTACAATCGAAGGCGGACGGCGGACTACAGCGGCAGCCAGTTGAGGCAAAGCAGCAAGACAAGAGCATTGCAAAGTGGGACCACAACTTGCGGTGCTAGTGCCGGTGAAGCTCCTCTCGACGATAGTACTCAACATCTTGCTCGAAATGGAAATCCAAAACAAAGCGAAGGCAGCACGACAGCGGTTCTTGATCACCGAGAAAGTAGTTCTTGTGCACTACAACCGTCAACCTCGTCCGCATTAAACGTAAATCGACTTTCGACTCGCTACAATTACTTTCTCACCATCGTCCGCGCCGGTTCGAAGTACGACGAAGAGTTTATGTGCACCACGAAACAATTGCGGAACAATTGGTTTCTCCACCTGAATCGGTGCATTCGGTCGGCGGGGGTGGGGGGCTGCGAGTCGACCACAAGATTACGCGAAGTAGATGGCCGCTTTTCACCGCCTGACCGTGTGAAGAAGCTGAAAGAAACGCCGAACGAGAAGGAAGGTGATGCTAACCGGGGGACCATTATGGGGAGTCGGCTGAAAAACATTTCCCCAGGGGACGCTGCCCAGGCAAAGGGTGGTCATGAAAGGATGCAGGATGAGCAAGCTGACGTAACATTTGCAGCACATGTGCCGGAAAGTGCTACAGCAACCGCCGCGGGTCCTCGCTCTCGCGTGTCTACTCTCCAAGAAAAGAAAACCATTCCATCGACGCCCGCAGTGAAGCTTCGCAAGCCGCTAATTCTCCTTAATCGTTCTCAGTTTCTGGTTGCGCTGGAAGCGAAACGAAGACGAAAGGATATTAGGAAAGAAGTACAACAATACCTCTCTCTGCCCGAAGCACCGGAGCACCACCTGTTTTTCGCGACGTGCCAGTGCAAGATCCCTTTGGAAAAGAAGTACTCTGCGAAGCACAGCACTTTTGTGCACTTGAGAAACAAGCTGGCACGGACGACGGATATCACTCTGAAGCGAATCAGCATGACGACCACGGGAACAAGTCTTGGAGCGACAGAAAAGGTACTGAAGCATCAACCACAAGAACCAGCAAGAACTGTAGCGACAACCACAACCACCGCTCCTCCCCGGGCCCTGCTCCAACTCCCGCAGGAAGGAGAGGCTCCCCGTACTACCGCTCTACAACGCGGTAAAAACAGCACCACGCGTCCTCGTCCGAGCGTGATGCGACGAACCACGACGACGCAACAGCCGCAGCATCCCGGCCGCCGCAAAACTGTCCATTTTGCGCCAGCAACCGCGGTGGAGGAGGTGGTCTTTGAAGGAGGGGAAAGCCCGCCGGGGCTTTTATCGCAAAGTGCGTCCTCAAGTTCTGCGTCGTCTTTATTCCAAGAAACTGTCGCGAATCACCATCCCTCACCGCAGTCGCGCTCGCCACAGATTCAGACTTCTCCTCCTACAACTGCAGAAGCAGGGGGAACCGGAACTGTTTCCCAAAACTGCGCAGCGACGAGAAGAAGTTCTGCAAGGAAGCCGCTGAAACGCCGCAACACGATGCATTCAACGCAGGATCTGTCGCGGTCGTCGGTGAGAGTGGACGACTTCCGGTTAGATGGAGAAGATGAAACGGAGAATAGCTCGTGGTCTTGCGAAAATGTTGAGCAACGTCCCCGCGAGGAGGAGAGGTTCTACAACAACGGTTGTAATATCAACAACAGTAACGGAAGCCGCAGACTCACATCTCACTACATCGACGCGAACAAGACCATGCTATCTGATAAGGATAACAAAAGAACATCACGCATGCAGGAAGGCAATCTAGAAGAAGAAGATCAGGATGAAGATCAAGGGGTCTCCTACTCGGCCCGGTATGTCTTCTTGATCAGTGAGCGGCGGCTCGTGGCGAAGAAGAACAACCGCAATGAAGATTTCTTGAAAAGCCACAAGAAAGGCCACGGAAATATTAGACGGAGGTCAAGTAAGAACCTGTTTTGCGGAAACAAGGCAGATTTCTGGCCTGAGCTGAGCTCGCTCCTTGATGAGGGAAGAAGTAGCACTTCATCTCCGCCCGGGCGCCGCCGGTCTGCTTCCGCGGGGCTGTGTGAAGAGTACGCAAGCGCCGCTCGGGTAGTTCAACTAGGAGCTACCGAGAGACAGGAAGAGAACTTGCTTCTTGGCTCGACGAAGACAACTTCTACTCGTCGCCGCAGGAGCAGGAGCGACGCAGGAGAATGTCGCGGAACAACAACCTTCGAGGACTTTGGGGAAGAACAAGAAGATTTTTCCGAAAGTAGCTCAGACGCAACTTCTTTCGACTTGCGCGCCAACGTGCTCTTTCTCTTCGACCCGGCTGCGCCCGCGTGGGAAGACGTAGCCTGTGATAAAATCCCCGATCCTAGCACTACCAGCATCGCTGGTCTTCAAGAAAGTGCTGAAAGTGGAGACGGAAAATTTTCTCGTTGTGAAGCAGGCGCAAGTTCGAGACATTTTTATCCTTCAAACCGCGCGTCCGCTTTCCTCGACTGCAGCAGGGGAGAAGCCTCCGAGAGTATACTTAGACCATCAACTTCAGCAGGTTTCCGCGCAGCTGTGCGGAGTTCGATGCGGCGGTTGACAAATCGCACCAGCATGTTGATGCCGAAGTTTTCCGTCGTGGAAAGCGAGATAGAAGATTTTGCTGACGGTGCAGCGGCAGCGAAAATGAACCGGTCTCGCTTCACGAAGCAGTTTTCCCAGGAACAACAAGGCGACGGTGGTGTATTTGGCAAGGAGATGAGGGATTATGACAGTGCAGCTTCTGCAGCAGAGGCTCGTGCTCTTCCCAAAGAAAAGCATCCTGCTTGCGGCATTCCGACGGGAGGACTACAGGCCCATGGTGTTGGGAAACCGAAACGAAGTACTCCTGTTGTCGCACGTACCATCCCGGTAGAGGCGATCCTGAACTTGACGTCCTACCAGGAAAACGGTGATTTCATGCTGAAGATTTGCTTCCGACGGGGACGAGCCGACGAGGACAAGGACCGACACCTTCAACACAGAGATGATCATAGGGATCATGCCCAGAACGAAAAGGAAAACCATCACAACCATGTCGAACAAGATTCGGTCTCCCTCTCCTTTCCCACCGAGAAAGACCGCGAAGGCCTCCGGTTCGCGCTGTGGGAGAGTCACAACGCCGTGCACGCGAGGAGGGAGAAACGCGAGTGTTTCACGTCCGGCGAAATTCTGTCGCACTTCGATTATTCGCGCTCGAACAACGAGGACGAGCACCGTTCGACGATCCAGCATTTCTGGATCCAGAACTGCTTCCCAGTTATTAATACAGACCTGCAACAGCAGCAAGTGCAAGACGCAAGCAATGCAGGCGCTTCACCTGCTGATGCTGGTGCACGTCCTACGACACCCGTTCCTGGCTCCTCGGCCGCGCCTAGTAGTACCACGACTACAAACGCAACAAGCAGCTTTTGTTCCTGGCTTCCCACTATCAAATGCAAAAATGTCTGGGTCTGGAAAGTTGGAATTTGTGATGCTAACTTTGGATTCTAAAAAAATCTGTATTGCATGACCAGCAAGAGGAGTCAAGTTTGTGCTACGCGAGGAGGGCATTTGTCATGCGGAAATGGCATCAGGAAGCCTTCTAAAAATATGTGATGCTGGGTCATGCACTACAAACATCATGGGTCATGCCAGACAAGCATGACAAACCTTGCATTCTTCCAGACGCAGACATTTTTACATTTCATACCCACGGTTTTTCTTCGCTACGGCGGCAGCGCAACCTCTGTCCGCCAAGTGCTTGCAAGGGTCGTGGAAGACGTTGACTTCGCGGAACGAATGATGGAGGATGTTTTCTTCACGAAGATCTCATCAGAGATGAACAAGAACTCTGCTTGTACCACTATCAATGCAAAACAAGGCCAAGGCGGGGAAGAAGGTAAAAAAGCAGGAGAGGAAAACGAAAACGAAAATTCTGCCCGTACTCAACATCCGCTCTTCGGTGCGACAAGCATCGTAGATTTGCTGAAAATCAGCTGGCGAAGCAACCGAAAAGACATCGTGGAAACGGTCGCGGAGGAGCTCGTGACGCCCTTCATCGAGTTCCTGGTTCTCGCACACGCGGTCGCTTTTGGCGCGGAGAAAAGTTGCATTCGAAAGAATTTCTACAGTAGTTGTTCTGACGGTGGAGTCGACGTGCACGCGACGCTAAACCCAGTAGAGCTGGAGGTTTTGCTGGAGCAGGGAACAACGAGAACAGCAACCACGAACAGTACCAGCACGGTCGCTTCCACAAGCTGTCCAAAAATCACTTCCTCCCCAAGAATGAAGAATGCTGGAAAAAATAACAAGCATCATCACCTACTACATGTCGTGAAAGATAACCTCGTCTGCATTCTTCGCAAATTGCAAACCAGAATTCTGAGCCCCTTCCGCCTCTACTCCTCCCAGCTGGACCAGCTGCTCATTGCGCTAGTAGAGGAGGAAAAGGAGGTGATTCTCACGCGCTCCGAGACCATGATCGAGAGCTACTTTCTCCGAGAGGTCCGGGAGGGGTTTCCAACGACTGTGGTAGAATGTGCGACGAGTTCTACTTCCGATTCTGAGGAATTGTGCGACTCGTCCCAAGAAGTCTCGGCAACTACGGGCCACCACCAGCTGGGGACCACGAACAGCTGCACAGAAATGGTCACGACAAAGCACTGTTTCACGGATTTACTGCGGATTCTCTGCACTGCGCACGTGACGTCGAGCGACGGTGTTGCGGCAAGTGAGGTCGGGTTTATCAACTGCAAAAATGTCTGGGTCTGGAAGAGTGTAGACTTGTCATGCAGATTCTCCATGACCCATGAGCTCTGGAATGCGGGACTTAGCATGACAGACTCTGCGAGGTCTCTGCCATGCCTATTCTGCATGAGAAACTCCGTTATAACTTGGTCAAAAGTGCACGGCTTTTGGCACTCATGCAACACAGATTTTTGCATGCTTCCGATTTACCATGACAAGTTGCAATATTCCAGACCCAGACATTTTTGCAATTCATAGGGTTCCAATATCTGCAACGGAGCATTCGACTGTACCTCGACTTGCTGAGGCAGTGGACTCTCCACTTTCATAAGGCCCCGAAGGTGTACTTCCGACATGTGACCGCCGAGATGAACAAGTGCAGTTCTGTGGTGCCTGAATCTGGCCGCACAGGCGGGCCGGCTATTACAAATTCGAGAAGCAACCATAACCGACTCGCCGTTACATCATCAGCAGCAGCCGCAAGTACTTCTAGTACACTACCCGCGATCCGAGAAAATAACAACCCCGACAGTTCTTGTGCGAGGATACAACAGGATGGCGAAAAATCCCATCAATCTTCACCCCGCTCCTCGGTCAGCTTTGCGACATTGGGGGTCAGGTACGGATCCGGGACTTACGAATGCTCCTCCCCCGGGAGAGACCCGTTTTCGTTCTTCGAAGAGGCTGTGAAGATGGCGGCTAGTACAGGCTCCGGTATTAACAAGATGAATCCCGGCGGACAATCTTGTACAACTGCCAGTACGACTTCTACTACTGCCACGACGTCACCTGTGGAACCTGATGTCTGTGCTTCGCCTTGCAGCTCCACGACCAGCGAGGCTTCGAATTTGTCGTCTGCTGCTGGTTGTACAACTACTGGTTCACTTTCATCAAACCCCAGTTGTTCTAATATCGTCTTGGGAAATGTTTGCGCTGGCTTCGAGAGCCGGGCACTGTACCTGACTGCGGTGATGAATTCCGTCTTGCCGCGGTTGCAGGAAGCCCGGCTCGAGTGGGCATTCGCGAAAAAGGAAATGCTCAGACAGGAGATGGGTGATGCGGCGGGGAGAGTGATATTTGCGGCTGGGTCGTCGAGTAATATCGCGGGAGAGAGGACCACGACCAGCTCGTGGTCCGGAAGTTCTTTTAGTCGGGATAGTAAGGCAGGCGGCGCAACAGCTTCTACTTCGACTGACAAGGGGACTGTGAGGAGAATTATTCCGGCGTACGACAGAAGTGATCTGCAGGAGATGAATTCCATTTCCACCTCCGGACGTATAGTGAGGAGCAACAGTGTAGAAGATATCAGTGAAGTAATCTCGTCGTCGCAAGATCATGACAAGTATGCGGACGATCCCTTTATCACGTGGGCGGATAACTCGAACTTCCTCCGCCCCGCCAAGGAATTCGCGACGGATCTGCAGCATTTGGCGGCGTGGGCTCTGACCAGCGAAATCACGTTTAATTTGCGGCGGAGAACGGCCGATGAGTTGCAGAAGTTCATCTTTGCAGGGTCGGGCGAAGATTTGGCGCAGGTACTAGTGGGGTGTTCTACTACTTCGGCTGGGCAACAAAAATTGACTGCGGCATCCGGAGGTGGACGAAGTGGCACAGAGGAGGATTTTTGTGCATTAACAAGCTCCAGCTGCACATCGTCGTCCTGCTCCCCCTCATCCTCCTCTACTTCACCCTTGGTAGCAGTCCAACCACTCAACCCCGCCTGCACACTCGGCTTCGCGCTGCGGCAGCTGCGTTTTAAACTCTCCGAGGAGAACTTCGAGGAAGTTCTCGCTCCAAAGGTGAGGCGGGTTATCTACGCGGTAGTCATCCGGCAATTACTCCTAGACGGCGTTTCGAGCACGATCCGCGGGTGCAAAACACGGAACGACGTCCGGGAAAAACTTTCGCAGCTGCAGAAAAAGTTGGCGTTTTGTCTGCAGCCACTGGATTACCGCCGAAGCAGCAGTCGGTGTAGCAAAACGCAGGAATCTAGTACTTGTTCTCGCGACGGAGACGAAGTTGAGGAGAAAGCGCATGTAAAAGCTGGCTCAGCTGCAGGTGGACATCATCAAGTGAGGACAGAAGATGCTGCTGCAGTCAGTACTTCTTCTGGTTGTGAAGACGCTGTGCGGCGCATGTTGAAGCGGAAACGAAGGCGAAAGACGATTTCTGTTGCAGAGCAGGACCATCGCCCGTCGTTTCAACAGCCAGTCGAACTGCCACTGAAGGATTTTTCGTTTTCCAACCTGATTGAAGGAGATCATGTTGGTGGTGAAGAAAAAATCGGCACGAGTCAGCACGACTACAGTACCACATCAACGCCCCACGGCAGCAGGAGCGCACCTCCAACGCCTCACAATACTAACTGCGTCGGCGCGCCGGACGACAGATTTTTTTCCGAAATCCAAGTTTTGTTGGAGGAACTCGAAAGAACGACAAGCAGCTCTCAACAAACCACTCCGCGAAGCAGTGGTCCGGATATAATTGATTCGCGCTTCCACAACATCCACACCTTTATCCTTCGCCACGCAATCCCGGAGTCTTTTGTGGACGGGTTGGCTAGAGTTCTGCTTTTGTCACGATCCGAACGCCACCAGCTCGTCGCGGAGTGTAAAAATGGGTATATCAGAAGAAGACGAACAGCTGGAAGTAGCACCAAAGCGGACCGACAGGAACAAACAGGAACATCAAGTGCGACGAGTTGTACAAGTGATCTGTCCTCAGGTGCTCTGATTTTCGAGCATCTCTTTCGCCCGTTGCCTATTGAGGAACTGGTCACGCTAGATCGGGTGGAGGAGGAAAGGGATGACAAGCCGCCGTATGAACTACACTCCGCTTTAGTTGCAGCTGGAGGCACCGAACTACAAACTTTTCTCGAAGGTGACGGCAACACGGAGCGAAAACAAGGAGTCCACTCCTGCGCTTCCCGTCCCCTAGTTTCGATCCTCCAAAAAACAAAAAGCGGCTGTTCCGCTTCACCAGGTAGACGAAGCGAAGGCTACGAGTTGTCGACATCCTTTGTATTCCGGAGGAGGATCGAAGTGGAAAGAGATGGTGCAGAGCATCAGAAAACCTACCTCCGCCTTCTTGACGACGATCCAGATGTGAGTTGTTGGCGTGAAGTGCGGCGACACGAAGCTTTAAGTCCTTGTGTCTCGAAGGTTGAGGTGGTTTCTTGCACTGGCGCGGCACTGCCACTGCCCGCGAGCGAACTACACGTCGACCAGGTAGCTGTAGCAGGAGAAGAAGATGAGAGCAGCACAACAACTCCGGAAGTAGGTGCAGCAGCAGTTTCAAATCAGCCTGTTTCGGTTCCGCCCGGTGCGAGTCCGGTGACCTGGCTGATTCATTTTCCGACTCCCGCCGCGAGGGAGGAGTTTTTTGCTGGGCGGCAATTATCCCGCTCGTCTAATATCTCCGAGGGCCGCGGCGAAGGAGGTTTGAATAGGGGGCCCGTGGCTGCACCGACTACTGCAAAAATGAGGACTTCTTCATTCAGGAGTACAGGAGCAGGAGACTATGTCGCTCTCAAGAGTAGAACAAGCGCTCGACTGCTGGAACCACTGGCCACGACAACTACAGATGTTGGCGATTCATCAGAATCGAGAGGAACACCAGCTGCAAAGGCAACATCACACGAGCTCCCCCACCTGGACTTTCGGGACCTTTTCTCGTTGAAATCGAACGCGGACGAACGTGAGCTGGGATCAGGAGGAGATTATGGATCTTCGCGCGCAGGAGCCCCAGCCGCGGGAGGTGGCCGTTCGAAAGAACCGCCTGTAGTTTTCTCGAAGATGAGCAGTAAGATGATGCTAAAAGATCGGTTGATCCGCGAGATTGTTTCTGACGTCGAAAGCAAACTCGATAAAGATCTCGGCCCGAGGAAGCGCGATATGCTGCTTGGGAGGACGTATTGACAGATCTTCAGTGGAGGTAGGCGTATGCGTATGTCTACTGTGCAACAATCTCTGTGCGTGGTACTACTACACGTGAAGAACAAAAAGAACAAAGTGAAATAGGAAATCTAACAGTGAGCAAGAACCAGTGTGCGTGTGTTCCGCCGGCACCACAAGAAAACAAGAACCAAAACGATGATCATAAATAACTAGGACCGAGAAATTCCGCAAAGAAATGATCCAGCACTTGGAACTGACTCACCTACAGAACCGGCATCAGAAATTCGGTCAAAAATAATTACATTCACTTCCCGAAGATTACATCTGTCTTCCGAAACAAATTTAGGTCTGACGATGAAGAATTTGAATTTCACCCCTGTAGCGGAGCTACTTCTGTCTACCTCTAACTAGAAGAAGAAAGAAAGCATCGCAATGTCAGTGGTTCGGAAATTTTCCTTTTACGGCAAGAAAAAGTTAGTGGTCGCTCGGTGGTACGCGCTTCGATGTTGTCTGCAATAAATGAAATTTCTGCCCCAGTGACCTGTTGAGGTTGTGCGACGAAGATATTTACTAGAAAGACGCTTTTTCTTTCGCGAAAAGTTTTCGTACTCAGCATCATACTAGTCATGATTCATCATCATATCGTATGTTAACTTAGATTTACCTTAGACGTTACACATTCATAATAGTTACAAAGGCCTTTGCCTTGTATCGTAGAAAGGCGGTTGGGGTTGCTTTTCTACTACTTTTGTCGAAAAGTATTCCTTTTCTAGCACCAGGCATTGTATTTTGTACGGCACACGCCCAGCTCAGTCGTGTTCATTTTCAACCAATCTTCAGCACGAAATTGAAAACGAAGCAAGACGTAGAGCAAATATACTGGCACTTTATCGCCCTATTTTACGGCAGTATCCAATTCCAACTCGTGGGGGAACTACCAATCTACGTGGAACTTCGATTTCCATTTTGTCACTTGTTACTCGCGCTAGGCAGTATCTATGTACCTACGACGCAAAGTAACGCAACCTATATGTTCTTCTAGACCCCAAAGCAACTCCTGACTAAGCTACCCCAGAAATATTATTTGACAACAATTTGTAACAAAATTTCTTGAAACTGAAATAGTTGAATCCCTACGAATATAATGTCAAAAACTTCCTCGACTATCGGCCCCGTTCCCACGTATACCGCATTCGCCGCGCCGTCGGATTTTCCCGCCCTGGATGTTGGCGCGACTAGCACTACGGGAAACAGACAGAACAAGCGCCGGGGCGGTGGGGGCGGTGGGACGGCAACGTCGTCGAGTAAGGGTGGGGGGAAGCACTGGCGGGTAATGCAAAGACCACCGGTTACTTCGAAGGAGCAGAAGGAAACGACCACTTCTACAGCAACGTACGTTATGTCTTCGCAGACGGATAGTCTTCATCTACTTGAAGGTCCTACAACTTCCGGAGGTCCAACGAGCACGGGCTATCACCCGACGGCCAGAGCTGCTGCTGCATCTGGCGGAACCGCAAATAATGGTAGAAGAAATAAAAACCGTGTGGGTCCCGCACCGCTAGTGGATGAACTCGAGCCTGGTATTAAAAATGGTAATGGAACAAGTAGTAGACCACAAGCCCAACAAAGAACGCCGCCAACGACAGCATCCTCGTCCTCTTCTCGCGAGATAACGAACTCCGGTGCAGCTCCTGGTGGACCATTACAGTCACAGCCTCGGTTCGACAGTGCGGCGGAGAAAAGTTACCTGGAGTTGCAGGGCCAAGAAGAAAATCTTATCCCAGGAACTACAGGAGATGACATGCAGCGGCGGCCCCGGAACAACCGGCAAAATAAACCGGGGAGACGGGACCGGATGCGCATGCGCGAGGAGCGGGAGAGACAGGAACAAGGACAACAACTACATCAAGTGCCGTCAACATCTACAACTTCGGGCATCATGTTTAAGGAAGTTCCCTTTAGCGAGGAGCAGGAGGAACTGCGGCAAAGGCGGCAGGACGAAGAGCTGATCGTCCTCGATGGTGGCGGGGGCTCCAAGCGGAGCAATTACACGCCGAGAAGCAAGAAATTGGAGCAGGCCGACGCCGGTTTGTACAATGCATTTGCGACTTCTGCCATGGAGGAGCGGAGAGTCGGGAGCGTAGGTGTAGAGAATGATAAAGCAGGGGCCTCGGCACTATCGGCTAGGAGCAGAAGAAGAGGAGAACTACCGAAAGAGCCACCAGCAGCATCATCTACTCCTGCCACATCAAAACAACTACACCCCCGACGAGGAGATGATACAGACAGAGAAGTGCTAGATGACCTTCCTGTCGTCCCGGTAAATGAAATAAAGGAAACCAAAAATGTTGACAAAGACGACAGCGCACCTCCACTTCTAGCCTCCTCCCCCGCGGGCGCGAAGCCGAAACTGCGGCCGAAAAAGAAGAAGCCGGACGAGATTGACGTACAGAAGGAGCATTTGCGACGGCTAGCCAAGTTCAAAACCGAGTTCGTAAAGGAACTACGCACCGAGCAGTTTCGCAAGAGGCAGTTCCTGGACAGGCCGCTTGCGGAACAACAAGAAGACGATCAGGAGAGAGACGAAGCAGATATCAACTACTTCGAAGAAAAAGCGCGGGTGGAAAACTACTTGCAAACCCTGGCGAAAAAGCAGGAGTTGCAGCCGAACCGGAAGCAAGCCATGAACTTGGCGTTTCGACGGATCCAGCAGGCCACCGAGGAGCTGTTCGGCGACAAGGCCACGGTGGAGCTCTTCGGCTCCGTGGTGAATGGATGCGCGACAAACGCAAGTGATTACGATTGCGGCATAAGGTTCGTGGAAAACGAAAAGACCCTGAAGGAATTGCTCCGAGCGGAGGATTTGAGTACTCCTTGTTCTAGACTGTTTTTTAGGTCGTGCACGATTTTGATGCTTAGAAAAAAAGACGTAGTACTAGCTAGTCCTTCTAGTTCTATCTTGATTCACACAGAAGTTCTGAAAATAAATTATCGTGATTTTTTACACGACCTGCTCAAGGGAGGTCGTGCTACTTACTCTCGCTGAAAATAAATCAGAAGAGAAATTTCCAGATCCAGAAAAATGAAACCCCACGTACAATTTTTCCAGGTTACGCCACGTCCGGCGGGCGTCGGGTTCGCGCGGGCAACGAGCTGTCTGTGGCGGCGTTGCGGAAGATCCAGAAGCACATGCAGAAGGACGAGAAGTGCAAGAGGACGACCCTGATCGAGGGCGCGAAGGTGCCCATTCTGCAGCTGGAGTTTTTTCCGAAGGAGGAGAAGTTCAAGCCGAGTTGCTTCGACATTTCGATCACCACCAAGATGTGGACGTACGACAACAGCCGGCTTTTGTACTTGTACCTGCACCTGCAACCCAACCGGATCATCCGGCACTTGGCGGTGCTGGTGAAGCAGTACGTGAAGGAACGGAACCTGGGGTCCGCGAAGGAATCGATGCTGAGCTCCTACAGCTACCTGCTCCTGCTCATCCACTACTTGCAGGTGCTGGACTACCTCCCGGGGCTGCAGGACCCCTCGCTCATCTGCCACAGCTGGGACGAGAATTATGGCGGCACGGCGGGCACCTCCAAAACGACCCCCGAACCGGTCGTGTACGAGCACCACTACGATGAGGAAACGGGGGAGTTGCGGCGCACGCGGTCCAACCCCCCGCCGCAGCTTTCCAAGGCGGGCGTCCACTACGGCGAAACGTACCGGTTCTTCGACTACGAACGGGCGTGGGACGAGAAGAACAACCCGCAGATCGACGACCGCCTGCTGTCCACGACGGAAAGGGTGCTCGCGAAGGGGAAAAAGGCCCGGCCGGTGAACCGGACCGGGGCGGACTTCGTGACGGAGTTCCACCTGCAGCGGGTGGACAAGGACGGAGGCCCGGATCTGATGACGCTGTTCAAGGGCTTCCTGAAGTACTACGCCGAGGTGTGGCGGACGGGGACGAGCGTGCTCACCAAGTCCATGGTCTCCGTCAAGGCGGTCCGGATAAAAGACGAATTCGTGCATTACTACTACGATCACGGAAGTAGACCTAGAAGTGGCAGTGGGACAGCAGGAGGAGTCGCGGAGCCGGCGAGTGCGGAAGGTCGTGCGGCCGCGACGGTCGACGTGTCGACGGCAGCAGTAGAGGAGGACGGTTCTGGTGATCTTGGAAAAAACGGAAAAGCAGGGGGGAAAATATTGACAAAAAACGGAGAAGATCCAGCTTCTTGGGACGACGAGCCACCAGAGGTGAAGGAAGACCTGCCGCAGCAGGAGAACCCCGATTTATTTTCGAGCGTCAGCAACATCAATTAAGGCTCAAAAAAATCCATCCGCTCAACGGCTCCCAAAATGTTTGAAGCCTGGCCAGAAAAAAGGCATCTGCGCAAGAAGACACGCGCAGCAGTTTGTGACGCTCGGCTCCGTGAGCGCGTTCGCGCTGCAAAGTAGCGATTTGATTTTTTGAACCTTTTTGCGGACCTTCATTTGTGATCGTGCGCCTTTCGGGGCGGAAAAGGAGCTGGGAGCGTTTTATCATCGTTTCCCGCTCTTTCGCAACACTCTGTGACTTGCAGAGCTTGCAAATTTCTTTCAAACTTCAGTTGAAGTTCAAATTTGACTTGAAGCTTTAAGTCAAATTTGAGCTTCAGCTGAAGTTTGAAAGAATTGAACTAGTCCCACAAGTGGGTCCAACAAACAAATTTCCAATAGGATTCGGCGTTTTCCGGACTTCTGTCGGACACCGCTGAAGGAGTAGAGCAAACAAATTTGCGCAGAAAATTGAATACCTGCAAATGTACGCGAAACGGTGAAAGGTAGGAAAAGGCTGTCAAAATGGTCGCAGCTCGTGTTTTTTGATGCTCGACGGGGGGCGCTTTACAAACTACAGCCACAGCATCGGCGACGGCATGCAAAGTGAAGCTGTGATATGAGTACGGTCTCGCCAACCGCATTGCAACAGCTCGCGCACACAGATCGCGCAAAGTGCTTGGCTTTGCTCCTCGAATGCGAAGCGGGGCCCTATCGACTTTTCATCCCTTGCAAGAATTACTTCAGCAAACATTTTGGGAACCGGGCTCGGAATGGATTTTTTTCACCCCTAAATCAAGACATCAAATCCAGGAAGAAAAGCTGCAGATGAAGAAGTAGAAGACCAAGAAGAAAAACAGCCCGCTGGTCTCGAGGACTCCGCGACCGCCGCCGCCGCGGACGAGATGTACCGCGCGAAGCTGATGGTGCAGATGCGGGACCCGCGAGAGCTGGAGAAACTGCTGCTGAACCAGCCGGGGCTCGTGAATTTGGAACATGTCGAGCGGGACTTTTGTCCGAAAAAATCACGGCAAAACGACTGGTACTTCATGATCGAGGACCCCATCCAACCAGACCGGTTTCTGGGCCTCAACCGCGACAACCACGAGTGGTGGACCTGGATGCTGGGGGACGACCTGCGCGAACTCTCGCGGAAAGACCTGCAGCTGAGGCACGTCGAAAAAATCTTCGGACGCAAACTGGAGGACATACACTGAAAATCGAATCACCTTGTTGATGCCGTGCTTCATCTGCGTGGGAACGTGGACGAGGAACAAGCGGCCTAAATGTCTTCTGTGCCGTCGGCCGTTGCTGCGGGGACAAGGTGGTGCTGGATGTAGTCGAAAGTGATGTGATTGGTTTTGCACTTGTTGTTGTCCGAGTCGTGATAGAAAGTGGCTCATTGCTTTCCATATTCTTGCAATGATGGACGAGAAAGAAAAGTAGTGGCGCGAACTGCGATGAACACCAAGTAGAACCCGCATCATGGAATCGGCAAGAATAAGGTGTGTCAAATTCACTTTCACACACAGAAATTGGCGCTATTTGTGTCGTCCTAGCAAGAACGGCTGCAGCAGTCCTCAAGATGCCACTGCCAGCAATTTTATCGACGAAGGCGATGATGTCGTCGTGTTACCACTAAGAGCGTGCGCGTCCGTTTATTTTCCGTACTTCTCGAAGTGCAGACTCTGTGCGCCAATTATCACAGCTCTGAAGCTTCCGCACCGCGCCCGGGCGGGCCGTTCCTTCGGTCTGGTGCGTGGGCTGACGGGGCGCGGCGAAGCTCTTCGGAGCAAGGCGAGGGCAGACTGGGGACCGCCCAAGTGGCGCGGGGCCTCGTGTTGAAAAGGCGCGACGGTGTGCGCCCATTCTTACAGGAGCCCCCTCGCGGTCGCTACCTAGCCAGGCAGTTCGCTGCCCCGGCGCGCCCGTCGACTGAGGGCCCGGATGGCGCCGCGCAGCTTGCCGGCGCGAAGCCTGCAAAAGCCCAGAATGAAGGCGAGGGAGAGGGCGAAGGGGCGCACCTATGAGCCTCGGGGCCCTTCCTGGTGCGCTGGGGGCTTCGCAGATATTCGCGCCGCGCGGCCTCGGCCGTATTTGTGGATGTGTGGCAGGCCGGGGGGGGCGTGTTCGTGCCGCGAGCGCCGGCCGGCCCTGGTTGTGTGGGTGCTAGCTTGGCCGCCGGCCCTTGCCCTTTGTGGCGCATTGGGCTTTTTCGACGCATGCCCCGTCCGGTAGGCGCGCCCCCCCATCAGGCCCATTGGCGCAGAACCGCCGGGAACGAACGTCATGGATAGTTTTCTCGCCGAGTCCAAAAATGGCCCCGCCCCGGCCGCCAGGAGTTCGCTCCATCCTTCCCGGCCGCCCGCGTTTGTCTGCGCATGGGCCCCCCGACCGTGTCGCCAGCGCGCAGGCGCCCCCGCGCACCTGGTGGCGCGGGGGCGCGGTCGCGGGCGCCAGAAAACGGGGCAGCCCCCCCCCCCCGGTGGGCCGGCCGCGGCAAGTAGCCCGGCCGCGAAAAACTACTAGACAAGGGGCGAAGCCCTGCAGGCTCGCACCGGCCGGCGCGCGGCCGTTCGCAGATGCGCAAAACAGGGCGCGGAGTAACGTGGCGAATGATATGGAGAGCCCGGGTAGAACGCTCGGCCCCGACGTGCCCGCCTCCGGCGACTGCGTCGGTCGGTCGCGCTACATCGATCTCGATCGACGTTGCCTTTGGCGGCAGCGGCGACCTTTGTTTCGGGGGAGCGCGGTCGGATCAGGTCCAAAGTATGAACTCGCTAGCGTTCTCGTGTATCAGAATGGGCGCTGCTTCTGTGCAAAACCTTGGCGCGAGGGGACGGCGGTCATTGACGACGGGAGGTTGGCGTTAAAACGTCCGCGCAGGTTGGCAGGCCGCCGCCTGGGGTTGGATCGATGGCCGTCCGCAGCGGCATTCCGTCCCATCCTGTGGCGCGTTGTCCCTGCCTTCCACCCCCTGCGGGGGTGGGGGCGGGCGTGGTGCCCCTTCCCCTGTCGCTCCTCGCGCGCCCCCCCTTACTAAATCCCGAGGCCGCACCCACTTGGGCGCGCACCTTGCCCCGATACTATTCACAGTTGCCTTTGTATGTGTCGGCGGGCGGCCGCGGCCACTGGTGTGCTCGCTTCGAAGGACCAGTGTGTGGCGCGCTGGCTCCGGTCGCGTTTGCTGTGGCCGCTGGCCCGCGCGCGGCACGTGCGGGCGAACCTGGCGCTGGCTTGCTTGTTCCTTGTTGCGGGTTTTTTCCCGGAACGGCGCCTGCTGCTGCCATTTGACTCCCGTCCCCGTGAAAGCCTCATCCGCCGTAGGGGCGGGCGGGCGAAGCCGGCGAGCGATCTCTTATAGCCAGAACCCCCTTGTTGCGTGGCGCGTCCGTTCGGCTTGCAGCAAAGCCTGCCTTGATCTTACTTGTCTCGGGCGCTGTAGTAATCTGGCCTGCTGTACGTGTAGTGTTCTTGTTTCTGGTATTGTAACTTGAGGAGCTGGTTGGTGTAGTCCGTTATGTTTCCTTTTCGTTCCGCATAGTATGTGCGCGCCTGGATTTTATCTAGCCGAGACTAATTGGTTGCCTTTGTCCCCGCAGCGACAAAAACGAGAAGTGTGCGCTTTCCGCCTCACTGACATGGCGCTTGCATCTCGGTCTTTTTCGGTGCACTCAGATTAAAGTCATGTCTGCTGCGGGTCCGGCAATTTTATTGGCTGCCGCCGGGTCCCTCGAGGGCCTGGACCTTGCACGATCGGCGTCCGATGTTGATCGTTCCCGTCGTAGTAACAAAAAAACCGATCCGGCCGACGCCGTTGAGGCAACGATCAAGCGGAAACTGGCAGAACCGCAAACGACATCATCAGCAGGCTCATCCTTTGTCGAGAAGTACCAAGCCGGCGAGCTGTGGCACTCCGGAGAAGTAGCTAGAAGTGCAGATGATGTTCTTCCCCGTGGTCCCGATGATCTCGCAGTCCAGAATGTGGATGACGAGGCAGCTGTTGGACCCGCCGCACTTGCTCTCGGGGGCGGCGGGCATTCCGATTCCCCCTCGACGATCAGGAAAAATATGATGAATAAAGGTCGGACTGTCTCGTCTGAAAAGCAAAAAGTGGAAGTAGAGCAGGAAACTTCGAGCGCATCTTGGTGCAGTGAGAACGCGATTGCGGAGGTGATTCCCTTTCTTTCCGCGTCACTCTGGGAACAGTACGTGCAGGCAGACGAAGGTCACGGCGCTTTGGTTCTGTCCGAACCTTTCATCGGCAAGAACGCCGAGGTGGGATTGGTCGGTGCTGTGGTGCGTGGGGTAAGGCACGCCTTCGCTCAGGTGTCTGTGCGCGTTGGGATCGTTGCTCCTTCATCTTCTAGCGGGGATGAGCAAAGTCGTGATCATGCCGTGCGGGATAATGAAAGCGACAACAAGACGAGCAAAAGTGCAGCGGTGAAGCAATGCGGCAACAAGAAAAGCACAAACTCAACTTCTACGAGTGACGCACCTGAAGAAGACATGTTCCATCACGAGATCCAGCTTCCGGAGCCGAGAAACCCTGATGCTGACGTGTTGATCATCGGCTTGACGAGCGAATTGGCGATGCGTGTGCCACAAGTATTCTTTGGAGGTAGTGAAGAGAATAAACAAGTCATGGTGGGTGATCCTGCTGATGTCTCTCCCTCCGGAACGAAATCGAACACCAAAGCCAATCCACCGCCAGTGCACCTACCTGAGAAAAGCAGTGGCACGAGCACTTGGGCAAGCTGGTTCGGGTCGAGCTTCGGTTTTTCTAATTCCAAGAATGATAGTACCGCACTCGATTTTTACCGGAAACCCCCGCAAATTACGCCTCTGGACATATGTTTCCTGCCGTTTTCCGCTGTGGCAGGTCGGGCCGTAGAACAAGCAGCCACTACTGCGAACGCCTCGCAGGCGTCCGCCTCACAGAAAGAGAAAAACAAAAACAACAAATGTAACGCGTCTGCTGGTACATCTAATCCGAACCACTGCAATAAAAGCAGAACCATGATTTTTCTGTCCAACCCGACCTCTTCCGGTGCCGCGTTCCTGTATTTCGAAATTAGCCGGACCATCGACATCAAGCGCGCCCTCGCGCCGGTGTGCAACGACATCCTGTTGCATCAGAGTAGCATCGGCAAAGACGCGAAGGAGGAACAGGAGGGGGGGAAAACTTACAACGAAATGTGGTTTCAGAAAGACGACGGGGGCTGCACCTCCTCGAATGACGAGAAAAATTTGTTTGCGTCTTGCGGCGACAGAAAGACCCGCCCGCCCCAGATCCCGCTGGCACTGGACCAGTTGGCGCGCAAGTGCTACTTGAAGAGCAACTATCCAACGGAACAGGAGCAGAAACAGGTACAGGAGCTGTTTGAGTACTTGCTGTCGCAGGTCAGTGAAGCCGCAGTCTTGGAAAAGCTGCAGGACCAGCAGCCAGTAGCGCTAGACGGTACTTCTATGGGCAAAAACGTCGAGAAAAACAACCAGAAGAAGACGCCACCCACTTCCGAGCAACAACCCGCAAGACCTAACGTCCTTACTTGGGGCGCGTTGTTTCATCCGACGGCCGTGGACTTCAAAACGGCAAAAGTCCGGATCGCCAGTGTGGTTTCAATGAAAATACGCCCAGCGAGGACCACGTCGACAGGTGGAATTAGTCCAAAACTACAACATCAACCCTTCGAGGCGCTTTTTCTCCGGCCCTCGCAACTGCAGCCCCCACCGGGTGCGCCCGCGAACGCGAAGGTGGTGGAGGTTGTGTGCCTCAAATTTCCAAGCAAAGAGTCGGTAGAGGTGTTTTTGGATCACGAGTACGTTTCCGTGATGGAGTATGTATACCCGCGAGAAAGGACAACAAGAACTAACAGTAAAGAAGGTGGTGATGTGGTCCTCAGCAAGGTTGACGGGTTTCAGAGACTGGGGATCCTCTTGTTGATGTTTCACCAGGGCATTTTGCAAATTTTCACGGACGCGGAACATGAATGATGTCGGCAGTGTGTAGGAGAGGAACATTTTGAGGCCAAAACACAAACTGATTTCAAGATGTAGTTGTCTATAATTCGTACTGAAACAAACGCAGGTAGTTGGCTAGTCACGCGTTCTCGATTCCGGCGAAGCAGATCTTTGTAATCCTAGAACGTGGTATTCTCTTGCACTAGGGATTGAGTTTAAGAATGCCTGCTTATCTATCGCTTCAAAAATGAATCATATGTAGTGAGGTCACCGAACGGTTCTAACCAGGGAGTTTTTTTGACACCTACCCTGAAAAACGACCGGCAGTTTTCAAGCGGCCGGAGGCGTTTTTTGACATAAAAAATTTATAATTATCAAGCGGACGGGGCTTTGCCATCAAACAAGCCCGGTCGAAAACTATCGATTCGCACTGGATAAAACGACGCAGGGGAGCCGGCAAAAGGGGCGCCCTTCCGAGGCGGCCACCGCCTTAGTTTCTGGCGATTTGGGGCGCCCAAAAAGGGGCGCGCAAAAAACGCGTCCAAAATCAGAACAGCGAAACAGCATGGCACGGCCGCGATTTCGGAGCATTTTCGGCGGCCGCGAAAGCGGCCGCCTTTTCGCCGGTTTCAGAGCCTGGGAAGCTTTGCAAAAAGCGCCGGCGTGAAAAATAAAAACGCGAAAAAGAAAAAGCGCGCCAGACGCGCAAAGCCAATCCGCATGCTATGGGCCCGGTTTTTCTTCGCTTTCTGGGCGGCCCCCGTGGCACCCGGATCGGCCCCATAGCATCGGGGCTGGCTTTCGGAAAGTAATTTTGGAAATGTGCCAAAATTTGCAACGTTTCCCAAGTGGCCATCATACCGTGCGGCATAACGTTACTCACGGTGGTATGACGAGCCCATAAAAAGCAAAGCCGCGGCCAAGGCTGCGGTCGGCAAAAAAACGCCCACGACCTCACTACCCCCGCCCCAGCGGCTATATTTGATACTAGTCATTGATTAGTGATGCGAAAGCGAATAAAGGCGACTCAAAGTGGAGTACTTGAGCGACGGATGAGAGCGCAGGTGTGAGTCTTGTCGAGTGGAGCAGTCAAGAAGCAAATGCGTCTCTGTTGAGCGAGCAAATTTAGAAATTGGTTTGTTTTTAGTGCAATAAAACGAAAAATTAAATTGGGTATACAGATGTGTTGCCACATGACGACCAGAAACATAAAAGCGAGGTTCGTATAATTTTTGCAGCGACTCACTTTGACTTCACCTTCACGTAGTGGCTTTTGACCCAACGCCACTGCACACTAGAAAGATAGTTTCCCACTTCTGGATGATGTGTAACTAAAACCGACCTTCTTATTCTTACATTCAGACGGCAAGGTTTACACCCACCGTGACCTATTTGGAGAGGCATGTTTGTCGACCAAAAGCTTCGTACCGTACTAGTGTAGTGCCACGACTTTGTTCGTATTTACTATTAGCATCAACCCAACATAACGAATCACGAAATTTTGATAGCAATTTGAATTCGCTGCAAGGTTCATCTCCAATTCCAGCATCCTAAGAAACCCAAGATGTCCTCTCCCGAGTCCTCCCCGAAGCGGCGCAGCCGCAAGTCGCCGCAGCAATCTCCCGAGCGGGTTGCAAGTATTTACGAGGACGCGAATGAGAATCAGGAGTCTTGGTCCTCCTACCTGTTCACTCAGGGCCAGCACTACCTTACCGGCTTTCGCTATCACGAGAAAAAAGTGTTACAGTTACACATTTGTTGGAGTTTCTGCATCACAAATTTTCTGTGTGTGGCAAGGAAAACTTGTAATGCGAAGATCATAAGGGAAAACAGGAAGGAAACGAGGCTTCCAAGCATTTCCTGCATGAGAAAGGTTGTCTGTGTTGCCGGTCTTGCAACACAATGTGTAACTGTAACACTTTTTTCTTGCGATATTCGCGGGTTGTTGGAACACGGCATGGCGCACAACAGCGACATCAGGAATTTCGCCGTGATATCACCAATATGCATTGCAAAACTATCGTACTAGTATAAATTGCATTACAAATTTTCCCAAGAACAAAAATGCAATTTGTCATGCTGCTTCAGGTAGAAAGTTGAATTTGTCTTCCATATCTGCAATTAGTACGAGTACGATGCTTTTGCACAGGATAACCCACGGATGTTGGGGCAATAGGAGCGAACAGAATAAAGAACTCACCCGGAGGTGGGAAGAACTCCAGTTCGTCTTCCAGTCGACGGCCGAGTGAGATGAAGGAAACGTCGAACCAGCAATTGGTGCCCGTCGACCCAAGTACTTCTAGAACCCTGACGAATAAAGTGAAGACCACGGTTCTCTCTTTCCTCGACCGGGCTTTTGAGCAGTGGCGATCGCTGACGCTGCAAAACCGCAAATCGGTGTTGCTCGCAGCGTTCCTGCTTTCCATGTCCATCCGGCAGAGAAAACTCGCGACCTGTTGCGTCGGGGCGTACTTTATCAAATGTAAAAATGTCTGGGTCTGGAAGGTTGGAACTTGTCATGCTGTTTTTGAACTGTACAAAAATTTGTATTGCATGACCAGCAAGAGGCGGGGTACAGTTTTTGCTACACGGACAGGGCATTTCTCATGCGGAAGGTGCATCAGGAAGCCCTCTAAAAGTCTGCGATGCTAGGCCAAGCATTACAGGCATCATGGGTCATGAGAAATATGCATGACAAGTCTTGCATTCTTCCAGACCCAGACATTTTTGCATTTGATATACTTTTTTTCCGCGGTTCCTTCCTCAAATTCCTTCGAGTCCGCCTTTAAATCCTGGTTTCACGAAGTCTATGGATTGCAAATATGTCTGGGTCTGGAAGAGCCAAACTTGTGATGCTGCATTTGGATGCTACAGAAATCTGTATTGCATGAGGAGCAAGAGGAGCCAAACTTGGCTACGCGGTGGAGAGGGCATCTGTCATGCAGGATGCGCATCGATAGGCGCTCAAAAAATCTGTGCTGCTAATATGGCATACATCAAAGACATCATGGATCATGGAAAATGTGCATGACAAACTTTTCCTCTTCCAGACCCAGACATTTTTACAGTTGATAAAGTCTACTTTCCAACGATTGTCTTTCGGTTTCACGAAATCTACCGGAAAAGGCTGGCGGAGGGGGTCGTGGCGGGGACGACCACGACAGCAAACGCCAGCGGCGACCCAACAAATTCAGCCACGACGGAACGCACGGCGGCGCTGAAGCAGATGGCGGCCTCCGGCTTGACGCAGCTGAAGAATTTGCTGCAAGCGCAGGAGAAGAAACTCCCGACGGTCACCTTCGTCTACGAACAAGTCGTTAAAAAGTACCCGAACGACTTTGTGGACTGCGCGCTGTGCAAAGTGGCCTGCAAGGAGAAGAGTTTGTTCAAGATCCGGTTTCTCGGTTGTCTCAACCGGTGGAGCAACATGGTGCTCCTCCCATGGGAGGAGGTAAGCAGCGGGAAAGACAATTCGCGAAAATCGGCGCCCAGCGTGTACGACGACGAAGTTTTACAGCAGTTGGCCGAGGACTGTATCTTGCGCGAACAGGAATTGGCCGGGTGACATGTAAGCAGTGTTCTTGGCACAGCCACAGCATGTTGTAGTACATCGCGAATCATGAAGGTTGAATCGAACAAACTGAGATTATTGCGTTGTGGCAGCTGCCTCCGTGCTGTCACGCCGGCAGTGATGCCTTCAATCATGTTGAATATAGAAGATAGAACGAATTTGTGTGACAAAAGTGTAGAAAACATGACTCAATAGTGCGAGTAAAAAGAGACAGCAACAGCTGAGGCTTCAAGAACATTTTTACTTCACTGCTGACACGATGTCTCCTGTTGTTCTCCGTTTATCGTGTGGCTATTATTGTGCACCACGGAGTGAATGCTTGGTCTGCAGCGTTTTTTGTGTTTGCATTTGATTCTGTATTTATTTTGCCGGGAAAGCATAATTTTGATTTTCGGTCGCGTGGAACGCGTCAGATCTTTTGATTTTGGCTTTGCTCTTGCGATCCCGATCCGCTCGGCTTTTCAATGCAAATAATTTTTCTCTGCCGCAAGTTTGTCAAGCTCAAGTTGCTGCTCAAGCAACGCAAACAGGGCAGATGATGACTTCTGTTTTGCCGCGTTCTTGTCTTCGAGGCATGTTACGGTTTTTCATCGAAATGGAGCGTTTCGATGTGATGACGGCATGATATACCGATCACAAAATATGAGAAAGAACAACAGTAAGAGAAGAACATCATGAGCGATCATTCCTCGTCTTCCTTCTCCGCCTTTCTGAAAAACGCAGGTCAGCCGAAGGTTTGCATTTCCCATGTCGCTTTCAAAGCGGTCGGGATTGTGTTCTACCTGCTGGGTTCCTTTTTCATGGGCTACGTGAACACCTTTGTGGTAGTTACGCTTGCCGTGGCTTTTGACTTTTGGACCGTGAAGAATGTCACGGGGAGATTGCTGGTATAATTTCAGTACACATGTATAGTTGCCTTCACCATCACCTCCTTCTTGAGTGCATGTTGACAGATTTTTGATGCAACCCTGTACGTTTTTTTTGTAGCAACACAGATATACAACAACTCGAATTCACTACTTTCATTCAATCACTCTCATCTTGCTCAGCTCTTGCCACCGTGGTGCCAAAACCCTTCAGGTCGGCCTCCGTTGGTGGAACGACATTCAGGAAGACGGTAGCTCCGTGTGGGTATTCGAGGCCGGACAGGAGGTGACGGACTCGCCCCTGGACGATCAGAACAACAACTCTACTTTTTCCACCCATGCACGACCTCCACCTCCGCTTACGCTCACTCCAAAAGCCGCGGCGGACAAGTTCATTTTTTGGAACGGCATGTACCTTTGGGTGTTGTTCTATGACAGTGCACAACTCCCCCTCTCCCTCAGTTGTATTGCATGAACAGCAATACAGACACCAGCGCACATGGAGCCTAAGCATGACAAATCTATGCTGTGCCTAATGTAGTGCTGTTTGGGCTTCCGGAATTTGTCATGCAAACAGTGCCACAAGGCAGCGACTGGATTTGGGATTTGCATGACAAATGAGGGGGGCGGGGAGTTGTGCACTGTCATATGTTCTGGACCGGCGCAACCGTGTTGAACGTTCTCACCTTTTCCTTTTCCTGGCTCCTGTATGGAAGCGTCAGGTTTGAAATCGTCAAAGTTCAAATAATTTGTAATGCATAAAATGCCTGGCCCGAGGTGCGTGTGTTGCAGAGCAGGCAAGTGTGGCCGATTGTAAGCCTGTTTGGGGTTACAGCTCGAGCTGCTAAAGTAGCATGAGAAAATCACTCTTCTTTGCCTAAACAGCATGACAGAGTGGATTTACATTTAGGGACCACCGAGATTTGTCATGCGCCACTTGGAAACTGGGTTCCAACTGGCATCCATTTTATGCATGACAAATTATATTCAACTTTGTCGATTTCAACTCTGACACGTCCATATCCTGCTGTCCGTCTGCGGACTGGGGTTCGCGTTGGCCAATCTGGTCGGGTTCTGGAAGTTATCAAATGTAAAAATGTCTGGGTCAGGGTCTGGAAGAATCCAACTTGTGATGCTGCATTTGGATTCCAAAAAAATCTGTATTGCATGAGTACCAAAGGGGTGTAATTCTTGCTACGCGGAGAGGGCATTTGCCATGCGGAATAGGCATCAAGAAGCTCTCAAAAAATCTGTGATGCAAGGGCATGCATCACAGACATCAGGGCTCATGCAAAACGTGCATGACAAGTGTCTGAATCTTCCAGACCCAGACATTTTTACAGTTGATAGAAGTGCAGCCGCGACGCCAAGCAGCGCCTGTTCGAGGACTTGAAGGGACCCCAGTTGATGCAGGCCTCGATGAAGCTAGCGCAGTTTGTCAACTTGAGCGGCGCGGTCGCGAGCAGAGGTGCGGGAGGTGGGTCCGGTGGCAGCAGCACACGGGCATCTAGCACCGCCAGTACTTCTAGCGGGTTGCCGGTTGCTCTAGACCTACCCCCAATACCACCGTTGGAAGTTGTAGAAACAAAAATTGGAAAGTCGAGCGTGCCGTCCTCTTCTAGTAGTACACCTTCGAATGCTGTGTGAAGATGCTGGTGATTTTGCTGGTCCATCTTGTAAAGAGCAAGAGCCCAAGATCAAGTGTATTCTTGCAAGTAGCCAGCAAGTGGAGCATAATTATAACGATCATGCAGTTGTACGTGTACCTCTGACGCGACGTGTGTCGATGGTCAAAAGGGAAAGAAATGGGAGTTTTTCTTCAAACAAGCACTACGACCTTGTGTGATGTTCTCGTTTGTTTGCTGCAGAGCAAGCCGGCAGTGTCTATTGTAATGAGAGAGCGCCAACTACGCTATTGCTTCTGACTGAAGTAAACGTTGCAACGTGTTCATGTTGAAGATGACACCAACAAGAACCTTATATTATTTAGATACTCGCGCACCACGAAAAAATGTCGAGCATTGAGGCAGAAACTGTGCACAACACCTCTTGCAGCAGGAGCCTGACGTGAGCAAGAAGACGCGCGAGTAGAACTACCTGTCGCTGACGTTACCACGCGAGCGTGGGGACAGCTGATCCACCGAAGGGATGATTCTTGCAAGAAATACCTACCTTTCCCCCGGCGGATCATTGCGCTCCGCAGCCTCGAACACCTCCCTTCGGTTGCCAGCATTCCAACACAATACTGTAGTCGGTACCGCTCCTACTCTAACAGTAACAACATCTTCTGCGTCTTCCTCTTCTTCTTCCAGAACTGTGCTTGGTTCCAGACATGATCTGCTTCTTCCACCCCGGCTACTTCTGCCACACCGGAGAACCTTCCTCACCGCCTCCCCAGCCCGCTTCGGGAAGGGGGTCGGTTACGGTATTTCGGAGAACGTGATCGGCGGTAACCGGGACACGCTCTACCACTACAAACGCGTCAGGCTGTCTATGCATCGTGGCAAAATAAGTATCGTATTTGTACGGATTGCGCTCTTGCACTTGCTCTTGCATGGCAGATGCAGATCATGTTGGTTACGACCTGAATCTGCATGACAAACGCATTTTTGCTTTTGAAAGGATCATTTGTTGTGCAATTACCACTCGTACGATAGTTTTGCAATGCATACTTTCCAACAACCACCAGCTCCCCTTGGAGAGGCTCACGAACTTTTCCCGCGAGTGCGTTTTCGACAGCAAGCAGAAGCAGAGCGCGAATATGACATATGCATAGAAAAAAACTGTGTAAGTGTAAGGTTGTATAATGCAAAGCTTGCAACATAGTTACGCGTGTCATGTTAGCCAGCCAGGAAATCATACGTTCATATGTGTTTTCACTGTACTAGCTGTGCATGACAGGTTCCTGCTTCATGCAGAACATATTTTTCACGCTGTCATTTTTGCAGCACGAGAGCTGCACTCAACATCGCCAGTTTTTTCTTCTGTATATGACCAAGCGCGACGCGACTGAGAAAACGGTGGAGTTCACCAAGTTTCCGGGCGTGGTCTCGAAACTGGGGGCAGAGTACTATTTCCGCGAGGACCAGAAATCGGAGCAGATGCGGTTTTTTCACATGCGGACGACGTCGCAAGACGTGGCTTTCGTGGGCTCGGTGGACATATCAAATGCAAAAATGTGTGGGTCTGGAAGGATCCGAACTTGTGATGCGAATTCAACTACAGGCGCAAATCTCTCATGCATAGACAGCAAAAGGTGCCTACTTCCTGTCACCAAAAAGGGGGATTAAGCATTACGGAGCATTCTCGAAATCTGTGATGCTAGGGCTTCCATAACAGACTTTCGGTGTCATGCAAAAACAGCATGACAAAAATCTGCATTCTTCCAGACCCAGACATTTTTGCATTTGATAGGACAGCCGGAAGCGGGAGACGCGGACGGTGGAAAACTGCCTCCACGAGAACACCCGCGGCTACGTATCAAAAGGAAAAATCCCCCCTCCCCATGTCAAAATAAAATTTCTGATGCTGCATTTGCGTACACAAATCCGATTTCTCTTGCAGTAAGGCAACGCAGCCAGATCTTCGGCCTAGGTAGGGGCGTTTGGGTCTAGTTGCTTAGCATTACAAACGGCTGTCCGCTAGGCGCAACAGCATGCCAAAGCGCTTCCATAATGGCGCGGAAGCCTCTACACTTGTCTGCTTGCAAGACAGACGTGATTTGTGGTCTCAAATCAGCAACACAAACGCACCTGTTCGATATGGGGATGGGGGATTTTTCCTCGCAATACTACGCGGCCCAGGTGATTATGGAGGGGCGCGGCGTGAAACTGTACTGGAACCCGGCGTATCCAAAACTCGCCGGGCGAAAGGGCGTGGGGGACAAGGCGTATCAACTGTAAAAATGTCTGGGTCTGGAACTTTGCCCGACTTGTCATGCAGGTTTTCCATGACCCATATGATCCGTAATGGAGGACCTAGCATGACAGATTCCGTGAGATCACTATCATGCCTATCTTGCATCAGAAACTGCCTCTCAACTCGCCGTTTCTATGGAAACGCATACAAAAGGGTGCGGGAAGCAGATCGGTAAAACGTGTCTGAAAAGGACACGCCGTTGGGTCGTCCGCCATCGTGATAGGATCGCCGTGGCTGATCATTAGACCCCCTGTATATTTTTTTAGCGCGCAACCGGCCACGCGCGTAGGTCTTCGAGCAAGTTTGTAAGACTAACCCATCAAGGCAATGCTGGAACTCCACCTTGCTCGCGGGCTTGGATGGTAAGGCAGGTCAGCCACACATCGCGCCCACTGGTTGCAGCCATGCGTGAGCAATCGATAACGGTTCTGCAGGTGCAGTCGGGTGGTAGTTAGGAAGTGGGCCGCGTCTCCACCTAGGGGTATCGGCAGAGGCTAAATCTGTTCTAGCGCCCAGGTATTGGCAGAGGCTAAATCTGTTCTAACGCCGACCCGCCAGGAGTTAAATGGTGCTACTACTACTAACTCGATCAAAAGTGGGCAGCATTTGGCAATCATGCAACACAGATTTTTGCGTGATTTAGATTTAGCATGACAAGTTCCAACCTTCCAGACTCAGACATTTTTGCAGTGCATAAGGCGCGCGACTTGACGAAGTTCTGCAAACTGGACCGGCAGTGCAAAATCCACCTGAACAAGGTGGGAAATCTCGCGACCGTCACCGGGCCGACGCGGTGTCAGGTGGGCAACGTGGCGATGCGGTTGTTTTGGAAGTTGAAGCAGGGGGTCTATACTGGAAAGGGAGCGAAGTTGGCCTTCAACTGGGTCAAGCGGAAGGCTAGGAACAAAAAATAGTCCTAGTGTTGCAATTCGATCACCGTTCAGGTTCGTGAGACAAAACTAGAAGTATAGCTTGTTCGAATGACCACCTTGATATTTTTTCACAGAATGGTCGTCCTCCCTGGAGGACTAAAGTGCCGTTGCGCGCCCTGTCTTCCCGAAGATATTCAGAAAGACAGGCTGTCGCTGTCTTCCTTCTGTTCTTTTTACTCTCTTCCCACACACAAATCTATGACTTCGATTGTGTGGCTTTCAATTTCAGTTGCGTCTCATTTCTGTAGCCCGTTTTTTCTACCGCCGGAAGATCCGCTCTGTTTCCTGCGATTGCAGGTTGTGTTGGCGAGTCGCATGCAGTGATCCAAAACAAACAAGGTATAGACTGTCGATTCACGGCACTTTTACAGCAGCTGAGTCAAAAAGTCCTTTTTCTCGTTTTGCTTCACGAGACACACTTCCGATGGCGTTTCGAGTTTGAATTGCTTTGATTTTTTGAAGTTTTCGTTGTGGCGCCGGCGCCGTTCATCATGTATGATGGAAAGGAAAAGTGTACATCTAGACCGGAACGTGATGTGTTATTATAGCCCATCCCCAGAACGAAGAACAAAACTCATTCATATGAAAATTCTTTAATTTTTTCAGTTTTCATTTCTTCCCTCTCAGCGTGACTTTAAGAAGCGCACACACAATTCTATTTCTTTCCCCCTGCCTGCTTCTACATGATCGCACCACTGACTCTGACCGAATCAGGCGATGACCACGAAGATGGGTTTTTCTTTTTCCACTACTTCTACTCCCGACGGCGTCGCCGCAGAACGCGCTCACTCGCGGTCCCGCAGCTGCGCTAGGAAGCCGCCGCCGGGCAGTTTTTCCTTTGGCCCCAAGATGAACCTGCAGCGACAGAGGGGCAGAACAGTCTCGCCAACGTCCTCGACCACTCGAGGGCTGAGCCTAAACAGGAATCATCTGAACTACAGCACTTTCTTCACAGGGAAAAATTGTAATACACAGAGGGTGAACTTCTGCAACGATTACGATGATGATGTAGTTGACCAGGACGCTGATATTGAAGACGAGCAGAAGAGACGGACTACCGGCCAGCATGGGCCAGCACAGCTTTCGAAAACAGCAGGAGGAGGAGAGGCCAGCGTCTTCTTTTCCAATTCTGCTGGGACTAAAGATGGCTGGTCTACTTCTACTTTACAACACCCATCAGCACCATATTTTTACTCTTCTAACTCGTCAAGGTCGACCACGCAGAAGAACCCAGATAACGATCAACATTTTGTATCTCGTCCTTATGGAGCTTCGCTGGACGAGGAAGCAGACAACAAAAAGAACGCTCTTTCATCGTCCCCAGCAGCGTCGCGGGGAGGAACAGGAGCGACGAGGAGCCAGAGAGTAATAAATGACTGGAGTTCTTGTAGTTCTTACAATGATAACAGAGCTAACAAGGAAAACAACTCAAGCCGCCGAGGACCATATTCTGACCGGTCACGGTCGCGGATGCGTGTACCAGGTCCCAACAAAGACTCGCGCACACGCGCTGGGGGGAATGATCAAAATCACGCCTCTCAGAAGATGAGGACGCCCAGAAGTGCAGCAGTTGCTTGCAATGACCGGCGCGAAATGATGGATAAAGATAAACGCGGTCCGCGCAGCCGGTCCGCGGCCCCTACCATCTTTCGAAACGGGGCCAGCGCGAGAAGAAAGAGTGGGAGTCTTGTTAGACGACCACGAGATTGTTACGAGCGCGACGACGTCGTCGAGCGACCACGGTTTCTCGCGGAACATGGAGGTTGCGGTGGCAGAGCAGCAGCCACGCAGCGTGGGACGAAGGAAGGGCAGCAGGAAGGTCCAGATGAGAGAGACAGAGAACATCCTCCGCGGGAGGTGGATGGTAATGGACGCGGCTTCGCCGGAAGATTATTGCCCGATGCACTAGTAGCTACAGCAGCTACAGTTCCTTCTCAAAAATCTCAAGGAGTAGAAGGCCCGCGCAGGGGGGTGCGTCGAGTAGATCTCCCCGAGCAAACGAACAAGAGTGCACAAGCATCAACAACTACTTGTAACTCGAGAGGACAACTTCTTGATGTAACAACTAGTCAGCCGGACGGCAGCATGCGACATGATCTAAAATCAGCCCCTGGATTATGCGACAAAATAAAAACGCCGGACAATGAAGCTAAAGAGGACTCGAGCTCTGATTCGGAGTCTTCTTCATCCGACAGCGATAGCAGCGGTTCGAGTGCAAAAGAAGTTGAGCAAGCGGAGAAAAAAGATGTTAAAACTTTGCCGGGGCGGGCCCTCGAAGAGCAGCCGCCGGGCAAAAAATTTCTTGTTAAGGCATCTGGCGCATCTTCGTCGTTTTCGTCCACAATTAGCAGGTCGGCAGCAAGAACTCCAGGTGATTCGGCAGAACGTCCTTCCGGGGGAGAAAGCAACAAACCGTTCAAGAATCCGCTGCGACCCTTTAGTATTTTCACTTCGCGAGATGCAGCAGGAGGTGGGTTGCAGCCTTTCTCCAAGGAACTCTTCCGGAAGATGCTTGTTCATCCACCTGGAGGTGGTAGTACTACGTCCAGCACAGAAGATCCTGGGACGACGGTTTTGCCCACGACAAAACGACCCGCCACGGCGGGAACACTCATGAAAAATCCTGCACCGCTTGCTCTTCCGCCGCCAGCTGTATCCAAAGCAAAGGTGATGGTCGCGAAGGCGAACGCCGTTTCGCCCACGGAGCTGAGTTTGAAGAGTACTACTTGTACTTCTACGGCACGAGAAAATTTTTACGGCGCGACGAGCAAGGCAGCTGTAGTGCTGGGAGCTCCTCCTGCAAGGAGCACAGCGGCGGCGATGGTCTTGTCGCCTGCAAAAGCTGCCGGGAGTACTACAGCACCTCCAGTCACGAGTGCAAGATCCTCGGTCAGTGCTGCCGAGCCGCTGCACGGGAAAGCAGGTTCAGTGGTGGGTGATCATGGTACTATCGAACACCTAGTTGTAGTACCCACGACTGTACCGAAGAGTGCTAGTAGGAGGACAACCGTAGTTCAGGTCGGAGCGGCTGCTCCCGCAGCTTCCTCCAAAGCGGCCTCCGTAGTGCCTCCAGTGGTAGATCGCAATCCTGGAACTACTGCTCTCGTCCCAGGTGTTCCTGCATTTAGCAAAAGTTCAACTGTTGTGCGCAGCAGCAGCAGCAGCAGCAGCACTCACTCGGGTGCGTCCGGTGGTGGTGGATCTACAGTTCCCGCGGGACGAGCTCGACAGTTGTCTTGTGCAGCTGCTGCAAAACCACGGTCGCCCCCTCCTCCCCCGGCGGCGGTAGTTGTGGAGGCAGCCAAGAGGCTGTTGATGAAAGGCACAAGGCCGGCCTGCACTCTACCGTCTGCTGCTGCGCCTGCAGGACCGGAAGTGTTACCGGTAAAAGGCAGCACAGTTGTAGAAAGTGCTGGTCCAACTCCAATTGCAGATGTTGTGGACAAGATGAAGGACGACGTGAAAAAGCCAGACGAGGACAAGACAAAGTCCTCCTCTCCCCCACATCATCAACAAGCGAAGGAAGAAAATAGCATAGGCATTGTCATTGCCGAGGAAGCGACATCAACATCTCCAACTACACCGACATCGTTGAAGAAAGTTACAGACGATGAGGACAAGAAACAGGGAAAACAAGAAGAAGACCACCGTCCAGTAAGTGAGCCGCGCGGGAGCTGCTGCGAGAGGGATGTATTGGCAATGAAATTGACAAAGACAAACTCACGCTCGTCCACCTCCTCTGGTGGTACAAAACCAAAAGCCGAGGCAGCTGCAGAGCCAAAAGCAAAAGAAGATACGATGCTAAAAGCAACCTCGCCCTCAGAAGCAACTACAAACGTCGCCGAACAAAAAGTAGGCGGAGAGCTGCTCGCAGTAGAAGCGTCTGGTCGAGTCGACGGGGAAGCACGCGCGAAAAGTTCCTTCACTTCACCCCCCGCTGTGAAAATGAATAAAAAAATTGCGAATAAAAGAAAGCCGATCAGTGAGGAAGAGCTTCTGGCGAGGATGTTGCAGTCCTCACGACCCGCGGAGGCAGGCAGGAAGCAGATCAAGCCGCAAGTGGAGGCGGAGAAGGAAGCGGTGCAAAATCGTCTTTCCGCAGCCTGCACGTCGTGCTACGGCACAAGAACTACTTCTAGCGATGCTGCAGATCACACTACTACTTCCACTACATCTGTTGTGGTTGTTCCAACTACCACAGCAACAGAAAATGCAGGCGCCGAAAAAGTGAAAATCAAGGTTCACGACGAGCAGACGTGTGATGATATGGAAAACACGCACGATGAGAACGGTAGAAACCTCGAGGATAAGAACAGTTGTTGTAAAGATAGCCACACGAGTACGAGTTCCAACCTTCATGATCACCCGCCGGAGGTGGAAACGAATTCTCCCACCGCGCCGGCAGCTTCTTCTCTGTCGCACCCCCAGACGAGCCGTGACTTGGTGGAGCAAGCCGATTTGTCGCTTTGCCAAGCCTCAGAGGTGGAGAAGCACGAGTCTTCCGTGTCCGTGAATGCGCCAGAGGGGGAGTGGGAGGAGTCGAGCTCCGCGGCGTCCTCTGGACCACCTCCCGGTCGTCCTGAAGATACAATCAGCAACGTACTAGCGGAGGCGGTTGAGTCTGTTTGTGAGACTAGTAGCGGTGATCATTCACATTCTCTGACGAGCAAGCATCGTCCTCACGTGGTTGCCGATTCTGTCGTATCCACTAGCAGTAGTACCGCATCTGCAGAAGTAGTAGAAGTGTCTGAACCAGAAGCAGGCGCGGAACTACGACACCACCGCAGCAAGAACGTCGACCACCAAGGAAATGAGAAGGACTCCATCAAGGAAAGCGAAATTAAAATTCCCACCGGGATGGATGCTAGTGCCGACCCAGGGCTAAGCCTAAGCAGGATGCTGGAGGATGATAGACCTAGACGAGAAGATCTTTTGGTTATGACGGTGGACTGCGAGGACGAGGAGGGCCGGGTGAATTCTCACCCAGCGCAGCAGATGACGACTTCTAGCACATCAATGAGTGCAGCAACAAGCACTTCTGAGGGGAATGTTTTGATGAAAGAGAGTCATGTATTAGCGGAAAACCAGGACGATAATTCTCCTTCTTCAACCTGCTCTGACGAGGAAAGTTCACAAGAAGACTGCCCCCTTCTCCCCTTCTTTGCCGGCGTGGAAATGCCTACCAGTGAGGAAATTGCCGCGGCTCTTGCGGAATCTTCGATGGTGGTACTCAACGACGCTACGGGTGGTTGTTCTTTGGGGGAAGAAGAAGGCGGTTCTCCAGCAGTGGATGAGAATCCGGAAATTGGTGAAGAGGACGGGACGGTTCACGATGCTCCACCGCCAACAAAGGAACACAACGCATGGTCCCGCTCTGGTTCCCCTCCTGTAGTTGCTGGTGCTGTGAACGCTGGCCTGGATGGTAGAAATGCAATCGGCACGGGCACCAAAGATGGCCAAGAATACGTTGCGAAGGTCGACGGCGATTCTAGTCGTGTCGTCCTCAAGGCTTCTGGCCCAATCGCGAATAATGTCACGCACGGAGCGGACTTGAACAACCAAGATAGTGGTTTTTCCATACCAGGAGCGAGTTACAGCCATTTTAAAGATGAGACCGAAAATTGCGTCCCTCTCCAGGAGCGGCCCGCAAGGGACAAAATCAAGCCGTCTAGTAGGAGCTCCCCCGGAACCGGAGCTGTTGATCATAATCAAAGTAGAGAACCAGCAGTGTTAGGACAAGCTGCTCTTCCGCAAGTACAAGAACGCGGCGGTTCGCAACAAGGAGAAAAACTAGACAACCTACTTCCAGGAGTCGTGCCGAAAAACAAAGACAAGCTTTCAACAGTAACAGAAGTGCATGATGTACGAATAAATCCCTCGTCGCAGTCCCAAGACCGAAGTAAAATCACAGCTGCCACGACTTCCAGCGCTTCATCGAGCACGGCAATCGGTAGATCTCTTGTTGGACCCGCCCCTGCCGCTCCTCTCGTGAAGACAATTCCACAGCGAATAGGGCACTCGGATTACTTCGATGATCTCGAGTCTGATGAGGACGACCTTGCTTTCCGTGCGGCGGCAGATAAAGAGGCGCAGAAGAATCATGAACTGCAAGAAGAAGCTGCTTCACGAGGACACGTTGAGGAGAATCTAAGGCTTCACGTCGGCAATTCAGGTTCTTCTTCAAGCTCGAGCTCAAGGAATGTCCTCGGTGAAGAATCGAAAACTCACTCCGAGCTAGGGCCGTACAAAAGAGCTACAACTAGCGAGGAAAACAGGCGAGAAGACGAGGCTGCACAACACATTTCCGCCGAAAAGCACAGCAATTCGGTCAGCAACGTTTTGAACATGCTACTGACATCGACAACTTGCGCAGAAGCTCCTGCACCACAGCAAGACGAGTGCAGCTTACTTTTGCGTAGTTCTTCCGCACCTCCGAAGCCACCGGTGAACCCGATGCAGGACGGCGTCAGTTGTTTTGCATCTTCATCTTCCGCATCCGCTGGCACAGATGTTGCTAAGGGTCGCACTTTAGAACACCGCGCTCGTGCTTCCGGCTTGGCCGAAAGCGAGGCAGCGCAGCAGGCGCGCGGTGTTCCTGGAACCAAGGAGAAGCAGGCTCCACTTATAATTGGCAGCGGTGAAGAGGAAAGTGAAATGAAGCGTATAGTTCGTCCTCCACATGTACAAAGTGGACCTGCCGCATCTTCAACTGGAGCTGCTAATATACAGACCGTCCCTCAGCAGGACAACGACACGTCGGACAACCACGACTCACAGCCCTGGCGGGCACTGCTTCTGGAGAACCACGAGCGCGACAGCCGCGCGAGCCGGCGCGAAAAGCTTCGAATGAAAAATCTGGAGGAGGAAAGGGAAAGGGAACATCGGGCGAAGAACCTCCACGGGTGTCGTACTACAAATAATTCCACCACGGTAGAGCGCGAAGATAAGTACAACTACCCTAGCCGAGGCCAAACAATGTTGACGGACTCCAATTCATCCACCTTCGGAAGTAGGCGCGAAAACAGCCAAAATGACTACGACTACGATAGGAAAGCACTGACCGCTACTTCATCTGAAGAACCTGCTCCGAGAAAGCTCCTGGGCCCGAGCGACCGGCAGCTTCAGGCAGAGATGCGCTTTAGCCGTTACTGCGCAGTGGACCAGACATGCTCCGAAACGGATTCGGATAACGGGGCGGAATATGAAAGAAGCCCGTTTTCCGACCCTTCACTGTCGGATGAGGAAGCGGAGACGCCGGATAGAGGCAGAAATGACATCAATAAACAGCAGGAACACGAGGACATTGCAGCGATGGATGCTGCTACAAATGCTATCGAGCCAAAAAGTAAGATCGAGAAGCACGACCAGGCACCGCCTGTTACTGGACTCGGGTCTTGTGATCATCAACAGGGCATAGAGCCGCGAATGAGTCAGACCGCGAATAATGTGAGCGGGAGCTCCTCGTCGTCCGCCACCGCTGAGCGTCTATGGCCTTCGCAAATTGTTGATGGTGGCCAAAAAGCCAGAAACGGTTCGTGGGTGCCTCCTGCGCCACAAGCAGCGCAAACGACAAAAATGCCTTCTGCTACTTCTTCAAAGTGTCCTCCTTCTAGTGCTTCTCCTGGCATATCAAGTGCTACTCATCTTGCCTGGACAACTAGTAGCGCGCCAATCTCTACGACTACGGGTTCGGGTGGTTCCGTCTCCTCTCTTCTAACGAGCGAAGCTCTGCAGCGGCTAGATGATGCGTCGACAGCGAGCAAGATGATTTTTGCAGGAGCTCCTCCTGACGAGGAGATGAGGATGACGATGGTGGAAAACCACAAGGAAAATCATGCAAGTAGTCCAGGTGCTCCGTTTACAAGTTCTGCTTCTGGTGCATCTAGCGCAATCACAACTACTTCCGCCTCGAACAACTGTTCATCATCATCTCCTGCGGCCACCAACTTTGCTTCCTACATGACTAACCGACTGAGGAATACGCAGAACGAAGTGTTTGGCTACCCTATTGGACTAACGGGGTTGCGGAACTACAAGGGCCGCGGGAATTTGATGCTGATGACGTCGACGGCGGACTGCATGGGCAGCACAACTGGAGGAGGATCCTCCTCGTCAAGCGGTATTAACGCGCAAAAAGAGCATCACAATTCCACTCTTCTCGTCCAACAGTCTAAATCTGGGAATAGCAGCAACGGCAAAACGTCATCCTCTTCGAACAAGTTCATGACCTTGAAGACCATTCCGGAGGACCGCGCGCTGTCGGAATCGTCCGAAGAGCCGGACTTTTTTGTAATTGAGGAAAAGCACGACATGAAGCCGAGTCGGTCCTGCGTGTCTGTGGCGGGATCCAAGGCCGCGTCGAAAGCGGCAGTGCTGTCGAAGGCGTCTTCCAAGGCGGCGCCGAAAGCGAGCAGGAGCAGCGGTGGTAGCGCATTGATGAAACAAGCTGCGCCGTCCGCTCCTGGGGTCTATCTCGTGTCGTCCGCACCAGAAAGCAGCACATCAGAGCGAATGTTTTCAAGCGGCACGACAAGTGTAGGTGCGACCAGTACATGTTTGCAAACTAGAAGCATGGAAGCAGAGCAAATGAAGACTGTTCCACCTTCTCTGCCTCCGCGCTTGTCTATGTCGCCTTCATCCGGCGGGATCCGAAACAGAAGCCCTTCATCTCCCACCGCGGCGCGCAACAGGGCAGGAATTAGCTGCACAAGAGGTTCGTGTGCAGATGTCTTGCTTCGGCCGGAAGGAGAGGTGGAACTTCGCCGGGAACACGGTGGCCTCGAAGCAGGGACAGCAAGAAGTAGTGCGAGCCTTGACGTCCGTGACGACTCCTCCGCGTTTCTATCTCCGCTGCGAAGGCAGCGCAAGCCGGTTCCGGGAATGGCGGGCGTTCATCTTCGTGCGCCAACTGCTAGTACTGGGTCGTGTGGCGCTGCTGGTGAAGCATTGGTGTCGACGAAAAATCAAGGCACTAGCACACCATTACAACCAGCAGCGTCGTCTTCAGTGGAAGCTGCAACCAATCAGCCGGCATATGTAGTGTCTGACGAAATGAAGAAGAGGAACCTGAAACGAAAGAGCTACGGCCACTCGGATGAACGAGGTGCTCCTGCACAGGACCCCTGCGCGGGCGGCGCTTTGCCTAAAAGAAATACGAGCACAATAGCAAACAACCGCTCAACAGATCGCATCGTGCTTGAAGTAGATAATTCCAATTCTCCTTCTTTTTTTTCGTCGTTTCCGGATCGCAAAAGGCCCACCGCCGCAATGACGGGCTCTAAGCAGAGGAAACTTGACGCCGCTGTTCATCTTGATAGCGAGGCGGCGAATAATGAGGAACACAGGCTCGGCTCAAAACGCTCCCCACCGCCCCCGGCACCAACGTCTCTCCAAGAGGTCGAACCCTCTCCCTTCTCGCCTAGAGGTCATGCAGATGTTGACGAGCTGAAGTGCAGCAGCAGTATGGCAGCTGCATCTTCAAGTAGGGGACACGCCGGAGTACCCGGCGGCGTAAGGGACCGGTGGACCACGAATTCTATTCTAAATAAGCCCGCACGACCGGCGCAATCCACTGCGGCAAGTGCAAATCCTATTATTGTTCCGGATGAAGCAGGTCGTTGTGCAGGAGGGATTAGAGACGTAGATGCGGCTTCATCTCGGGCTTTGCCACACTCCTCGTCTTCTTCATCATCGAAGAGACCGAGGGAGCGGGAGGACAGCGATACTGTTGAAAATAAAACGTGTCCTCTTCCTGCCCTCGCCGACCTCGTCGCAGTTGATGGAATAAACTCGTGTGAGGAAGAACAAATTACAACGGAGGCAAGACGACCATATTTTGCAGCACTGAAGGAACCACGAGCTGCACCAGAACTCATTCCTGCACCACCTCCTGCAACAGAAGGAGTCATTAACGGGAGGAAAAAATGTCGGAATCCACTTCTGGTTCTGTCAACATCACGTCAACATACTGATGATAGTTCATCTCCACGCTGCAGGACGAGAAGTGCCGCTGCTACTGACGATCATCCGGAAGTAGATGCTGAAGAGCTGAAGCCGCTTTTGAAGGTGAGGGAAAACGACCTGCCGGTCGTGGAGCAGCCCGTCGACAGCACACAAGGGGCACGGGAGCACCCCCACCGTCCAGAAGAACCTCGTCGGCCGGCAGCCGAAAAGCACGCAAGGAATAAAGGAAGGCTTCCGCCTGCTGAGCACGAAACAACACGGAGCGAGAACGGGACGCGTTCTTTCAACGGCCAAGAGCAAAAGGTAGTTCGAGTTGAGGAGGATCCTCTGGCTTCGAAGCGACTTGTCGGAGAACTACCACCTGACGAGGAGAGGCTGGGAAAGTACTGCATTAGCCGTGGTGAAGATGAGGATCAACACGAAAACCAACCGCAGCAAAGCAACAAACGCCGTAGAAGGAGAAGAAGTGATTCATTTTCAGGAGAGGAGAATGAAGCTGCAGCCAAAAAAAGTCGTCGCGCTAGGCAAGACCAAGATCATTTTGAACAAAGGGATGCTTGCGCGGAAAGAAATACAAGCAAGCGCTCCACGGCTGGCACTGCGTGTATTGCGGTCCAAACCGAGCGCCGCCTATTCGCATCGGTGGGCGTCCAAACGGATAAACAAAAAACGGTAGGACGACCAGAAACCAGCACCAAGGCAGTTGCCGCGGCCACCGATGAACCCCTTCTGAGTACGCGCGGAAGGTAACAACTGGGGCTAGAGCACAGTCATTGGCTAGAAAGATCAGAAGTTCAGATTTTGCTGATATGCATCTGGGTTCATTCACAGGAATGTCGACGTCATGTGTTTCGTCTTTGGTTGAGTCTGGTAAACTGAGAGTTGGAGATGATCACGATCAACCCTATTTTACAACTCTACAGGTTGCGGCTCCGCATGGCAGGCGGCCGTCTCGCGGGGTCGAGAAAAGAAGCGCAGAAAAACACCATAATCGTCTACAATGAGGATGAGAAAACGTTCTCTCGCCTCGACATTGATACGCTGGAACTGGTCGGTGGCAGCGCAAAGCGGGTGGAGCAGCTGGTGGCACGAGAACGTTATTAGCGGCGAGAAGGATAGTACGGAAACAAAACAAACAGATGAAGGGCGAAAACCAGGCTTTCTTGGTCATCTTCATAGTAGTAAAAATGTCTTACCGATGAACCAGGAACTTCAAAACCAAAACAGTCAAATAGTACAAGCGGCATGTTGTATCTGTATGTCATCTCCTGGTCTTGCGGTCTTCTTTGCATATTGCCTGTAAGCATGTGTTTTTCATAAGAATTGAGACTGACATGTACGCAAAGCAGAAGCTGCGCTTGTCGCTCCTGCTGGTGTTGTTCTAAGGTTAATATCCTGGCGCTGGCGGATTGTGATTGAGATTGATTTATGTTTATCGTCCGGATCATCATTCCATGATAATGCATGTTCACGTTTTGCTTTTGGTTTTGGCTATGATCGTGAAAGGACAAGCATCATGGCGAAGGCTGCGATCGCGCCGCATGTGCTGATGAAACTCGGATCTGACGAGCCAGTTTTAGTGGTAAATTTTCCGGAAAGATCCGAGGCAGGGTTTTGTTACGGTTTTCGGAGAAGTCGAAGGGATCTGGATCAAGGAAAACAAAGATACGAGATCTATTATGGCAACCCTACTAACTTTGAGATCGAACGACATAGTTTCCTGCTCCGTTTTGGCTTCGCGCTCACCCCGCTCTTTTTGCCTTTTTTTTTGGTTTTGGCGATCGCCTCCGTGGTCCGATATTTTTGGTAGTGTCTCGAAAACATCAGCTCCCACTCGTCGTTCAATTGCTTTTTGAGGATCCTCCTTCCCCGCCATTTGTTGACCTGCTTTCTTAAAAGATTATGATCCACCTCGTCACATCGTCATCGAGCAATACAATCGAGACACGAAGCCAGCGGAGAAATGTACTTAACCATGGCTGCTCCCTCGCAGCACACCATGGCGCCTCATTGCGTCGTGCCAACGACGTCCCTCGGCGGAGATCGTTGGCGGGATATATAGTTTTTAGACCAGCGCCAGTGCCCTTATGAACTAGACCTGTTGCAGTCGAGTCGAGCAACAGTTATTCTCGTCCGGTCGCCAGCTCTGGAACCGGCGCGCGACCTCTAACATGTCCCGCCGGGGGTCGAGGCGTAATTCACTCCGGCCAGCACGGCCTCCCGGGCACGAAAGGATACTTCTTTTACCGACGGAACATTACTACAAAACTGGAAAAGCTTCCATGATTCCCTGGCCGCGATGGCTCCCCCGCCCCGGCATTATCGTCTGTGCTGTTCTCAGTTTCTTGTTACAGCAGGTTTTGCAGGTGTTCGGGCGGGATGAGGATGAGAATAATAGGGCCGCAACATCAAGAAGTGCTGGCTCCACCGGGGGCGCCCTTCAGTCGTCCTCGAGGACAAAAAAACAGCACGTGAAATACGCCGAGTGCCAACATCGCTACACAGACTACCGGCCGGATTTCTTCGACTGCGAGGGCTCGCCGAGCTGGGATGCCTTCATGGATTTGGTGCGGCAGGCCGCGAAGCTGAAGTTCCAGATGATTCCGCCGGAATTGTACAATATGGCGCAGTATCCATGGAAAAAGTACCCAAATCTGACTAAGTACAAAGAGAAAGAATATAGAAATCGCAACACGAATCCCGTTTCGATATGTTCAACAACTTGAAAAACGGAATTTCTCTTGCTGAAATTGTCGCATCTACAACTACATGATGTAAAAGAGTTGCGGCGTTTCTTGCCGACTTTGTCACCAAGGGTCATGCAATTCCGATTTGTACCAGTCTGCGATACTACTTTTGCACAGGATACGCGCAAGATCATCGAAATCTGGGACGCGAAACCCTACCCGCCGCAGGATTTCCACAACATGCTCTGTGACCCGCGGAAAGTCTGGAATCCGCTGCATGCGGAAGAGTATCAGCCATTTTGCCTCTACGGGTTTATCTACGCTCTCTTGATCCGGGCGCGGGTGTTTATGAGCGAGGGGAGCAAGGACCTGGTCAAGATGGCCAAGGAGGATTTGAGCTATGCGGTAAAAGGAAAAGCATAGGCATGCATATTTATCTATCATTTAAAGAAAAAAGTGCGAGTTGGTTCTTCTTGAGGTAGTTCAGTATCATTGCAATCCCGTGGCTGTGGTGCGAAGTTCGTCAACTAGAGAAGTTCATCCTGCCTGATGAACGGCAAGCACAGCGCAAAGCTGGTGCTCCTGCAAACCCATCTGTAAAAGAATTTTAATACCACAACTTGCTCTGTAGACGATACACTCTGTTCTTCGCTACAACTTCACAGCAAGTGCGAAAAAAGTATACATCGAATCAAACGGATTTCCAATTTCTATTTGAACCAAACTAGGTCACCTGCCTCGGTAAGGAAGGTTCCGTCGATTTTCTCGATAGTTCTGCGGTGGGCGCGACCATTTTGGATTTCTACATCAATATCGGCGAAACGGAGTTTTACACCTACGACGAGTACGTGAAGAAGTTCCCGGTCCCCGAGCCCCCGCCCGACGAGTTTGGCATGCTGCACTACAACCCGCAACCCCCCCTGGAAGAGCAGCAGCTACATAAGCTTTTTTTCCACGAGGACAGGAGAAGAACCCTCCACGCTGCGGTCTTCGGCACGCACGCCACCCTGTCCCTCGAAACGGTCCACATGGTGCAGGAGTTTGTCTTGCGCGACCAGGTGGAGTTGAAGCCGGTCTTCTACGGGTTGGAACCGCGGTGGTGCGGCATTCTCGGCATGTGCAACCGGGGGGATCCGGCGTTTGCGAAGTTTTTCAAGGACGCGGAACAGGACCCCTACGGGGACGACTTTACCTGGGAGAGTATGCAGGAAAAGTTTTGTACGTCTGGGTCGTTTCGGTAGATGATCTGTGCGATGCATCGCAAGAGCTGCATGACAAGCATGCGCAGTTTATCTCCCGCTAGTACACAGACAGATTTCCAACTGACAAAAAAAATGGAGCAGCAGATTGAAGCGGTTTATTTTCGCGATGAGGAGTTGAAAAAATCCGACTTTCTATGAATGAAAAAGGCCATCACAAAAGTCATTTTGTAATGCAGTTTATGTATGAACAGAAATGATGATAACAGTATTTAACAACTCTACTATTTCGATGCGAAAAAAATCGAAATGGTATCAAGCATGGCCAAAAACCACTGAATCTTTGCTAGACAGGAGGTATATCAAAAAAGAGATACCGATTGCATGCAGAGTCCTAGCCCTTTTGATATGCAGGAAAAACTGCAGGACTAAAACTGATAGTGATGGTCTTTTTACTCCCTTTCCATATTCGCTCTTGTGCACAGAGCCGCTGGTCGGGTGCCTGCTGTTGCAAAAACTCTGGCGGGAGAGGATGCAAAAGACGCTACCGGTGTTAGGCTACTTGGGCGTCGCGCTCTTGAATTCCGTGCCGCCACTGGATCTGGTGAAGTTCTGGGATTTGCTGGACGGCAGAAAACCGGGCACGGACACGATTCTGTACGTGAACAACCGGATCCTGCGGGAGCAAATCTACTACCAAACCGGGATAGTAGCGCCCTACGTCCGCGCACACGGCCTGTACACGAAATCCGTGTACAGTCCGCAGATTGACCGGGTGCTGTTTTGGCGCGCGCCGCTCTTCGTCTACCCCACACTGAGGTGCGCAATTTGGCAGTTCTTGAAAGGTATATCAAGTTGTGTCCAAATGTTTGATGCGACTACAGTCTTGCTTGTGATTTTCTATCTACTCCAACATAGAAGTCAGCAGTTGATAATGGTAATGGAGATGGACTGTAATCCTTCGAAGAACCTTGTTGAAACGAATCAGTGTCAGTTTCTATCTCGTGATCCTCGAGCCGCACAGTACAAAAATCACGACATACAACGACCAATGCAATAATTGCTTAACAGCCATGCGAGACCGGCCAGCATCGCCGGCTACAACCGCCCTCGGGGAGCTTCCTTCACCTGAAGGAGAAGTAGCGGGAAAACCTTCTACAAGTAGCGACGATAACCCCGACGTATCCAACAGCAAATTTCCCTTCACGATCCGGTTCCTCGACGAGAAGGAGTCGATGGACTACTCCGTCGTGGCCCAGCACCGCAGCGTGATTCTGCTTCCCTGGGACCACGCGCTGATGACGTTTTACGAGCTGTATTCCATGTCCGTCCCGCTGTTTCTGCCGAAAATCGAGTGGATTTACCGGTTTGTGTACCAGCGGGGTCAACTCTCCGTGGGCGAGCCGCTGTACCAGTCGGTGCACCCCCGGCACAAGCGGCCCCGGGCGAAGTTCGCCAGCTACGATTACCCCGAGCCCACGGACAACAGCACCAACAAAGAGTCGGTCGGGCCCATGTCCGTGCAAACGGGGTTGTCGTCCGCGAAAGCGGCGAGAGGGGTCACGGAGGACATGCTGCGCCGGGGGTTGGACGAAAACCTGGGGCTGGTGGAGGTCCGGGCCTACATGGTTGCGGCGCTCGATCTCATCATGGACATGCAGTACTTTCTCACCGCCGCGGAAAACAAAACGACCGAAGCCGACTCCTACACCAGCGCGGGGAAGGTGAAACGGTACACGAAGGCGAACCGCGACCAGCTATCCTATGTAAAAACGTCCCCATGACGACCCCATAGTTGTCATGTTGCAAATCTGCATAAGTAGTAAAAATGTTTCTCATGCGGTTGCGGACGAGCCCCATGAGGAGCATTTTCCATACACTCGCGCGCCGCGCCCATTCTAGTTAGGGTCTATTTTTGCTTTCTTCTTCTCTTCATCCCATTTCGACAGGTCAAGCAATTCTACTCTCGCAGTTCGCTCCGGCTACAGTGATCTACTTAAACTTCTATTTTGATTTTACATTGCAATATATCGTTTTCTGGAATTTGTGATGCTCGATTCAGCCTGCACGATATGCTAGATCTGTGATGCTGATTCAGCTAGCTAAACAGAATTACACTACGAGGCTAAACTTGTCATGCGCAGCAATCAAAGTTGCTTGATTCATTTGTGTAGCAGGTTCCTTTCCCATTTTGACTATGAGGCGGGGACGTTTCTACAGAGGATACCAGCTGGATTTGCAGTCTATCGAGTACTATGAAATGCAAAAGCATCGTGCTAGTATAAATTGCATTACAAATTGCCTTAGCATTACAAATTAAATTTGTAATGCTGATTTACCTTGAGAAAGAGATTTGTTATGCATAGATGCAATTACTACGAGTACGATACTTATGCACAGGATAAGTACAGTGACGAGCCGTGGCACCCGTACACGCCGTTCCAGATGTCCCTATCAAATGCAAGTATGTCTGGGTCTGGAAAGTTGTGATGCAACTCCTAGAGTAATTAGCCTAGCGCACTGCAATACGGAGCGTAGCATGACATAGTTTCTGTGCTGCTATGTTTTGCGAATTCCCCATTGCAGACTGCGTTTTTGCATGACAGACAAGGGGATCTTTTCGTGCCATGCATCACAGAGTGTAGTAGAGTCATGCCAGAAGAAGCATGACAAAGCTCGGAATCTTCCAGAGGACCCAGACTACATATTTGCAATGCATAGTCCCCGCGGGACAGTAACGAGTGGAATCGGATGCGCAAGGGCGGCTGGTGGCTGCGCCGGGGCGTGCGGGTCGACGCCATGCGGTACTGGTTTCAGTACTCGGATTATCAAATAATGCAAATATGTCTGGGTCTGGAAGGTAGGAACTTGTGATGCTGTCCTTGGATTCTAAAAAAATCTGTATTGCATGACCAGCAAGAGGAGCCCAATTTGTGCTACGCGGGGAGGGCATTTTGCATGCGGAATAGGCATCAGCAAGCCGTCTGAAAACCTGTGATGCTAGGCCACGCATTACAGGAAACATGGGTCATGCAAAATGTGCATAACAACCCTCGCATCTCTCCAGACCAACACATATTTGCAATTGATACCGATTTCTACCGGTTTCCGGCCCTGCAGTACTTCGACAACATTCCGGACCTGTTCTGCCGCCTGCAGTCCGCGGACCTCCCCTGGATCACGAACGTATGACAGTGCACATCTCTGCCTCCCCCTCATTGTTCATGCAAAATGCCAACTCCAGGCGCTGTCTTGTGGCACTGTTTGCATCACAAATGCCGGAACCCCAACTAGTACTAAACTAGGCATATAAAAAATTTGTCATGCACAGGCTCCATGTGATGTGCTGGTGTTTGTATCGCTGTCCATGACATGATACGCGTGAGGGGGAGGGGGAGTTGGGCAATGCCATAGAACGCCATGCACAAGTACAACGACGAAACATTGTTGGAATCCACACAGTACTGGACGGATGCGGTGGTGCGGTTGCTGTCTTGATAGGTAGACGCTAAAGGAGATGAAAAAGTGTCTCTGGTTGTGGCCCTTTCATTTCAAGTAAGTTCTGTGGCCCATCCAAGTCCAACGTAAAAAAAGTGAACCGAACTCGTGAAAAGAATAAGATCAAGATGAACACGTACTAAAAATTGTACGAACAAAGATGACATGATGATCTTGTTGAAGATCAACATTCCCACTGAATCCAACGCGAACTTCTCTTTTTTACGTTTTCTTCTGAAGAAAGCATTATAGATGAAGCAAAACCAGGCTAGAACTAGAAGTAGAGTTTTCCTGGGTGGAAGTGCGGGTATCCATCAAATTGGAAATAGTAACTTTTTTGAGCAGGAGGCCCGCCATCGTGTTCAGTAATGACGCGTTGACGTCTTACTCGGAGGCGCAGCCGTGTTGGCCCACCTGGTTTGTTGACCTGCAGGGCGCAATTTTACACGAGGTAGCCGTCCCTCGTGGACGAACGGATCGCGGTTTATTGAAGAAAAATTTTCCTGATTCAAAGGAGAAGATGATTGATTTCAAGCGTGCGGTGTTCGGTATTACTCTAGAATCTAAGGTCTCATCTCAAGCTTTCGCAAAGCACCTCCTGCTCTCGGGATTGATTTGGCTGTGTAACTTTAGACAGGTAGTACTCGCAGACCATAAGATGCAAGCAAGGGGCTGACTTCAAGAGCGCAGGCTTTCGTCAGCGCAGGCTTTCGTCAGTCGGACAATTCATCGCTATACCTGACAGATTTATTGAGTTAACCACGACAGTTTGCTAGACCATGGGCAACCAGTTCGGTTGTTCTGGAAGGGGCGATGTGGCCACAGAGGCCGAGGAGAAGTCCAACGTCCCCGGCGAGGACACGAAGCCGAAACAAGAACAACCGACAATCGACTTCGACTCTCTTTCTCGCGAGGGAGCGCGAAGGGTGTTTATAAACAAGCTACTGGGGATCACTCCTCCAAAGGCGCGATCGGAAGATCCAAGAAGAGTCGCGCACGCCGCGAAACGCAGCACTTCCGCCGCGTCCGCGTCCACCGCAGAGCCAGGGTCGCGGGGTTCATCATTGTCATTCGAAGATGCAGTGCCTCCTTCGGCACCCTACACACAACAAGGGCAGTTGCCGTCCCAGAAGCAGGTGGAGCGGGCGCAGGCGCAGGAGCTCGAGGAATTGTGGGACGCGTGCATTGGCGGCTTCGGGAATAACGAGATGAAATCTTACGATGCCGAGACGAAAGATAAGGCCACACTGCTCTCAAAGATCTTTCCATCCTCATATTTTCGGCAAGCGTACCTTCTGGGTCTTTCGCATCACTTTAGTAACAGCAATCGGATCAAAAAGCGGACTCACCCTTTATTGCAAGTCGGTGACCTCTCTCCGAGTCCGAACAGCGATCGGGCTGTTCACGGTCATCCACAGCCTGGAGGTGATAAAGGTGCTGTCGATGATGCAGGCATTGATGTTGAAGATAAGGTCGCACCATCATCACCCCGACCGGAGCAGGACGACAAGTGGCGAAATAATCTCCGAGACCTCTGGCTGAAAGCGGCACACGCGGACTACTACAGCAAGGAAGTGTATCCTTGCTAAAAAAAAAATATGTGACTCTGGATATTCTGAAAAGTGCGAAACTTTTTGATAGCTAAAGTTCAAAAATTTGAATTTTTCTACTCGGACGGCGTTCATTCGGTAGCTTAACCGGTCACGTGCCCGATCTTCCCATATGCTCCTCTTTTGCATTGTTCTTGTTTGGTTTTTGCCTGCGGGAGGGGATTTCGGCCTCTATACACGGCTACCCGCATGCAAAAATAAGGGAAAAGGAAAAGTGTATTCACGCAAAGCGGTTGGCACCCACCTTGAGTATGTCTTCCTACTGATAAGCGGAGACGAAGATAGGTAGAATTCTTGCCGCTAGAATTCTACCTTCGGTATTTATTTCTTAGTCCTGACATATATACCTGATTGATTGTTTGGTTTTGTTTCTTCGATGTGTCTTCTTGTTCTCATTAAAATTGAAAACAGCACCTGAATAAAGCTATGGACACAACAAGGATGGCGGAGCCGGCGCCATTATCCGCCTGGTGCACAGAGATCATAGTTTTAAGCGAGCGCCTCTGCATTTTCTTCCGCCTAGGGCCGCCTTTCCTCGCGGCGCGATTGAAATGCATTCGACGATAAGGGCAGAAGTGTTGCAACGCGCGATAGAATAAAGCCAAGATGTACTACCCCTCCTCCTCCTTGTTCTTCGTGTTGCTTACCGTTCGTATTTTTTTGATAGTTAACATCGGTCCATGATACGCACTACAGATTGTGTTTTTACCCGGGGCAAGGTAACAAACACTCACTGTGACTGTTCATGAAGACCATGGCCGACACTGATCGCTCGGCGCCGCCTTGTCGATTGCGCGAAAGTTTTCGTCGTCCGCGCCCGTAAGAAGCGAGGTCTTCTTTGCGTCCCTGCGCCATGTCTGTCGGTCTGCGGCTTGCGGCCGCGGAAGATTTTTCCTCGCCCGCAGCAGGGCCTTTATCTTTATGGCTCCCGAGCCGAGGACCCTGTTTGCGCTGTGTTGCGCTAGCTTGCGTGCCGCGAGGGGTTTCTGTCCGCCCGTGCACCGCAGCCGTGGAACGCCGCCGCAACTGTTGTAGGTAGTGGCTAGCGGGCGGGTGACAATTTTCTTTGCGCCCCTGTCCGGCCCGAAGCCCTGCGCGCGCCATGTTAGAAATTCGCATCGGGCGGGCGGAAAAGAGATCCTCTCCGCGCGCGCTACGCACGCGGGCGACCTCATTTCTACCGCCCCCAGCGCCCGGGCGTGCGCTTTGTTTGTTGTTTCGATCGTACGCGCGTGGCAGGTGTGCTTTAGTATCTTCTCGGAGCCAGCGAGGCCGCCGCGGCCGTCTTCTTTGTTTTGTTTCTGCCCGTGCTTTTGCTGGAGCAGCGCTTGCGCCTTGCCATGTGGCAGCTGCAATGTCGCTGCGCGCGCGCGCGCCGGTTGAGCAAAGAAGCTGTGATGTCCGGTGCAGTGGGAGCAGGGTTGTGGTTTCCTGTGCGCGTGCCGCAAATTTCTCGTATCCGGCGTCCCGCCCGCACGAGAATGTGTTGCGGCCTCGTTGTCCCCCCTCACCCCCGCTTCTTCCGCGCGCATGCAGCGCGCTTTTGTTGGTTCCTGCGTACGTTGCCCGCGCCTTTCTTCTTGCCGGCCCGGGCGCTTTTGGCTCGTCGAAGATTTTGCTTCTGCCAAACGTTGCGCGCTCGCCAGCAGAAAAAAAATTTTGCTTTTCAAAAAACCTACGGTTGTCACATAAAGTGTTTTTTTTTCGGATACAGTGGTTCCGAAGTTCCAGTTTTTTTATGACAAGGTTTTGAAAAACCGCTGGACGAAGTTTTACAAGAAGCTGACGACACCCGCGCGTTCCGGGTCCCCCCTAGAGCTGGTTCAACACCGGTACGATCGATCAATGGAAGAGTATATCAAAAAGGTAGACCCGGATTATGCAACGAACATGAACGACGAGCAGTATCAGAAAGTGAGAATTCCAAACCAAGAAAACCAGCTCGCAAACACTCCCGAGAAGAAGAAAAGAATGCTGCTTGTTGATTGGATACAAGGAAACGACGCGGAAAACTTTGACAGCGTCTTGCGGTGGCTCGGTTCGTGGCCCCCCTTCTCAACAGACCTGACAGAAATGGAAGTCATCCGCTCCGGCAAAATAGTAGAAGATTATAAACTACTCTCCGAAGGGGACGATGGTGACTCGCTATGGCAGACGCAGCTCCAGGTCTTACACATCACGGTGGATCTCGAGCTTCTGAGTGACCTGCCGAACCTGAAGCTCAAGTACCCCCCGGAGAAGCTGAGGCATTTAAATCAAAGAGCCGATGACGAAATTGAGGTGTTGCGGAGCCAACCGCATCTCTGGCGCCCCCTGCGTGGAAACGGTCAAACCGCAAAAGAGATCAACTACATGGAGAGTTGGTTGAAAAGCCAAGACAATGAAGAACTCCGAAAAGAGCTAGTGCAAAGTCTTATGCGCGGTTTGGTTCGTATGTTTGGTCGTGATCTACGTAAACGGAAATCGTAACTAGGGCCGTAATATCGTAATTACGTGAATCACGATGGGCCACTAGCTAAGCATCCGGATGCGCTTGACCTTCAGTGCTGTTTTGTTTGGCTCAAGTCTTGCGCTTGCTGCCTGAGTAAACTAGGGCGATTTTTTTGTTGGCGCTTTCGCTCCCGTTTCTGGAATTGGATTGACACTTGTGCTCTCTACCACCGTGGAACACGATCAGACCTCATGAATCGGCTTAGATTCATAATAGTAAACGAAGCGAACGAGGCCCTTTCAAGCTCTGTGCAAATTTCAGCAATAAGTCCTGACTCAGTGCACGCGCAGCACCAAGAAGAGGGAGCGACTAGCGCCATTGAACTACCAGACGCCTCCAAGCAAAAGCAGCAGCAAGACCACCAAAACACCTACTTACCCCGCAACGTTGGCACCGTGGTAACCGCGACGACGCACCCCGAGGATTCCTCCTCCCTCCCATCCGTTTCCCCATCCGGGTCTCAGACCACTGCACAGCCTGCTGCTATCAAGGTGCCAGAAGTTCATCTCGACGACCCTACATCAGCATCTTCATCTTCTGGTGCGTACGACCAAACCGGAGGTTCTCTGCACAGCCCTGCAGATTATATGCATCATCAACTTGCAACCACGGTCAACATGAATATTGACGGGACGGGATCAACTACCTCTGGCGATGCTGGTGGCACGGGTACATCCGGAGCGCAGAGGAGATCGAGCAAAACTTCACGCCTGTCGGACGGTGAACCGCTGAAGCACACAGATGAGGAAACTTCGCCGCCCGGATCCTGGCCCAAACAAAATGTATTTGCGGTTCCAAGCAGCACGCCCCCCCCCCCTTGACCCGCTTTTCTGCGTGCATTATCCCGACAGCTTTCTTCTCGCCGCTTTCCACGACCATCCAGTGTATACAGCCGGGGGTCTCGCTGCGGTGTGTTGTTTGCTCCTGTTACTTTGCTTCCAGCGCTTCAGTGGCTGTGCATCGTGCAGAAACCGGTTTGTTCCTGCGTTCTTCCTGCGGCCGCGCGTGCGACGGGATGAAGCTGGGGAGCAGCGTCAGTTTTCCAGTGAGCAGCACGAAAAGGTGGATACGACCAGTCCCTCGCGAGATAAAATCGGGAGTAATCAACACGGAAAAGATCATTGCAAAAAGGAGCTCCTGGGGATATCTAAGAAAGCCGCAGCGTCGTCGTACGGGACCTTGCGGGGCCAGGAAGTTGAGAAAACGCCACAGCTGTCTTTCCCGAATGTAGCTGGAAGAAAGGATGCAAATCCAATCACTACAAGTAAAGGACCACAAACTACAACATTGCATCAAGAGCGTCGACCGCACTACCATCGTCATCCGTCGACTCCTATGCACATACAATTAATATGTCTGGGTCTGGGAGGACGCGAACTTGTCATGCTAATTCTGGATCGTACACAAATTTGTGTTGCATGACTGCCAAAACCAAAAGCTGTCCCCTTTTGAACAAGTTTAGAGGCAGTTCGTCATGCAGGATAGGCGTGATGGAGGTGTCACAGAACCTGACATGCTAGCTCCTGCATTCCAAACCTCAGCGGGCATGGAAAAAATGCATGACCATGAGAAGTTTGCATCCTTCCAGACCCGGACATATTTGCATTTGATAACTCCCAGCAACAATGATAACAACTACAACAGCAGCGTGCCTACGCCTACCCCGACCCTATCGAGTGTCGGGTCGGAGGACATGGACAGCGAGTTGAGTTCGCCCGGCCGAACCAGGATGAAGTACGACCCGGAATCGCTGGAGAAAATGGCACCAAGAACCAGGAGCGGCAGATCTTCTGGATCATTCCAGCAGGACCGGAATAGTATTAAAACCAAAACGCAATTTCAAGGAGGAGCGAAGCAACAGGAGATGACGAGCAATCGCAATGCAGGGGAAGCGTCTCCTCTCGGGAAAAGCGGCAAGTCGGATCAGCTTCCGTCTGGTTCGGAAGAGAAATCGTCTCCGTGCAACGTGTATTACCTGCAAATATGTCTGGGCCTGGAAGATGGTCAGGTTTGTCATGCATTTTTTGCATGACGACCCATCCATGATGTCTGTTCCTGTAATGCATGAGCGACTAGTTTTGCAGATGTTCATATTTAGAGGTCTCTCTGATGCCTATTCCGCATGAGACATGCCCTCTCCGCGGAGCACCGACCGGGCCCCTCTCGCGGGTCATGCAATGCAGATTTCTTTTGGAATCGACAGACAGCATCACAAGTGGCAACCTTCCAGACCCATACATATTTGCATTTCATAACCCCACCGCGCCTGGAAAAGGAAAAAGGAATAAAAACAGGAAGAAGAAGAATATGCAAGGGGAACCACGACGACGCGGTTCCGCTTTGACGATCGCAACTGTGACACTGACAGGGTAGTTTGTATGTGCCAACCGCGCATCGTCCGCTGGGCCTTTCTAGTCGTCAGTTTGGTGTATTTTTGGAACGTGGCAAATTTCTCCATGTCGCAACTGCATCGACGAGTCCGCAATGGCTGCGCCTACCAGCATGCAGGAGCTGGAGAGACTTTGTCTGAATTTTGCTTGTCGTACTGTCAGTGCGAGAGACAGAATTAAGCTTTGGCATTTTTGTACTTTGTCACACTCACACCTGACGTGTCACACCTGACGGAGCCATAAACAAAGCGAAAACGAAGACCGTGATGTCGATGACTAACACGGGGAACACTGTTCACTCTGATAGCGGTACCCACGAAAAAAAAAATCCACACCCATCTGCATATGCAACATTGTGACTGTGCTCCGGCGCAGGCGCATCTCCAAGAAACACCTACAAGACTCCTATGGCATCGCTTACAGATGCAACTGCGTCAGAGATAATATTTCCAATGCGCGAGCGTGCTTTGAGCTTGTATTTTGTCCTGAGCATCGCATTGGAAATTCGAATGGAGACTGCTACACAGACACTTCGGTTTTCGACGGTGCGCAATATAATAAAATGATAGTGCTGAGTGATGTGATGTGTTTTTTTTCTTTCCATAAGCGAGGTGTCTCCTCCCCTTGGAGCAGCGAACCACGTTTGAGGAGCTGGGAGCAATAATTTATCGAAGGAACAGTTATTCTTTTTGTTTTTCGTCAACCCACACTACACATCCTCCTACTTCTCCCTCGCGAATCAAACGAACGCTCTGCCTCAAGTGCCAGCGATCAAGTTCATCCATTTTCTCGGAGAAGGGTTGCAACGAGGTACGCACATCCGCATGCCATTCTTCGTGTTTGAATAAGATCAATGACGTCGTCCACCTCCTACGCCCTTCGCCACATCAACATAATGCCAGGAGCCCATATTCGTACTTTTTATATGTTATATATTCTCTTTTTTCCTTTCCCTTTTAGTTTTGTTTTTTAGAGTGTCTCGCACTCGTCCGAACGCTGCGACGTGTATGTAGTACTGATGTGCATTGCAGTCGTAGTATAAACACGGCACAGAGCCAAAGTTGTATCTCGGACACAACGCAATCGCAACATCGTAAATCCTCCCGTCACAGGTAAACCATACCGGACGGACCGTCGACCTTCTGCACGACAAGAGAAAACGCCACCACCTCACAAAAACGAGCGGGCCTTCTGGAACCATAAATTCATCTGACCACACAGCGCCTCCCCACGTAGCTGCTGCCTTGGCGACACAATCGAACGAGTTCGACTTTTGGGACATACTAGTTATATACCTTTTGAAAAACAAGTAAGAGCTTCCTGCTGGGAACAACACGAACGTCTTCTTTTTATCCAGAAAGACCTGGTGGATCGCTTCCATCGATCCTGAACGAAAACTTTCTTCCGTGCTGTCGTATCACGCACGGAGTGGAGCTTTACGCGATATTTTTCGACATGACCCCGTTTCTTTCTTGATGAAATAGCAACAGACAACAGGAGCTAGTGGTGCACGACACTCCTGTATTAAAAGTCGTGAAATCAGCACGCAGGCACAAGTAGTACCAGTTGTGCCGCAGCTTCAGTTTCAGGTAAGAACAGAAGTGACAGATTTTGTACTCTGAAATTCTTTCGGAGCATCATGAATCTGCATCTTTTGACAAGTTCATTTGATGAATGTGTAGAACTAAAGTGTATTAGCACCGTTACAGTCATGCATAATTTTGTGCCCATGATACGTACTAAGTAAATTGAAAATGCAAAGAGCTGCAACGAAATAAAATTAATGACAGATCGCCGGCATCAAATTTCAATATGGAGAAACGATATAATTTGGAAATGGTTTATACTGTACAAGGCCAAGAAGAAAAGTCCAACACGTCAACAAGAAAGCTATTAGAGCACTTTCTCGAGGACCACATTCAACCTTGAAGAGAAACGACTTGTCTGCTCGGGAATTACAACGGTACAACATGTTGGTATCATGATGAGGGGCTTTTGTTTTGCGGATATTTATAAAATTGTATTGGAACAAGGATCGCTGAATCTACAAGCAGTAGCAGATCGTGTTTTCGTCGTGTTGCATTCGACGCGGCCCCAGATGTAGTGCTAGTCCCAGTCGACAAGCAGTGTTATTTTCAAGCTCAAATAACGAATCAGGTTCGATGTCCTCCGGTCTTTCACCTCAGCAAGATGCCAAGACCAAGTCCAAGACCTGCTGCATTCTCATCGTCTTCAGCGCGATGCTTTTTATCCTCGCCAGTCCTCAGCAGCAGGTGCGACTATAGCAAGTAGAAGAACTACTGATGAAAAACATACATACATACATACATACATACATACATACATACATACATACATACATACATACATACATACATACATACATACATACATACATACATACATACATACATACATACATACATACATACATACATACATACCTACATACCTACATACCTACATACCTACATACCTACATACCTACATACCTACATACCTACATACCTACATACCTACATACCTACATACATACATACATACATACATACATACATACACGTTCCACTACTAGTTAGTTAGTTAGGGGGGCCGCCCCAGCCCTCGTAGTTCGCACTTCTGATGGTGAGACACCACAAAGGCCGGCCAATACTGCACTTCTGATGGTGCACGTGAGGTTTGCCGCCAGTGCAGCTAGGCTTATGTTCTTACTTCTTATACTCCCAACGGTGAGCGCTGATGAAAAACGAAAAAGTAAAAAAGGTTTTACCGAACATTCTTACTAGAAAGACGTCTTTGGCTTTTCTGACATATGATCCTCCGATGAGGAGCAAGAACATCCAAACAACGCGAACATTCTCCATCAATACACAGATCGCCGTCAAGTGTGGTAAGAAGACGATAGACGCGGGAAGCGAGACTAGCCATACGAAAAAAAGCGCTAACATTTCGAGAAAGCTGGAAAACTTGCTTACCGCTGGATTTCCAGTGAAAATCCGACTTGTCTATCGCGGTTGTCATCGGTAAGTGGTATTTTACACTCCATTGTTTTGCTTTTGTTTCCCGTTTTGCATTTTCACTTAGCCCAGGCATCGCTGTCGTAAATTAAGCGCATGTTGACCACCTGCGTCCATGTCATTCATGTAGAAGTTGCATTGAGTGAGAAGTTCAGTGTTATCGCTATGTTCGATCAAAAGGGGCCTGAAAACATTTCACATGAGAGATTACGAAATTATATTAAGAAGAAATTTTGTTTTTGCATTACAAATTCTAAAAGCGAAGTTCTGCCGGGGATATTTTCAAAATACATGAGCGACATACTTGGTTGACAAATGCACACATTCTTCATGTTATTCCATGCTAATTGAAATAAAAGGTTGATGCAAAAGGTCCTACTTACGAAGTGCTTGTTCCCGAGCTTTGATTTTCATGATGAGAAAAGGTATATGTGAGAGAGAGAGAGCAGTGCAGCACCCGCTCTTCCTGCCACCGGTGTCTTTTCCTTCGGAGTAATAACAGGCTGGAGCCGCGGATCTAGATCGGTCTACTTCCCGTCGGCAAACGGGAGGTAGGTTTAGGCCGGCGCTTAAGGCGAAAGTGAAGACGTTCACTACCAGCAGACCACCAGAAACCAAAAAGCGAAATGCTCCGCTCCTGCTTTTTAGCTTCTTCCCTCTGCCCTATCCATTTCCAGTTCTAGCAACGATTGCAAGTCAAAACAGGATCGACGTTCGACTAGGTTTAGGCTTAGCTTAGTTAAGTTTAGTTTAGGTTAGTTTACTTCATTGGATGCTTTTATTGTTGTAACTCTCTCAAATAATGAATCACAATCAGGTGCGCGTTCTTTGCCGCCCTCCGTGTGATCGCAATTTGATTCCATGACGACAAGACCAACAAGAACAAGTTCAAGTCCAAGAGCTACATTCTCATCGCTGCAGGCTCGAGCATGTTACTTCATTCTCATCATCTTCGGCGTGTCTGATTCGAGCGTTTCTATCCTCGCCAATCTTGTTCAGCAATTGCAGTACTATCGAGAACGCTACAAGTAGGCTGAAGGAAACGATAGGTCGTCGCTGAGGATGTTGATGAGAACGTCGCAGATAAGGATTGCTGGGCGATTCTGTACTTCTATTTGTGCTTTATTGTCGCTAGTGCATTGAACTTGTACTGCTATTGATTGCAGCTAGTTGGCGGACGACCCATGAGAAAGGGAAACTAAAAATAAAAGAAAAACAAACAGTGGATGGAATTTCAAAAAAAAAAAAGATATGCATTCAAACCAGAACAACAAAAACAGACCGTCGGCAAGAAACGCGGAACAAGATTCAGAGTTCTGAGGTATGGAAGGAAAAAACGCCACGGTCTTTGCGCGCGACACAATTCACCACTTATGAGAACAAGCGGAAACCGATTTCTGACTTGCACAAATCGACTTTTCTGCAGAAACGAGATGAGGACCTCTGCTGTGGTATAATTTTCCAAATACGGTTTGGTGATGGACTTCATGGTTTCTTCGCGCCGCCTCTGATTTCGCGATATCTGTCATGTAATCCTTGCTTGTGTTTGCATGTTATGACGCAAGACTCGTACTAATCTAAAAAATGTCTGGTGTCAGGTATTCGCCAGCTGCCTCGTCGTTGCCAGTATCTGGGCCGGGTCTGTTCACATGTCTGCTGGTAGTTCAACTCTTTTCCTGCCTCGTCGAAGCAAACAAAACAACCGCGCGCTGCACCTTTGCAGCAGCTTACGTTCAACATCAATCTTCCGAAGATCATCAGGCCCGATAAGACCAATAGTCTCGTCAGCGAGTGCCAGCACGCGTATATGCAACATCGAATGATAAACGGCATTGGACCTGGAATCTAGGCCGCCGCAGCGTGTTTCTCAACTTCTGGGCAAACGCTAGCATGTGAGGCTGCTCGTCCTCGTCTGCTTCTTGTTAGCCGGCGAGGTGGAGGCTCTTGTTGCCGTAAAGGAGAGGCGAGAATTTGTGGTACGACCATAGGACGGAGAGGACGAAGGAAAAATGATATGAAAAACTCAAATCTACACCCTTTTTCTTTATAGTACTGACCCGTAGTACTATAATTGCAACTACTAGCGAATCTTGCGAGATGTCTTTACTTGTCTTAAGTGCAACAAATCCAAACTGCACGTACATCAGAGGCTCTTCAATTCGATTACCGCGAGCTATTCAAAACTCGATCTTTCAAAACTTGATCTTGTCTTTACTTAGGGATGACCAACCTGGTGGCAAAAAACAGTCAAGGTTTCTCTTGCAGATTTTTTCCCTTCAAGTTATTCGCGTTTCTTTGCGATGAACGAGTCACCGTGCAGAAGCAGACTCACTGTTTTGTTGACCGCCGTGGCAGTCGTCTAGCGCGACACGAATCGATCCTCCGCCCCAGAAAGTGGGAAAGATCGTGGTTAGGGTTACAGAACAGAGCATGAGGATCAACAGCTACAGGAGATCCACGAAGATGAAGTCTCGCATCAGTCGCACACTAGTAGATCTAGCATTTATTTATAGTACGATGACTCAACTACCAGCCAAGTAAGGATCCAGCTGCTTTCGCCTGGTATGACGAGGAACGGGAGACAACAAAGAGATCCAAGCAGGTCTTCACTTCTGATCATGATCTGAAGAGGCTTCACTACCAGCCGGCGGATCGCACACGAAAAATTGTACTCGTTATATGACGAGCTTTCCGTTGCCACCGTATTGTTGCATCATGGTTCGGAATAGTCTCAGCTTCCGTTTTCGGCTGTTGATTCTTCGTTGATGTCTCCGCTCGTTTTCCTCAGGGACCCGATCACGCAGTATTAAGGTTAGTACACGCAGGAGCATCCATTACCATTACCATTAGGAATTGATTAGCAGGATTTTGACTTCCTTTTCCACCCAGTTCCCGTTTCGATATAGAAAGACCCCTTCGCGTGATTACACTTTTCATTTCCCCCTTCGCCTGGATGTGTCTTCCCCGAATTCGTCCTGCGGCGCTTGATCGGTTTTTTCGTGATAGATTCACGCTTTTACCTTCGCGTTGAAGATATATTGACAATATTATTTTAATTTTTTCCACTTTCTTGGAGTACCAAAACATTTCGTGTGTCCTATCTTCTGTGGGACCACTAGAAATCATGACTGTCCACTCCGTCGTAAATTTGATTCAGGCCGCGGCAGACCGCAGTCCGGACCATCCAGCCCTGCGGTACGTCGTGCGCGACGGGGAAAAAGATCCACTACCATGTGCTGAACCGCCAGGCGAATCCTCTATCGCTCGCGGTGAGCAGAACCACCTAGCCGTATCTGCATCACCGACGAGCACAACCAGCGGCACGTCCTCTTCCTCCTCTTCCAAGCGCCCCTCTTCGTCTTCGACGTATAGCTACAGGATCCGCAACCTTAGTTACGCTCCCTTCTGGACCAGTTGTCAACGAGTCGCGGACTTTCTCAAGAGTTCTTGTACAAGAATTCCGCCAGAACAAGCAGTAGAGCGAGTACTACAGCAGCGGGAAGTAGGCGCCGCTCTTGAAGACGGGCCTTCTCGCTGCAACCGAAAGCACGACACAAGATGTCAGAAAATCGCCCTCGTCGCGATTCCGGACTGCGGCCCGGTCTTGTCGATTGCGCAAGTCGCGGTTCTCCACGCAGAGATGATTTTGGTGCACGCTGACCCGGGGGATCCGCGATTTTTTGACATTGTGCAAGACTGCGCGCCAGATTTTCTCCTAGTTGCGGGGTGGGACGGTGTTGTACCGCGAGACACCAAAAGCAAAAGTCCGAATAGCCCCTTTTCCAGACTACTAGTAGAGAAGACCAACACCAAAATTGTGGACGTCTCTGGAGTTCTGTTAGCACCAGCGCAAGAACAACTGGAGTCGCCAACGGGAAGTGACCTTCACGCAGAGCAAGATCATGTTGTGTTGACACCAGTACACAAGAAGAACGCGATGAGTCAAGATCTTTTCTCGCACATCTACTACACTAGCGGGTCGACCGGCAAACCCAAGGGCTGCTTGCTGAGGCAAAGCGCGGTGCTGAACTACAGCCTGGCGAAGAACCACGTACACGAAGTCGATAACTCCGCCGTCGTTCTTCTCCTTTCCAGTTGCACTTTCGACCCCCACCTCGGGGACACCCTCGCGACGTTGGCGGCTGGGGGCACGTTGGTAGTACCAAGGAAAAACGTAGCGGAGAGCTTTCTGGCGGGCGGGGATTCGGATTTTATGCCGTCTCGGCCGGGACAAGACGGCGGGGTGACAAAGACACTTGCTGGTTCGTCGAGCGCAAGTAACGCTAAAAAGAATGGAGAAAAAAACTATGTCACCAGAACTCCTCTGTTGACGAAGTTCGAAGAGGTCATTCTCTCGGGCTGCAAGGTGACGCACTGCCAAACCACACCGAGTCTGTGGCAGAGCCTGGTGGGTGGAACAACTTCTATCGCTTCAGGAATATTGGACACCACTTGTGAACAAGACGACCAAAGAACCGCGTACCAGCTTCACACCCTGGCACTGGGCGGCGAGTCGATGGCGCGGTTCTGGCCGATAAATGGTTGCTACAAGAACTTACTGAACACCTACGGGGTTACGGAGTGCTACTGCTACCAAACCTTCAAGAGGGTGGAAAGGCTACGGGACACCGGGTTCATCGGCGAGCCGTTTCCGGGGAATGCCGTGGAATTGTGGGAAAGACAGGATGACGTTGACGATGAAGACGCGAAGAACGCTAGTAGCACTGATGGCGATCGATTGAAGTCTTCCCGTTCTCCTTTTGTCAGAAGAAGCATGATGAACAACAACAGGTTGAAAATAGCAAAGGAACAAGCTGAAAGTCACACGAAAAATTCCCTTTCTATCGGGCCGCGTTCTTGTTCGGACGCGGAAGAGAAAACCGCCGAAAATCTTCAAAAAGCGTCTCTCCCATCGCCGCGCTTGGAGATCGTGATTGGCGGGAAGCAGGTTGGCGAGTACTTTCGTCCAGAGGTGCTGCAGCCAACTACGGAAGGGGAAGAAGAGCCACAATCACAATCACAACCATGTGGCCGTGAAGAAGCAACCTCCTCGAGCGACTTTCTTGACATGATGGACAAAAGTCTCTTCTACCGCACCGGCGACGCAGGAGAAAGAGTGGAAGTAGTTGATGACAATGATGGAGATCATTATACTGACTTCGCAAGAAAAGGAAAAGCAGTAAAATCCGAAATCCGCATTCGCGGGCGGCTCGACTGGCAGGTAAAACTGGGCGGCGTTCGCGTAGAACTGGAAGAAATCGAAGCGCGATTGGCAAAAAGTACGGTGTTGACAAAGCTGTTCAAGCTGCTCACCTGTGTGGTGGTACCGACAGAAGGGGTCAGCACAAGAACTTTGCCAGCAGCTAGCGCTACTACAATAGGCAGTGGCGGGGGAGCGAATGCCGTGCAACCAAGCACAGCTTCTGTCTCATCGCCGGGAGCAGGGGACTACACCTTAGCTCTGTGTTTGACGTTGCAGCCGGGGGCCGCCGATCCTTCTACAAAGAACGACTTCGACTCCCAAGATCGCTCCCCCAGTGGCGTTCTTGCAGCATCATCTCGTTTCCAGGACCTCTTGAGCCACGTTGTCCGGACTGAAGCGGGTAAAAATTTACCGGCAAAATGGATTCCGAAGGCCATTTTCCTCCTTGACGCGATGCCGGTCACATCCAATGGAAAAGTGGACCGGAAGGGCCTGCAGAAAAAAGTTGTGGAGAGAAGACAAAACAGCTCTACTGCGTCCTTGCCGACGGAAACTGGGCGGTGCTGGCCAAACGATCTTCCAAGCCGCGACGGTGAACAAGAAGACCAGAGCGATGAGAATGCCAGTGATATCGCCCACCACGACGGCGACAACTTATCGAAAACCAAAACCGAGCGCCTTATCGCGACCATTTGGAAAGAGGAGCTAGGCGTTTTCTCCATCCACCGCGAGGACAACTTCTTCCTGCTTGGCGGCGACAGCTTGGCGGCCTTGCGGGTGTGTCGCCGGATCATTGGCTTGGTGTGTCCCGTATCAAATGTAAAAATGTCTGGGTCTGGAATATTGCGAGATTTGTCATGCTGTTTTTCCATGACCCATGAGGTCTGGAATGCAGGACCTAGCATGACAGACTCTGCGAGACCTTTCTAATGCCTATCCTGCATGAGAAACTATCTCCCGACTTGGTCAAAACTGGACGACTTTTGGTAATCATGCAACACAGACTTTTGCACGATTCGGATTTAGCATGACAAGTTGCAATCTTCCAGACCCAGACATTTTTGCAATGCATATCCCGTGAAGGACGGACAGGAGGAGGAGAATGTCGTGGACGAATTCGGCACGATTTTTCAGGTATCAAATGTAAAAATGTCTGGGTCTGGAAGAATCCAACTTGTCATGCTGATTTTGGATTCTAAAAAAATCTGTATTGCGTGAGCAGCAAAGAGAGTCCAAGTTTTGCTACACGGAAAGAGCGTTTGTCATGCGGTATAGGCATCAGGAAGCCCTCGCAAAATCTGTGATGCTAGGGCATGCACCACAGACATCAGGAGTCATGCAAAATGTGCATGACAAACCTGGCAATCTTCCAGACCCAGACATTTTTACATTTGATATCAGAAGGAGCTGACGGTGAAATTTTTGTGCGAGAACCCCGTGTTGCGGGAGTACGCGAAACGGTTGGAAGGGGTGTTAGTAGCTCGTGGCGAGGAAGGCCGCGATGGGGAACTGGATGAAACAAATCAGGCCGAAAATCGTGCTGAGATGAGAGAATTACTCGCTGGAATGAGCAAGGAACAGCAACAGACAGAAGCCGGCACTGCTAGTATTAAAAAAGCGCCATCAAAAACACGGCCAGCGGTTGCCAACAACGACCATGTAACGTCCTGGCTGTCCTCACCCCGGAAGGACGAGTTGCTGCAGACTGCGGTGTACTTCAACCTGACGAATTTTGTCGAGGCACTGCTGGAACAGGAGGAGAAGCAAGACGCTGATAATTCACAGCGCCCTGGTTCTGTCGCGGCGCACGCACATCTTCCTGAAACCTTGCCCGCGAATACGGCAACGAGTTGCACATCGTATGACACGGCAACAAAGAGAATTGAAGCCACTCCAGCTCCTTCCACTTCAGCGACAACATTGACTCCACCTTCAACCACTCGTCCCACCTTCTTCCCCAAAACCCGAGCTGCAAGCGAAACAGTAGCTGCAGAAACTGAAAGAACAGAAGTTGTCCCACCCCCACCACCACCAGCCTCTCGTCGTCTAAAACGCGAGCCCTCCACCACCCCGCTGCACGTCGCCGCCCAGCAGGGGTATCGGGAGATAGTAAGGGTATTGCTCGCGGATCCGAGAACGAAGAAAATGCGCACGCATGTGGATAAGAACGGGGCGCTGCCGCTGCATTTCAGCGCGGATAAAGAGATTCTGAGGGACTTGCTGGTCGAGGATAGTACTGCTGCTGTTGCAGCCACTCCGAGGTCTGCAATAAATCGCCATCCAGATCGAGATCATGAAAAATCTTCGCACCCTACCGAACAAGGTAAGACCGGGGAAAAAGCAAAAGTACAAACTTCTACCCCGCCACCCAGCAAAACCTCCCTCCTCACAGCGCGGGACAAAAACCGGCAGACGTTGCTGCATTTTCTGGCTCGGAGAGGTGACGCGGAAACGCTGGAAGCTGTTTTGTTTGGAGATCATAACAGGCAGATGGCCGGCGGGAAAAACATCATTGCTTCACCGGCGGCCACTGTTGCGACAAGCTCCTTGAAGAAGACAGCTCCCGCCGCAGCTCTTGCAGCACCATCGCTACAACTTCCTAGCAAAGTAAATCCGAGCGACGAAGTTGTAGACGACGCAGATCCCCTCCTCTGGCCCGAAAAGACCCTCCACTACTTCACCTCCCGCGTCGATTGGCGGGATAAGTGGCACCGAACGCCGTTGAGCTGGGCGATTTTGAACCACCAGGAGGCTTGTGTCCGATTGCTACTGAAAGCCGGCGCGTGCGTGCACGGGAAGATTAAGGATAGGAAGCATGCGAAGGAGAGCCATTTGGTGAATGAATCGCCGGCGGAACTGGCGGAACGGGTCGGGTTTGACTTGGAGAAGGTGATGTTGGAGATGAGGTTGTAAGGAAGACGCTTAGCAGAACTGGTTCAAGGTATGCACCAAGGCATCTGCTCTTTATCAATGCAAGTCGTCCGAACCAGACGGATGAGATCTACGAACCTCACGTGACAAGGAAGACGAAGCAGAGGACGATCAATCTACACCTGCCACAAATTTATATGACTGCTCTGCAAGAAGTGCTCGAATACTTTTAATAAGTAAGTGTTTTCTTCTTGGTTGTAGGATCAGGACCCAGTTTACTTGAAGTTTGCCGCATCGTGAGAGTGGGGGTCCTTTCTCCACCGCAACAGGCGGGGCAAAAAACTCTCACAAGTCGGATCTCGTTGTAAAGAAAGGTTGTTCATCACCCGTATTGTACTTTAAGTTTGTTTTTATTCGTTGCAGTGTATTTCGATTTCGAATCTTGAAGATCATTGTACTATACTTCATGGACGTGTATAGTTCATCAAGATGATCTGTTTTGGTCTTTGATTTTCATTTCTGACAACAGTCACTCGCTCGCCTAAAGAAGCGAGCACAGAATTGATTTTCATTTCTGAGTCGTTTTTTTTTTGTTCTTGCTTTCAGATTTGATTTTTCATTTTTACCCACAAACAATACGCAGATCGAGCAGCTCGTGGATGAAGCCCTTTTATGGTGACAAGTTCTCCGGGATCATTCTCTTTCCGATCGGCAGAGCATGTATTGTCCAAATTTTCCGTCCGCCTGAATGTCAATGGAGCCCAGCGAAGAGAGCAGTGTCTCTCCGACCATAAAGTTAAAGATGTCTCCGGTCAGCATGGCAGATCAAAAGACATCTCCTTCAAAGTGTGTTGCAGCTGACAGCACACCACGACCTCGGTCGTGTTCAACGAAACCGTCCTGCACAGCGTCCTCCTGTAGTTTCTCCTCCGTCTCCTGCTTCTTCCTGTTCGCCGTCGCGGTCACCAGCTCGCTGATTATCCCGGTCACCGAAATGCTCCGCGAACGGCACGTGAACGGCTTCTGGACGTTCCTCACCCCCGTTTCCTCCGGACCAGACGCCCGGCACTGCGCGCCGGACGAGTACTGGTGGCGCGATGGCGGGGCGGCAAAGGCGCGGGCGGTGTGCATCCCGGGGCCGGAATTTCGACTGCAACATGTTCGTATGGACGTGGATCAGGGCAGTTTTGGTCGCCGAGGAGACCCACGGGGAGGCCGCCATGTTGTCGACCGTCCGTCCGCCCAAGAACATGATCTCGCCGCGAAGACAGGACACGCCCTGATACTTGCATCCCGAGGGTTCGTCAAAGTATTTTGTTTTCGTTTCAAGTTCGTTGTACTAGGTTCAGGTTCTCGTCGTTGTTTTAGTTCTTTGTCTTTCCTTTTTCTGTGAAACATCAAAATGAGAACTGACCATTTCCCTTGGACTTGGTGCTACAGGTTGGGCAGCTGCTTCCCAGTCTAATTCGATTCCCTCAATAACTGTTACGTGGTTGACGCATGATAATGATTGCCGAGAGTTAACATCACGCTTGCCACAACTCACAATAACAGCGAGTCGATGCCGACGCCGGCGCTCGGAAAGAACTTCGTCGAGAACCCGTGTCCGCTCTGGGTCGACCGGCAGGGGTCCGGTCTGGAGGTCCCGGTCGTCCGAGGTACGCGTCATCATGGACATAACCCTCATGAGCCAGGTTCAACGGGCAGTGGCACTCAGACCCCCGCTTCGCTACCGTTTCTGGCATCCGGAGGAACGGCTATACATAACATGCCTGCGGCTGCAAACGGAAGTGTTGCAAGTGTTAGCGTGGCGGATGATCATGACCGTGATATTATCCAGAACCATTTGCCGCGAATCGAGTGGACGCGAGGCGTTTGCCGCCCATCGCGACTAGCGAACCTTCCGGGACCGCTAGCGAATCTCTGCCTGCGCGTAAAGAAGCCGCAGCCTCCACGCTATTGCAGACTGAAAGCAGAGTTTGCGAAGTACTGCGATGCGGACGCGCATTTTCGTCCAGGTGCAAGGGCGAACCAGCAGAGAACCCTCATGTTCAGTCCTACGCCGCAGGCACAAGGAGAAGGCGCCTCGGATGAAAACGCAGCTGTGGAGCTGCAAGAGTCTCACCGAACCGGTACGGTAGAGACGGAGGAGGGGCGCGCCGGCATTTTCTACAGGCCACAGCGCAGCAGAATCGTCCGCCGCTCGGAGCCAGCTCGGAGGACAACGGCATTGCCACTGGACCGAAGACATGCGCCCGAAATGGATCGCCTGAGTGACAGTTTTCCTGTTCTGTGCTACGGGCGTCTTGAAGAAAGGCAAGTTGGTGTCACCTTTGCGGCCACCCCGAACCGAAAAACTGTGAAAAACGAGTTTCCACCCTCGACCACGGCCGCGACGAAGCCGATTCGGTTATTTGACACCCCGTGGTGGCCGGCGAAGTATAAGCGGCTACTCAACGACGGAGTCAGTATGGGAACCTTTGTATTAGACCGACTCTTGAACGGCGGTCTCCCTTCGTGGCTGGCACCGGTTTCGGCTGATGTGCAGCATGTCTTCGGGCACGACTTTGAAGTGCAAGAACCGCATTCGTGGGCGCGGGATTTGTACCTGATGGTTGACTCCGGAAGCCGCAACGAATACTTCGCGGAACACGCAGACAAAGAGATCATGCGCGGCCATGGGGCCAGTCGCTTGCACACCCGCTTCTCCCTGTCGCACGCGCAAGAGCAGCAATACTGCGTCCAGAATGAAAAAGAGCAAAGGGAAAACGATCTGCAGATGAGTTTGAGTGGCACGAGACAATCGTCCGCCCAACAATGTTCGACGCAGACACACGATTTCAGCGGCCACCCTGACCACCCGGAGTTCGAACTGAACGACTTACAGCTGGAGTTCAACACGCTCTTTTTCATCATTCTCGACCCGGTAAAACTTTCCTACCACCGCATCCTATTACTCGGACTGGGCCTGACGCTCCTCACCAACGTGCTGATTGTCACGTGTTTGTCGTCTATCCTTTTAGTTTTACTTCTCACAGGGTGCTTCCTGCTGGTCGTCGTGTACGGGTATGTAAATTTCGGCTTGTTGTATGTCACCGGGGCGTTCTTCGGCGGGCCGGAAAAAACGACGATGACGACTGTGACTCAACAAAACCAAGGCGGTGGAGGTGCAGAAGGACCTGCTCAACATCTTGGGGTCATGATCACGCAGCACATGTGCGAGGTCGTTCAGGACATCACCATTCCCAACACTGCACCAATTGCCGCCGCAGCGAGTGGGAGTGCTGCCAGCCAGCAGCAAGACAGCCTCCATCCACGCACAGATCTCCGTTCCCGTGTCCACGACCATTTCTGCAACACCTTCTACATTCCCGGAGGGCCGCACATGCGATCGGTGCAAGTGATCGTCTTCGTTCTGGTTTTCCTCGCCACAACCGCACTACTTCTTCGCGTTTTCCGCTACCGAAAGAGCGGCGTGTTGGCGCTACGACTCCTCGAGGCAAGTACGTTTGTGTTCTACCGGGTGCCGGGATTGCTGTTCGTCGCACCGGTAACCGCGGTGTGCACGGGGGTGTTCTGTTTGGCATTGTATGGCGTCGCGTTGTTTTCCGTCTGGATGGTGCCGGATGAGTACTTTATGCTAGGAGGGGACGGCACAGCACAAGGGCAAAATGACGTCACAAACTCAATAGGGAGATCACAAGTTGATGCTGCAACGAGCACCCCCAGCGTCCTCCTCACAGTCTTCGCCTCCGTCCTTACCGGTATCCTGCACGCTTTGACGTTACCGATCCGGGCGATTTTACCAAGCGCTGTCTGGACCTACTACTACCTGGAATCCTCGAAAATTTTTCTGCTCCGGCTCCTCGCGTGCTTGCTCTTGATCGGGTGCTACGAGTGGTTGCGGAGCTTTCTGCACGGAGTGACCACAACCGCGGTGGCGGACAGCGTGATCGAGTTTTTCTATCTTGAGGGAGGGGGTGGCCGTGATGTCGCAGAGGGGTGGGAAGATCAAAATTATAGTCCGGGGAAAGGACAAAGCGAAAGGGAGATCAAACCCGGGGTGTCCGGTCGTGGCGGCGCTACTACCTCGACTAATCCCTTCAGCCCTGCAATGAGAAAGGCGCGGCCAGTAGCAGTAGCAGGCGGAGGGAACGTGAAGAATGACGTGAACAGCGGTCCTAGCGCAGTACCCTTGGTACTGGCACAGCAAGGGACCACGATGAACAGTGGCCCGGCTGAGGTTATAGAAGATGAAGATCCCGCAGGAGAGTCTGAAGACGAGGGCGACCCTGACGACCCCGAGCAGGTCCAGAATTCTGGGTCTTGCGATGAATCTGATGAAGAAAATTACCTCATTTCGTCTCCAGTTCCACCGTCACGACCTCCAACAAAACGGACACTACCGACAGATGCAGCTGCTATACCGACGACGTCAAAAGTTCTGTTCTACAAAACCAAATTCATCCAAACATTGAAATCCTTTGCGCACGACGTCAGACTCGCTCTAGACAGAACCGAGAAAAAACTCCATCATTTCCACACGACCCACCTGAAGCCGATCCTTCTCCTTCTTGCACAGAAAATCCTCCAAACCTTCCAGTTTTTCCCCATTACTTGGCTGAAAACCGGTTTTCGCTTTTCCGGCGTGCTCGCGATTGGCGCGTTTCTGCACTCCTTCTACTGGATGTTCCAGGCGCTCGTTTGGGCGGACTGGACCGGGCAGATCGCAAGGCAGAATCATTTTATCCTCCTCACGCTCGCGTTGGTGCCGGTGAGCAAAGTGTACGTCTACGTCGCCTTGGACAAACAGAACTCGTTCAGCACGGCCTGCCGGACGATCCTCGCGGTGATTGGCCGCCACCCCTCGCAGTGGGTCATGATGCAGGCGTATGGATTGTAAAAATGTCTGGGTCTGGAAGATTGCAACTTGTGATGCTATTTTTGGAATCTAAAAAAATCTGTATTGCATGAGCAGCAAGAGGCGTTCAATTTTTGCTCCGCAAAGAGGGCATTTGTAATGCGGGATAGGCATCAAGATACCCGCAAAAAATCTGTCATGCTAGGTCATGCATTACAGGCATCATAGCTCATGCGAAATATGCATGACAAACCCCGAAATCTTCCAGATCCAGATATTTTTACAGTTGATAAGGCGGTGCTGACGTGTTTGTATTGTGTGTGCTTTCTGGGCGTGTTCGCCGTCATCGGAATCGCGACCGCGGTCACGATATCAAATGTAAAAGTGTCTGGGTCTGGAAGAATCCAACTTGTCATGCTGATTTTGGATTCTAAAAAAATCTGTATTGCATGAGCAGCAAAGAGAGTCCAAGTTTTGCTACACGGAAAGAGCATTTGCCATGCGGTATAGGCATCAGGAAGCCCTCACAAAATCTGTGATGCCAGGGCATGCATCACAGACATCAAGAGTCATCCAAAATGTGCATGACAAACCTGGCAATCTTCCAGACCCAGACACTTTTACATTTGATACACGAACCCACTGGAGGACTGCGAGCTGGAGGAAGGGCACCCACTTGTCGTGGAGTCAAGTTTCACTCGGACGAGTGAAGAGCAGGGGCAACAGATCGACGTTCCACGAAGCCCGACAGATCGTGATAGGGCAGGAGGAGCTGCACTCGGTGGTGTTGCTCTATCTGGCACGACAAGTACGGACGCCAACTCGACGTCGTGTTTTGAGCTGAACATCGCGAACTTTCTCAACGTCCCTCGAGTTTTGTTTCAGCAGTGGTTTTGGCCGCCAGGGAGTGAAGATGGTGGAGAAAATCACGGTGGTAGGAACGACGATGGAATAAACGATCTAACGACGATGCGTGCTGTATCCTGGGAAGCCTGGCTCGTCGCGAATTTGCAAAGCTTCTACAGCAAGACAAAGACCTCTACTTCCGACGAGGACCGCAGCTCTCAACTGGAACGCAGTGTGTATCCAATCCTGACGCTTTTCTTGGCGCTTTTCTTCACGTGGGAGATTCTGAAGGTCTACTCGATTGCGGTCGACTCACTCTACGTGTGTTGCTTGCGGGTGTACGAACAACAGGGGAAGGACGGGCTGGAGAAGCACTTGTGCGGCGGAGGAGGAGCAGGATGTGGGGTTTGTGGAGATGATGGAGGTGGAGCTCATGACGTTAATGACGAGAAAACACTTGTCCTTGAAGACGATCCCCCTGAAGAGTCTATGGACAGCTGCGCTCCTCCTGCTCGGGTCCAGCAACGTTCTTGGTGTGCCGGAATGCGACATGATGCCGCTCCACTCCGTTCTGCCGATCGATTGCATCTGCCAGAGCTGTTCAAAGCCTTCCACGCCGTGTTTCGCCACGACGGGTCTGCGCGAAGCCCGAAGGAAGTCGCAGCATGGGAAGTAGACAACTCCAAGGATGTTAAGGCACGGGAAGAGAAGAAAGAGGTGAGATGAAATGGTGACAAACACTAGTCCCACTGCAGGCGCGCCGCGCCCACGACAGGTGGAGCACGACACGACGACCAAAATAGACTCTAAGTGGTCGCCACAATTCTTTCAACAATAAGATAGAAGATGCAGATGGGATAAAAAAAGATCAAAGAACTACTGGAGATGATCACGACCTGAGCGCGTGCGCGGGGTCGTGTTGTACTTGTTGTAGATCTTATTGCACCAGGGAATGATCGAACTTGAGCTTGTCATGTTGTAATGTCGGTGTTTGTCATGTTGTAATGCGTCATGCTCTGCTAAGGGAATAACTCGCACCATGTATGATTTTTGTATTTTGTGCGAGCTCTGTCCTCCTATGCAACATGCCTCCTGTCGCCTCCGACATAACTAGCATGACATTGTGCTTATGCATGATATCTGGGCTGATCACAATTTATAAAATTACCTTCTGACTTGTTGAAACATTTGACCTGCTTGACTTTTTTGGTATATCAAAATCTAAATGACAAAACATGGATGTAAAAATTGCAACATCCTGATATGTGAGTTTCTCTCTCTCTCGCTTCGTACTCCGAGAAAAGAGAGACATCTCGTTTTCGATTTCTCGTCTTCGAGATTATTCGTGTGTCGATTTTGTTCGTGTGTCCGTTACATCAACGAGCGTATCTTCGGTTTTTGTCGATCCCATCATTTGATCTCTCTATTTCGATTCTCGATTCTCGATTTCGCTCTCGCTTCGCTCCTCGCGCTCTTCGCTCACATCGACTACCGTTGAGGCTTACCTCCGGTCTGAGAGTCGTTTTTTGTTTTTAGTTTAGGAACGTCGTCCACATCAGGCGATGTTCCTGCCTTGCTCGTGCGCATACGTACGTAGATCTTTTGGCTTTGGTCAGAAGGTTTAGGGTCGGAGCGCTCTCAGCACTGCTGAAGCTTTAGAACCAGATGGGAGTGCACACCCGGACGGATCAGAGCAAAAGGCTTTATTAGCGCTTTTTGAACGTAGATTTTACCTTTACTTCCTTGCTGCTCTTTTGCTTTCCCCGGGCCCTACTGGCACCAAGCAGGGTTTTTTGTGGGTTGGGACATGACACCATCCGGTGTCCTATGCGGGTATTTTGCTTGAATAGAATCTTTAGGTCTTACCATGCGGTTTTGTGCACACTCTCTCTGATCAGTTGCGGTTTCCAGTTCTTCTCCCCTGATTCATCTTCCCGTTTCCGCCCCGGTACCTTCGCCTGCGTCGAAATGGGTTTAGAAGGGTTGAGTGGGTTTTTGGTTTTAGGGTTTTATTTTGATCTTATTGCACCAGGGAGTGATCGAACTTGAGATCTTACTTTTTCTGGTTGAGAATAAAGGAGCAAGAGCATAATTTTCGCCATGCAAGTCCAAGTACAACTGAGTCGGAAGTTTAATTTTCTTGAAAACTTCCAAAGTTGATCAGACTTGCAGCTTTGATGTGATCATGTCGCTCATTTGACGTTGTGTAGATTGATAGCCTTAGCCAGCAAAATCAGCAGTACTTTCTTCGATACAGTTTGTCACGCTGTCAACGTTCTGCAGTGCTACTTAACACAGTATACGACTTTTGTTGAACATAGAGTAGACCGTGGCTTCCGTCGGTCCGAGCTGCCAACGAAGAAGTCGCGCAAGAGTCGGTTGTTTCTAGCTCCGAAGTCCGAACTACATCAATGAGATCATGGTTGACTGCTAACAACTAGTTGCGTCATAAGGGTGAAACTTGACTGACCTCTGTGCAGAACACCTAGTTATCCTACTTGCCACCTTTGTTTCTGCACGTCATTATTTCAAGTGTACTTGTTAACTACTGTGACAGAAACGAAACTCTAAAGAAACATGGCGCGCTCTTTCGTATACATCTGTTTTCAAAGCCGCCTTCGCCTGCTCAATGTCTGGTCGCAGCTGGCGTTGATGTTTGTTAGCTCCTTCCACGGCCTGCTGAGCGAGCATGTCTTTGCCGTGGCCCGGTTCATGGCCTTCTCGCGGCCCTCCCGCACGGATTCGCCAGGTCCCAAAGCGCCGCCGCGGAATCTCCTCCGGCAGCCGGACGAGGACGAATTTGACGGTGGTGCTCAAGTTGCGCAAGAGCACGTGCCGGCGTCCAGCGGCGGACCCAGTTTGACCGCTTCGGGCCGCTTGCGGCGTTCGTCCGGCCAACTTCGCAGCTCTGGCGGTGTCCCGGCCAGTAGCAGCGCGGCGGCATCTTCGCGTCCCGGGGGTCGCATGTCGCAACTGGGTGCGCCAGATCATGCCCCCGCGGAGCAGTATGGCGAGCCAGCGCGGACGAGTTTCTTCCACCAGCAGGCAGCCGTCGCAAAGCCCAGCTCCCCGGCCGGCGCTGCAACTTCTTACCTGTTCCAGCAATCACCAGGCTCGTCTTTTGCTAGTAATTTGTTATCAGCCGCAGGAGGTGGAACAACAGCAGGAGCTCCGTTCTACGCACCGCCATACACGGGCGCAACGTCAGGCAGCACAACATCGCAACACCGCCCGGTGCCGCGGTTGCATTACCAGAAAACTTTGGAGCAACAGCAGCGCGAGGCTTTTCTGGCCGCCAGAGACCCCGCGAGCGGGTTTTTGGATGAAGAGACCATCGAGGGCGACTTCAGCGACGCGGACAGCAATAACAGCGAGGCTTCCACCTCCAACTTCGTCCGAAAATGTTGCAACACGGCCTTCGGAAAGGCGTTCTTCGGCACGTCCTTACTGCTCGCCAGCACCGGGGGAGCACTCATCGGCGGGTGGAACTGGGGGCGCCAGCAAGCACTCGGGCAGTGCGCGGCGGCCCAGGCGCAACGAGCGGTGTTGCAGGACGGGTGGGTGTATCAAATGTAAAAATGTCTGGGTCTGGAAGAATGCAACTTGTCATGCTAAATCTGAAGCATGCAAAAATCTGTGTTGCGTGATTACCAAAAGTCGTCCAGTTTTGACCAAGTCGGGAAGCAGTTTCTCATGCAGGATAGGCATGGGAAAGATCGCGCATAATCTGTCATGCTAGGTCCTGCATTCCAGACCTCACGGGTCATGGAAAAGCTGCATGACAAGTCGCGCACTCTTCCAGACCCAGACATTTTTACATTTGATAGGGTGTTGCCGGCCATGGGCGGCGGGGGTTCATCGATCGACTTATCCTGTGCAAAAGTATCGTACTCGTAGTAATCGCAGTCATGCAAGACAAATTTCATTTTCAAGCTAAATCAGCATGACAAATTCCGTATGTCATGCTGAGGCAATTTGTGTTGCAATACTACGAATGCGATACTTTTGCAGTTCATACGACTTCGCCGGTGGCAATTCGCCATTCACCGCAAAAGCAGGGCCGCCTGGTACTGATTTTTGATATACCTTTGTTACTGTTTCGATTTTTTTACTCCTGTTGCGCAGGGGCGTGCTGTTGTCCATCGTCTACCTACTTTCTCTCAACAATCCTCGGCTACTTGTTTGAACAAGAGTTCTGTCGCCAAAGCACCCTGTTCGGCAAAACGCAACAAAAACATGATCGCAAACCCCAACCCGCTTTGGCTTTGATCATTACAACTCCACGACGACCTGCAGACCGCACGCTGGGGCAACAGCTTGCGGCAGATCAGGATGTTGGTGTTGCGCCAGCAGGGAGGTCGTCTTCATCTGAGGACTCTCCTTGGGTTCATCACGCGGTACGACAAAAAGCCGATTCTGACCAGCTGCACGAGCCTGGTGAGGATGTTCATCTTGATGCGGATAATCCCCCAGCACCCCCCTCCCCCCCGCCCCCCGACCCCGACGTTCAGCACGACCTTCGAGACTGGGTTACCGTGGAAAGAACCGGGCGGAGCATCGGTTTCATCCTGCACGGCCTGGGACAACTGGCGCAGGATTACGACGACGAAGTGGCCTTTTTCACCCAGCATTTGGGCCCGAAGGGGTGGACGTTTTATTCCATTGAATACGTGTTCACCAAAAACAAATCCGAGAAGAAGGAACGGCGCGAGACCTTCCGCGGCATGTCGCTGGAGGAACAGGCGAAAACTGCTTGCGTGCAGATTGTAGAAAAATTGTTGCAGGAGCAACCCGATGTTGCACTCTACGACAACATTGCCATCATTGGCCACAGCAACGGCGGGATCGTGGCGCGCGCGGTGTTGCAAAACTGCGACCTCGGCTACAACGAGCAAAAGTTCACGCACTTCGTGTCCGTGTCCGGGCCGCTGCGGGGCGTGGCGTTTCTGCCTCATCAACTACTGCCGCACGCCAAAATCTTGCCGGAGTGGGTGGAAGACCACGTCGACGGGCTGTTGGACCACATTGCGTTACCTTTGAATCACTACCCGCTGAACAAGTTTCTAGGCCCTGCGGGGTACTACTACAACCCCGCGGAGGTCGAGAAATTTCACAAAGCAGATACCTTCCGCTCCATTCTGGACAACACGGCGGCGTGTATAACTCCTATTGCTGAGCGGTGTGAGTTAAAATTTTGCAACAGGGAGGAAAATCGCCCACGCTGAAAAGTTTTTCACACTTTTCAAACTTTCTAAAGCTGTCGAGATTTGCGAAATCGCTCACCGCCCAACGGCCAACGGCAACCGGCCAAATCGCAAACGGCCAACGGCCAAATCGCAAACGGCCAGCGGCCAAATCGCAAACGGCCAACGGCCAAAGCGCAAACGGCCAGCGGCCAAATCGCAAACGGCCAA